GCGCGATCCGCGTCGGGGACACTAACAGGTGGGGAGTTTGGCTGGGGCGGCACGTCTGTTAAAAAATAACGCAGGCGCCCGATTTTGAGCTCAATGAGAACAGAAATCTCATGTGGACCGAAAGGGGAAAAGCTCGGTTGATTTTGATTTTCAGTACGAATACAAACCGCGAAAGCGTGGCCTATCGATCCTCTCGTCTTTGGGAATTTCAAGCTAGAGGTGTCAGAAAAGTTACCACAGGGATAACTGGCTTGTGGCTGCCAAGCGTTCATAGCGACGTAGCTTTTTGATCCTTCGATGTCGGCTCTTCCTATCACTGCCTCGCAGCGGGGGCCAAATGCAGGATTGTTCACCCACCAACAGGGAACGTGAGCTGGGTTTAGACCGTCGTGAGACAGGTTAGTTTTACCCTACTGCTGTCTGTTTTTCTACGGTAATTTGGTTCAGTACGAGAGGAACCACCAATTCGCATCATCGGTATAGCCGCCGCCGGAAACGGCGATGCGGCGAAGCTGCCATGCGCCGGATTATAACTGAACGCCTCTAAGTTAGAATCCATGCCGGAAGGAAAGCCACCTACCGGCCCGGGGACGCCACGAGCAACGGTAGCACTGCCTGAGCCGCGAGCGACCACAATTCACGGACCCGGGCCGACGAATCCCTTGCAGACGACTTGAATAAGGAACGGGGTATTGTACGCGGCAGAGTGGCCTTGTTGCCACGATCCGCTGAGATTCAGCCTTGGTTCTGACGATTTGTTGCGCGCGCGCAACAACCCTCTCAGGGCCTCTCCCGTTCCTCAGTCGCTCTCTCGGCGCTCTCCCCCTCTCGCCTCTCCTCGGAGCCTCACTCGCTCGGGGGCGGAGCCGAGGGGGCGAGAGCGCGATTTCTGCCCAAGGCAGCGCGCAGGCCACTGCGCAGACACACCCGGCTCTCCCCGAGCCGCCTCTGGGCGCTCCCGCGGTCCCCTCCGGGCTGAATGCGGCCTCCGGAGCGGGCGGCGCGAGCGTCTAAGTCTACTCAGAGCCTTCCACGCTCTTCTTTGCGTTCCAAAGCTAAACTCCTCTGTGGCATCGCCCGGCCAACTCGCTTGCCACTGTCATTGCCCCCGCCGCCCTCTCACTGTGGCTGCCCTGTACCGTTACCTCCACGGCCCTCGCCACCACCCTCACGGCCCCCCCTCGCCACCGCCCCCACGCCGCCGCTACCATTCCGGCCACCCTCGCCGCCCCCACCCTCATCCCCACCTTGCCCCCGCCGCCCGCTGCAGCTGCAATCCCCACCGAAGGCGGACGCCGGTGCCGCCCTCGACGCCCCTTCGCCGCCCGGCGCCGCCCTCGCCTGCCTCCCCGCCGCGCCCCCTCCCCGCCGCAACCCTCGCCCTCGCCGCTGCTGTCGCCGCCGCCCTTGCCGCCCCCGCTCTTGCTGTCGCCGTCGAGCCCGCCCTCCGACGCTAGCCCCCGCCCTCACCGCCGCCTCTACAACAAACTCTACATCATAAGCGGCGAACGAGGCACGGTCGCTCTCCGACATGAGGCGCGTTGCACTTGCCAGTGCGGCCCTGGCCTTCTGTCTGCCCGCCCAATGGGTGGCAGATGCCTCTGCTGCTGTGGCATGCCTCACCGCTGCGACTGGCCGGCGCCTCGGCGCGTCAGCTCGGCTCGGCGTAGTGATAGTGGCCAGCGCAACTCGCCTGGACTCAACGCTCAGCCAGGAGCTCCCGCACGCGCTGGCGCGAGTCATGGCGCATGCAACGCGTCTGAATGCTCGCCTCGCCTCGCGCAAATGCGACCGTCCTCGCAGCCGACAGTCCACCGCCTGCTGAAGAAGCACAGCGACGAATGCGGCACCGGCGACACATGGCAGGCTGGTCATGACGCAGTTATAGGGTGTTGCTGCCCCTCGCCGCGTCGGTCATCGCGCCGGTCAACTCGCCGACGCTCGTCAGACCAATGCTCGTTGCGCCGTCGCTGCTCACGCAAGCGAGGCGTGGAAGAGCAGCGAGACGGCTCTGTGTGGGGAGGTCGAGGAGGCTGGCGGGCGGCGGCGTGTCTGGAGAGGGGGCGGCGGTGGAGGCGGCGGCGAGGCCGCGCGAGCGGCGGCGCGGCGGGGTGGACATCGCGAGGAAAAGAAAAAACACCTTGCACAGAGATTCTTCTTTTAGAAGGAGGTGGAAGCAATGGCGTTGTGGCATGTGCAGTGGGCGACGTTCGGTGTGTCTGTCGGTGCCTGACTAACATCTCTGAATCGACGGATGGTCGGGATCGGACTGCGGGCTAGAGTGTGAGTGAGTGAGTATTCTTGATACGAAACCACGACGACACACACCAAACAAAAATCTCTCTCTCACACACACCAGTCGACTCGCATCGGTTGCCTCCATGAACGGCGGAGCTATTCTCGCGCGCTGGCGACACTACTAGGTCACGCATGGCAGCAGAAGTTTATCTCTGGGCCCCGAAAGGCATCTCCAGCAGCGTCGTTACGCATGCGCCCTCCCCTCCTGGGCGCATGCGCCTCACATCTCGCCAGAGCATAAGCTCTTGGTGTGCGACGAGACGAGTTTTTCGCCATCGCCGCGAGCAGCAAGCCGCCCGCCGCAACAGCCGGAGGCATCGCCGCAGCACCAGCCGCGCCGCGGTCCCGCACCCGTCGACGAAGCTCCCCCCGCGGAAGACCGCGCGTAGCGACGCCTTGACGATCGAGATGAGCGCGCTCGAGGCTCGCCCACCTACTGCCCCTGAGAGTTGGTTACGAGTGGGATCGGCTCCCCCCCTTGGGATCAAAGCTTCCAGACCTCACACCCAACATCACAGGCGGGATCACACACACACACACACACACACACACACACACACACACACACACACACACACACACACACACACACACACACACACACACACACACACACACACACACACACACACACACACACACACACACACACACACACACACACACACACACACACACACACACACACACACACACACACACACACACACACACACACACACACACACACACACACACACGGCTGGGCCCTGGCCACCACCATTCCATCGACAGTCTAGTGAGCCGCATATCTGAATGAAGCAATCGGCATTCCCTCTCGCCCTTCTCTTCGCCGCGAGAGTCCATTCTCTGAGCCCGACGCTGCGGCTGCCGAGTCGCGCCGCGCTCAAAGTCGGCAGCCAGGTTGCGGCCGGGCAGTACGGCCGTATCCATCTCGCCGAGTGGGATGGTGTGCCTGCGGTCGCAAAGAGACCCTACGCTGCGCTCGCGGCAGACGCGGCCTTGGCCGGAGAGTACTTTAACGTTGAGCGCGAGGTCAACGAGGCCATTCAGAGGTCCAGCCCCGAGACAGAGCACTTTCCACGCTTCCTCGGCTGCGCTTCGTCTGGAGGCGACGAGTGGCTCGTGTGGGAGCGGCTAGCGGGCTGCTGCCTGGGCGGCGAGGGCGAGGCGGCGTCGGAGCTCGCCCGGTACTCCGGCAGCGGTGCCAAGCTGGAGGCGGACCATGGGCTGTCGCCACGTGCGGCGCTGCGGCAGCTCCTCGAGTGCGCCGCTCCTCCGCACGTGCCTGGCCTCTGGCACCTTCCCTGCACCTTTCCGGAGTCCTGGCAGGTGCGCCGCCGCGCTGCACCGGCTCGGCTACGTCCACCGCGACATCAAGCTCGAGAACTGCCTGCTCGCTTCCACCGCCGCCTCCGCCACCTCCTCCTCCGCCCCGCCTTCCTCTGTCAAGCTCATCGACATGGGCTCGGCGGCCTTCGTCGACGGCTGCACGCTCACCGTCCCGCGCACACCGCCTAGACCCCTCCCTGAACCTTCGGAGACCCTTCCTCCAGGCTGCACGCTCCTCGACCGCGCGCGCAGCCGCTGCACCAGCCTCGACCCGGACCGGTCGCCTTGCTCTCCTCTCTATGCCCCGCCGGAGCAGTTCGCATCGCCCGACTTTCCGTTCGCGTTTGACGTGTACTGCCTCGGAATCTCGTACCTCCGCCTGAGCCTGAGCTGCCTCAAGTCGGACTCGCAGCTCGAAGCCTTTCGGATCGAGCTCTCTTCCCTCGCCGGCGGCGCGAGCCCGGCCGCAGCAGCCCCCGAGCCCGTCCCTCAGCCGCCCCCCTGAGCCTTCTCGGAACCTTCCGCCCAGGCGAGCTCGACCGATGGGTCCGCGCCAAGCTCACGGGCACCGCACTGCTCCACCCTCTGGACGCGTCCGCGACAAGTCCGCGACAAGTCCGCGACACGTCCACAGGCACCGCCGTCGACCCGACGCTCGCCAACGAGCTGAGCGACGCGCTGCCGGCGGACAGCCTGCCGCTCCTCGCCGCCATGCTGAGGGAGGACCCCGCCCGCCGCCCCACCATCGACTCTCTCCTCGAGCACCCCTTCTTGCGCGCCGGCGCCGGGAGCGACGCGGCCGGCCTGGCCCCACGACCGGCATGGCTGTCGCGCCTCCTCGGTGGCGGCGGCGAGGACGAGTGCGAGGTGCGGCTTGGCCTCCTCCTGGCCTGCCTCCCTCCCTCCCTCTCCCTCCGCCACCCTCTCCCTCCGCCACCCTCTCCCTCCGCCACCCACCCTCTCCGCCACCCTCTCCCTCCAGGTCCTGCCCTTCTACGACTCGGTCGAGCGGCCCCTCGCCGTGCGCGTCCGCCTCCGGCCGCCGCTCGGCCTGCTGCTGGGCGAGGCGTCGAGCGATGGGGAGCGTGCGGCGCTCGGCGCGTCGCTCGGAGATGGAGGGGGCGGCTGCATCTCCCCGGGTCGTCTCGCCTGATCTCGGACGATCTTCCCTCAGGCGCGTCGCTCGCGGTGGAGGAGCTGCTCGACGAGGGAGCGGCGGCGGCGAGCGGCAGGGTGCGCGAGGGCGACGGCCTCGTGCGCGTCGGACGGTCCCTGACCCTCCTCGGAGCCCTCCAATAGGTGCGCGCGGGCGACCGGCTTGTGAGCATCGACGGCGAGACGGTGCGCGACGCGAGATGGCGTAGGGCTCTCGGCGTCTGGAGCCCTCTCTGAGCCTTGACGTGGTCTCTGAGCCTTGACGAGGTGCGCGACGCGAGCCTGGACGAGGTGATGGGCATGCTCCGCCGCTCGCCGCGCCGCGCGGGCTTCGAGCTCGGCTTCGAGCGCTCGTGCAGCCAGGAACAGTGCGACATCAGTGGAGCCGACAGCGGCACGGACCCGCGGCACCGACCACGACACGTCCGCGACATGTCTTGGACATGTCCCACCGCAGGCACCGAACTCGATCCGGACGGGGCGGGCGGCGGGGGGAGCGGCGAGGGCGAGAGCGTCGTCGCGCCGCCGAGAGCGGGTGCCGACGTGATCGACGGCTTCTGAACGCGTGGGGACTTCTGAGTGGCGAGGCATGACGAGTGGTGTATAGGCGTCGGCGTGATCGACGCCGGTTCCGCCGACTGGCTCGGCAAGAGAGCCACGCAGGAGGACACGCACGTGCTGACTTCCTTCTCGGCCGCGCCGCGCGACAGCGGCGAGCGCCTAGATGCTGCGCACGCACCCGTGTGTCCCTGCACGAGGGCGGGGTGCCGCTTTACTCAGGCCGCACTCGAGCCGCACTCGAGCCGCACTGGCCACCGGACACCGGACACGTCCTCGAGCGCACGGCCTCGTCGAGGCTGCAGGCTTGCAGCCGCACGCACCGCACACCCCGTCCAATAGGCGGCGAGGGCGGCGCGTCGACGTACGTGCTCGCGGCGTGCTTCGACGGCCACCGCGGGCCAAGGGCGTCGCTGCACGCCGCGAGCGCTCTGCCCGCCGCCGTGCGTGATGCGATCCGCGCGGGCGAGCCGTCGCCCCTCGCGGTGGTCGCCTTCCCGTGTCGGAACTTTCCCGGAACCTTCGTGCAGGCGAGCCGTCGCCTCTCGCGGCAGCGTGGCGGGCGGTGGCGCAGAGCTACGGCGAGGGCGGCGAGCAGGACGGTGCGTGCGCGAGCATGGCGCTGGTGCGGCAGGACGGGCTCTGCGAGGCTGGCCTTTGGTCGACTGATTGACGTGTCCTGGTGGACAAGCGCCGGACGTGTCGAGTGCGCGTCCCGATAGGTGGTCAATTGTGGCGATTGCCGGACGGTGCTCTGCGCTCGAGGAGAAGGAGGAGGAGAGGGGGGAGAGGAGGCAGGGGGGGACGGCGAGCCGTCGACGTTCGTGGCTTTTGCGACCCGCGACCACGCGGCATCGGATCCGGCGGAGGCACAGAAAAGTCGACTCGGCGGGCGAGGTCGAGATCTCGGCGAGATCTCGGCTGCTGCTCGGCGGAAATAGGTGCAGAGAGTCGACGCGGCGGGCGGGCGCGTGCGCTGCGGGAGCGGCGGGGAGATGCGCGTCGCCGTCAACACGCCAGCCGGCAAGTGGCAGGTGATGATCCCACCCCCGCCCGGAGCTCCCAGGGTTGCAGCTCCCAAAGCGGGTAGCGCAGCTGCGGCCCCACTCCCACTTGCGGATGGCGGCGCACTTGCGGCGGCCGCATCGCGCAGGTGGCGGTCGCTCGAGCTCTCGGTGGGAGTGAGTGGCGCGGCGGCGGCATCAGCGACGCCGCGGACGTGACCACACTCCGCCTCGACGAGAGCCACACCTTTCTGGTCCTCGCGTCGGACGGCGTCTGGGGCGTCCTCGACCAGCTGGCGGAGGGGTCGGCCGCGCGCTCTCGCGGCGTCGCGTGGCGCGTCGCAGCGGCGCGCGCCGCAGGCAAGAGCGCGGGGGACATTGCGGACGGGCTCGTGCGCTGCGCCGCGCGCGAGGGAGGCACCGACAACGCGAGCTGCATTGTGCTGCTCCTGGGGTCGGGAACTTAGACGTTAGAGCTCCGCGGTAGAGCGACCGCTCCAACACACTCTCTCTTGCGCGTTCTTCACTCTTCTCGAGATCTCGTCGTCTTTTGCAGATTTTCCTGTACTATGCTTCAAATAGTGTCAGGTACAGTATTCACACAGCTCACAGGGATGTGCGCGTAAAAAGCTCCCTTGTCACCCTTTAGCCTTTTGACTCTCCCCCACACGGGATCCTGATGCGTATGCCGGGCGATACTACTACCCCCGGGGGGCCCAGTGGCGGTGCAAGGCTAGCCCCAACTCGTGCCACGCGCCGCACCCGCTCGATTCGTGCGGGCGCCCAACAGTCTCCGCACCCAGAGGGAGCGACGAGGGCGCTGTCCCGAGCCAGCATGGTGGGCCCCGCCCGTCGCACAGCCGCCGCGCACACCTCCGTCAAATCACCCCACACAAGCTGCGGCTAGTCCTTGAGGCCCATGCCACGCCGCCGGTTCGAGCGCGCCACCTCCGCCTGCCGCTCGTCGGTGCGCGCGAGGAAGGCCTGCGGAGCGAGAGGGGGCCATCGGACGCGTGAGGGACGCGTCGCGGAACGTGCACGTCTCAGCAGAAGAGGTCGGAGGTGGGCCGAGACTGGCCGAGGTGTGTTGCGCGATGGAGAGGGGGACTGGCGGCGTCACCGCCTCGCCACTGACTGCCTCGCCACAATTGCCCGTGAGAGTGTCTAGTAGTGTCTTTTGAAGTGGCTAGGGTGGTGTCTAGGAAGTGCCTCGCGCCTGCTTGGCGAGGTAGCCGTCCTTCGCGAACCGGTCCATCTCGTCGCGCGTCGCCTCGTCCTGCTTGCTCTTGAAGTTGCCCCAGTCGTGCCGCGACTTCTCCATCGTCGACATCTTCTTCTTGCCTGTGGCGCGGGAGGGAGGCGCCGGCGGAGGGTGTGCGCGGGTCGGCGGGCGGGCCGAGGGAGCTGAGGGGGAAACGGCAAAGCCTCGACGCCCGACTGCACCAATCCCTGCACCTCGGCCGCCCCTCGGCCGCCCCTCGGCTGCATCTCGGCTGCATCTCGGCTGCATCTCGCCGTCGAGCGAGGCGAGCAGCCCCTGCAGCCCCGTCGGCTTGGCAGCAGGCAGCTTCGGCGCGGGCAGGGCCGGCTTGAACTCGAGGCCTTCCGCCACCTGCAGGAGGGCCCCGAGCAGGCTGGGGGACGGCTCCTGTGGGCAAGCTCTGAACTCGAGGCCGCCCGCCACCGACGAGGCTGCCCCGCCCTGCTCCGCCATCTGCCTCTGCAGCGCCGACGACGCGTCGACCGCCTGCGGGAAGGGTCGCGGAAGGCTCGCGGAAGGCTCGCGGACAGATCCGCCTCGTGCAGCGCCGAGGAGGCGATGGCCGCCTGCTGTAGCGACGGCTTGGCGGAGGGTGCGGCTGCGGCGGCGGCACCCTTGCCGCGCCCGATGCCGCCCGCCTCGCGCTGCTGGTAAGCGAGGTGCTCCTGGAGGTGGCGCTCCGGGAAGGTTCAGGGAGGGTTCCGACTCCCTCTGCGCTGCGGGTGGGGGCGGTGGCGGTTTCCTTGCTCCCCGCCTTGACCTGCTTGGTGACCACGAGCTCCTCGCCGCAAAAGTCGACCGCCTGCGGGACGTGTCATGAAGGCAGGGAGGGGCGAGTCGAGGGCAGCGGCGGAGCGGCGCAGTGGCCAGCCGCCGAGGAGGGGATGGTGGACACGGCCGCACGCGCCGAGAAGGGAACGTTGAGGGGTGGAGAGGGGGCGGGGACGCGCGGCGTGCCGACACGGCCTTCGCCCAGTCGCACAGGGGTGGAGGGGAAGCGGCGGAGGGAGAGCAGGCGTGGCGCGCCTGGGTGATGGTCACCATCCCGCTCCCCGCCCCGCCGCCGTCCGAGGGGCGCGACGCCGCGCCCGCCGTCTTCGCGAGGAGCGCCTTGATGTCGAGCCCGCCGCCCTTGCCCACCGCGCCGCCTCCTCCGCCGCTCCCGCTCCCGCCGCCCGCTTTTCCCGCCGCCGCGCCGGGCACTGCCCGTGCCGGCTTTGCTGCCGGCGCCCCGCCGTTCATCTCGGCCCACAGGTCGTCCACCTTTGTGTTGCTGCTCGCCGCCTCCGCCTCCGCCTCGCTCGGACCGCCCGCCTCGCCCGCCGCCTCGTCCGCCGCCTCGTCCGGCTCTCCCGCTGCGGCCGCCTCGGCCGCCTCGTCATCAGACAGCGCGATGCCGCCGCCGCGCTTCGGAGCACCGCCCGCCTTCTTCTTCTTCTTCGCCGGCTTCTTGGGCTTGGGCGCCTGCCGCTTCGCGCCCCGCCCCTTGCCCTCGCTGTCCGCCACCGGCCCCACTTCCACCGCCGTCTCGTCATACTCTAGGTCGCCGTCCGAGTCTGAGTCGCCCTCGCCGGCGGAGGGGGCGTAATCGGCGTCCTCCTCCTCCTCCTCGTCGTCCTCCTCGCCCTGATCCTTGTCCTCCTCCACCTCGTCCTCCTCGACCAGGTCGCGCACGGTAGTCGACATCGATGACAGAGGTTCTGAGGCCCGTGAGGCGAAAGGCGAGTCGATGACACCCTCGAGTTGTTCGCGCCGTCGCAGTCGCAAAAACAAAAGCGAAATGACCGGTGCGCGCTGGTGCGCGGGAACGAGACATCGGCGCCAGGCAACTCCACCAGTGGCATGGCAACAGCGGGCGAGGAGCAGCCCGCGCATGCCGCTCCGACCGCAGACGAGTCCACGCTGCCCGCGCCCGACGCTCCGCCTCCGTCTCTGTCGGACCTTGGCCTCGCGGTTGGCGCGGAGGTTGAGGTGAGCTGGGAGGTGGAGCTGACCGACGGATCGTCGGGGAGCGTCTGGTGGTCGGGGCTCCTCGAGGCGGGCGTCGAGCCTGGCAGCCTGCAGTTGAAGTACGCGGCGGCGCATGGCTTCGAGGAGGAGACACGAGCCGTCCGCTTCGTCGACTCAACGCTGCTCATGGATACGGCGCTGCAGGAGACGCTCTCGTGGCGCATGCCGGGAGAGGAGGAGGGGGAGGAGGAGGAGGAGGAGGGGGACGTTGCGGCGGGCGAGGCGGTCGGCGCCAAGCGTCCGCGCGAGGGGGAGGAGGAGGACGTGGCGGACGGCTCGCTCCGCGTGGGCGCGCTCGTCAAGGCGCGGCTCGACGCGAGCGGGCGCTCCTTCTCGGCGTCGGTGCACGCGCGCAACGAGGACGGCACCTTCGACCTGTCCTGCGACGGCTCGCTTGTGGAGGGCGTCCCTGCGGCGCTCGTCGAGCCGGTCGCGGTGGGCGCGGCGGTGGCGGACTCGCTGCTGCGCGACGAGCCGGGCGGACACATCGAGGGCACCTCCGCCTTCTTCGACGCCTTCACCGCCGCGCTCACCAGCGGGCCAAAGTTCCGCACGCTGACGGCGGCCCCGCATCCGGCGGGCGGCGGACGATGCGCGCACCCGGCCTGAGCCTCCTCGGAATGTCCTCCGTAGGCGGCCCAGCAGGCGGTGGCGAGCGAGAAGGTGCAGTCGCTCCGGCCAGCGTTCGAGGAGGAGCTCGCCGCCCTCCGCGCCACGCGCGGCGAGGGCGCCACCGTCACCGACGTCGACATCCGGGAGATGATGCCGCGTGTGATGGCGCGAGCGGCCCGCGCAGCCACCTAGGCGGACCTTGCCTTTCTGCTTTCATTTGCCTGCCTCGCTCGGCGACTCGGGTTCGAGGGCGGCGCGGGGCCCGGGCAAGAGGCGCCAGACCCGACGCGCAAGGCGCCCTGTAGTCCGCGAGCGTCTGTGCGACACTTTCGTGCGACAGTGTGACGGACGATTTGGGAGCGAGAGCGGTGGCCACGGTGCCGGCGGGGGGTTCGGGCCGTGTGTCTGTGTGCGCCGGTCCTGGGCGGGCTCCTGCTCCTGGCACGGACTGCTGGCCGACCCTTCCCCCACGGGGCGAGCTGCGGAGGCGCTGGACCAGCGTTTGTGAGTATTATCTTATCTGAACAGCCGTATTGAATCGGAGAAAAAACAGAGCGAAGCGACAAAAGAAAATACACGCAGCGTCGTGGCTCGTGCTCGTCACAGCACATAAGCGATAACGGATAAGGTCATACTGACTCCGTCTTGTTCGCATCCTTCTTCCTCTTCTTCTTCTTGACGCCCTCTGGCCGCGCCTCTCCGGCGCTGGCCCCCTCCCCCTTCTCTCTCCGCTTCTCCTTCCGCTCCTTCTTCTCCTTCCTCAGCCGCTTCTCCTCTCTGCTCCGCTTCGCCTTGCAGCCGTCCGTCCCGCCAACCTCCGGCCCGGCGGCGGCCGCCTCTTTCGCAGCACTGCCGCCGCTCGCGCCACTGCCTCCGCCGCCGTACTTCGCCATGAACTCCGCGTCCGCGTCGCTCACTCGCTTCTCCTTGCCCACCTGCAGCCCCGGATGCGCGCGGCGGCCGAGTCGGGCACCGCCGCAGAGCTCAAAGAGGGCGGCGTCGTCGAGGCCGGGGATGATGCCGCTGCCGGCCGGCTTGACGCCAAACAGGTTGACGGCCGCGTCGCCGGCCGCCTCGCGCTCGCGCTTCTTCTTCTTGCTCTTGGGAGGCTTGACCTTGTCGACCGGCGGGCGCGGGAGGTCGGCCGGAGGCGCCCAGCTGGTGGACGCCGCCTCGGTCTTCGCGCCCAGCCCGAGCAGGTCCGCGCGCTGCTTCACACTGATGTGCGACTTCATGCCGTCCTCGTTCTTGCCGAGCCCCTTGCCCTCCGCCCACCCAAACTTGGCCAGCATCTTGCGTCCAAAATCGCACGACATGTCGGCCGCCGACTCGTTGACCACCGCGCCGAGCGAGCCGCGCGTCTTGCGAGAGAGGAGGCTCTGGTCGAGCATGATGAGAGCCGGGCAGCCACGAGTCCGTTGCAGCTGCTGCAACCTTGTACTGTGGAGCTGGCACGTGGGGTGAGCGAGGAGAGCGCACAGGCTCTCGAGGTCTCTTGGAATCCTCGTACTCAATTCTCGCAAATGGCGCCCAGCTAGCTTTGTTTTCTCCGTTTCCTTGTACAGGGTACAGCGAGAAAACAAAACGGTCAACACGAAACAAAACGCACCTCTGCCTCCCTCTTGCAGCCCGGCACACGACTAATCTCGATGCTCGCGGTCCTCAACACCTCCCAACAACAACTCCAAACACCCACTCACGCCCTGGCCCTCACGCCTCAGCCGGCGAGCAGCTGAAAGGCCAGCACAAAGTTGACCGTCACGAGCACGCAAGCGCCTAGGGTCCGGTCCGAAGATGAAGGTGAGGGGGTGCGGTGCGCGCAGGTTGCCCCGCACGAGCACAGCGAGCGCGCCGGCCACCAGCCCGCGCCCCGAGGACGGCTCCTCGCGCTTGCCGCTGCGCAGCCGTTCCTGCACGTTCACCACCGGCGTGTTCCAGGAAGTGGCGCGGAACCTCTGCGCCGCCTTGCGCCGCTCGGCCGCGTCAGCTGCCGCCTCGAGCTCCGCGTCGTACAGCTTGCGCGCCTAGGGAGGGCGGAGCGAGCGGGTCGTAAAAGACTGCAACTACCCCGTGAGTGCAAGAGGCGGCTGCCCCGTGAGTGCAAGCTGCTGCTCGGAGAGAGAGAATCCACGCGTGCCGGCGCATGCGGGCCGCCCGAACCGACGCAGAGCCCTGCCACCCACGCCCTCTCAGCCCTGCACGCCTCTGGGTCCGAGAGGAGTTGGAACGCCTCGGCCACCTCCTGGAAGCGACGCTCCGCCGCCTCGCGGCCGGAGCCCTGGTGCCGGTCCGGGTGCCACTCCTTGGCGAGCGCCTTGTACGCCGCGCGCAGCTCTCCCTCCCGCACGCGCCGCGTCACGCCGAGCACCTGGTACGCGTCGCGATCGTCCTCGTCGCCTGCCGGAGAGGGCGCGGCGCCGCTGCTGCGGTGGCGCGCAAGCCGCGCCGCTGTCGCCCGCGGGAGCTGGGCTGGTCGACACCGCAGCAGCGAGGAGGCGGCAGCGCCGCCGCGGAGCATATATCGCAGCTTGCCCATGGAGCAGACAGGCCAGGCTGCAGGCCACAGTGTGTGGTGTGTGTGTGCAGGCCACAGAGCGAAAAAGAATTGGCGCGATACCAATCAAAAAGAACTGTGTTTCGGTGTGAGCTCTGTGTCTTGATTTGCTACAATATACCAATCAAAAAGAAGAAAAGAAAACGTCGAACAGACGGGACGCACACACGACCCACCGACCGCTGCCGAAGAAACGCGGCACAAATCACGACACACAAAATCTCGCCCTCCGTACGACAGCACCCACCGCCATGTCCTCCGACTACCAGAGGCTAGGCGGCGGATCGTGGAGCAGTGCGACTGTCGCCGCCTTCATCGTCATGAATGCCGCGTTTGCTGCCTACCTCTGGTTGGGCATCCCCCGACTGTGCGCGCCGAACCCGGGGCTGGCCCACGCGCTCATGGGCTACATCTCGCTGCTCGGTGCCAGCCAGCTCTTCGAGTGCCTCATGACGGGCCAGGGAACCAATTACGGCAAGTTTGGCGCGGAGGGCGGCGGCGGCGCGGGCAGCTGGTATCAGCGCATTATGGACGCCGCAGCCAAGCCAACACTGCCGATTGGGCTCGCCTGGTGGACGATGGAGCAGCCCTCCCTGCTCGTCCCGCTCGTCTTCCTCGCCATCACAGCCTCGGCCGGCCCGCTCGACGCGGGCGCCGTCTTCCTCGGCCTCGCCCGCAGATGCCGAGAGACATTTCCACACGACTCATCCGCCGCCAGAGCCCTTGACGCTCACTTGCGTCTTGCAATAGGCTTGTTCTGCCTGCACTACTTGCAGCGTGCGTTTGTTTACCCGTGGCTCACGCGCGGGCGGCCGTACCCCACCCTGTACTGGGCGCTGGCACTCGTCTTCACAAGCGTCAACGGAACGCTGCAGTCACTCGAGCTCCTGTTCGGCGGCTACTACTCGGGTATGCAGGATGCGTTGAGCCCTTGCGCCCTCGCCGGCTCGGCTCTGTTCGCATTTGGCATGGCCACCAACGTCCACTCGGACTACATCTTGCGCAACCTGCGCCGACCGGGCGAGACAGGCTACAAGATTCCGCAAGGCGGCATGTTTGAGTACATATCCGGCGCAAACTTGTGGGGCGAGGTGGTGGAGTGGCTCGGCTTTGCCATCGCGACGCAGACGCCCGGCGCGGCGGTGTTCTCGCTCTTCTGCCTCGTCGGGATTGGCGGCCGCTGCGTGGCCACTCACGGCTGGTACCTCCGAAAATTTGGCGATGCGTACCCGCAGCAGCGCCGACGCATGATCCCTTTTGTCTGGTGAGAGGGCGGCTGCAACAGCAGTCGGCAGGCCCAGCGGCACGCACCGCCGCGCTCGCGAGTTCGAGAGAGTTTTTTTGCGTTTGGAAAGAGTGTCAGGACGCGAGCTCGCAGGTCGCCCAATCACTTGCCCAATCGGCAATCGCCCATCAACACTCTACATATATCCAGTGTGCAATCTTTACCGGTATGGGAGTTTTTGGCTAATCAAACCCAAGGCCTGCACTAATCAAAAAGTGGTACGGGATACCAGTTGCCTCACGGAAATCAAAGCGAGTCGGAGTGCCTTCTTGGTGGCAAAATCGGCAAAATCGGCAAAATACCGGGTATTTTGCGGGTATACCTGCAAAAACCCGGGTATACCCGGGTAATACCCGCACTTTTGCATGGTTTCGCCCCCGGGACCACACCGACAGCCGCTACAACTACTGAAAACCCCGCATAAGCCCGCATACCACTTTCGCATACCACTATACCATACCACTCCAAAACTAATCAAAATATCGCCAAATACCAGTCTCATACCGGTAAAGATTGCACACTGCATATATCCTCACACAACTGGTTGGCCCAACCAAGCAACCATGATGCATGAACGATGAAGCCATACACAGACCGAGGAGTACAATATCTACAAACAACAAAGCTCAGCACGTGTTGCACCGCTGACTTCCGCGGATCCGCGCAAGCCAAGGGGTCGGGCCGCACACAACACCGAAAACGCGCTCGGCTCTCCCCTGCGACCCGACGAGCCGACGACACCACACCCGCACCACATCGCTCCGCAGAGAACTCTGAATATAAGCGCTAGTCCTCGGCCGCGACAAAGTCGAGTTGCTCCTCTGCCGAGTAGCCGAATCGCTGCTTGTGCCGCTCGAAGAGGTCGAGCACCGCCGCCATGTACTGCTCGTGCACCTGCTGCACGTACTGGTCGTCGCAATCTGGGTCGTGCCGGATCGACATCGGCGCACCCCACACGTAGCCGAGAGATATGGGCGTGCCATCCGCCTGTGCGACCTTGCCAACGAAGCTCCACCATCGGCCAGCGAGGGCGCACCCCGCCAACTTGAAGCGCCGGTGCAGAAAGGCGCGCAGCGACGCCGGCAGCAGGACGATGTCGTGCACCCACTTCTCGCCTACCGGCACGCTCCAGGAAGGCTGCGCGGGAGCGTTCCCTTCAGGGCGATGCGCCCAGCATCTCGCCAAAGCAGAAGCCCGGCACTAGCTGCAAGCCGTGACGGATGGCGAGCTTGACGAAACCCTTGCGCCCGAGCAGCACCAGCTTCGTGGTGGTGGAGTGGCCGTCGGTGAGCATGAGCTCTCGCGTACCGCCGGGGATGAGCATGACGCTCTCGCCTGCGGGAGGGCTCGAAGACGGCTCGGGGAGCGGCTCACTGCTGCCGCGGCTACTCGCTAAGTGCTCGCCACGCGCGATCGCCCGCTCGAGGACGGGGCGCGACGCGTCGAGGCATCCTAAAGCGGCGGAGGCGGCCGTGAGAAACAACGCGGCGGGCCTGCCCGTGCCACGCGAGGCAAGACCGGAGCAGAGGCTGAACTCGCGCACGCCGGGAATAAAGAAGGCGCCGCCGAACGACCCCCAACGCGGCCGAATATCTCCGTACATCTGCCTCCAAAGAGAGCCGCCCGAGAAGGCGCGGCAGACGCCGAAGATGCCGTGCGGAGACATGGCGAACAGGTACCGCCCCTTTGGGTCGAGCGGCGGCCCCTCTCGTATGCACGTTGCGTTGTAGTAGCCGAGCACGAGGTCGACAACGCCGCTGTAGAGGAACCACGCAAATGGCCATCCCGTGGAGTTTTGTGGCCGATAAACGACAATTTGACCGAGGTATGCGAGCACGAGCACAGCCGCCGAAGAAGCTGAGAGCGCCCCGAGCTGCACGAGGCTCCAAACAGCCAACAGCGCCACGAGCCAGAAGCAAAAGTAGCTGGAGAACCAGAGTGCCGCAATGATCTGCAGCACGCCCACAGGATGCCAGATCGGCCTTCGGCGGCGATGGAGCACCAGATTTTTGGCGTCGGCCGCCATATCAGATATGCCACTTTCGCAAGTTGTTTGTCGATATTAGGCGGATCCGGTGGTGAGCCGGTGTGTGTGCCAGTCCGCGCCAGTCTGCGCCCTTATCGTTCGTGCAGTGTGCTGTGAGACCGGCGAAGATTCAGAATCTGACTGGCCCGCGTTCGATGAAAATAAAAATTATTGGAAAACGAAGAGAGCAAAGGACGAGGACGGTGAAAGGTGCCCGCCGCGGCTCACCGCGCGCGTGGGTCGCTTTTGCAGCCACCCACCGCTTTCCCCTGCCGCAAGGATGGCAGTCGACCAGCCCGTGCGCCTTGCTCTTCTCGCGCTGCACCTTGCCGTCGCGGGCGGCATGCAGCTGGTCGCCGACCGGACGACGGGCGGTCGGCGGCGGCCCGCCCATGTGCTGCCTCTGAACCTCTCGTCCTCACTTCCGGCTGCGCTGCAGATTGCGAGTGGTGGAAGGAGAAGGGACGTGATCGTCCTCTTCACAGCCGTGTTCCCGGACAAGCAGTCCACAACGCAGGTCAGCATGGGCGGTGACACCATCTCCTTCCTCCGCGCCGCCATGAGCTCCATGAGGCGCTTTGGGCACAGCGGGCAGTTGGTGCTCACCGAGCAGGAGCACGCCTCGCGGCTCTGCGGCCTGGCTGCGGCGCCGGTGTGCGGCTTTCTGTCGCCCGTCACGCCAGACGCCGCGTGGGGCCGGTACAAGGTCTCGCGCAGCCATTACTACGTGCTCTTCCTGCAGCGATGGCGCCCGCCACTTCCGCCGGCGCCTTCGTCCAGCGCGGCGTGTGCGAAGTGGACAATTCTGATCGTAGGCGGCTGCTCAGCAGGGCGCTGCACCTCGGCTACGACATGCTCTCGGTCGACACCGACATCATCTGGACCGGCGACCCGTACCCTAGCGCCGCCTCGCTACCCCTGGACGCGGCCTTTGCCACTGACGTGGCGCCGCCAATGGGCAAGGCGAACGACCGGGACCGGGCGGTGATCGGCGAGTCGACGACGTCGCACCTGCCGCTCAACTCGGGCTTCATGCTCGCGCGGCCCGAGGCGCAGCGCCTCTTTGCAGAGGTTGCTCGCCGGCTGCGCCACCGCCTCTTGCAGCCACCGAACAGGACGGTGACAGACGCTCCCCTGCCGCCCCTCTGCCCACCTCTCCTCTCCTCACCGCTCCCTCTCGCTTTCCCCACCTCTTCCGCTTTCCCCGGCTCTGCCGCGCTCTCCCCCGCTGCCGCTCTCTCTCTCTCTCTTCTCTCTCTCTCCACCTCTCCACTGCTCCACTCGCTTGCCGCCTCGCTCACCACTGACCTCACCGCCGCCTCTCCCTTCCTCCCCTCCGTGTGGCAGGTCGCGTCGGGCCGGGCTCGCGAGGAGCCTGTGCTGCACCAGGTCTTCCCGCAGATGGTGCTCAACGAGGTGAGCCCCGGACAGCGCACCCTCTGCGCACCCTCCTCTGCGCGCCCATGCCGTCGCGCGGGCGGGCAAGGGGAAAGGCCCAGCGCGGACTCCTTCGCATTCGAGACCCCGCGTCCCTCGTGCCAACCGCAGGTAGTGAAGCAGTGGAGGAGCACGCCCTGGAGCATTCACAGCGGGGCGGGCAGTGTCGGCGACGCCGCTGCTGTAGCCGGCACGGCAAGCGCCAGCGCGAAGCTCGGCACGCTCCGGATCGGCGTGCTGCCTCACAGCACGGTTGGGCGGCTGTGTGGCAAGAGGCGGCTGCCTGTCGTCTCTCCCACGCCCTGGCGGCGCCCTCCTCACCGTGGCACCCCGCCCGCGTAGGCTGTCGCGAGCCGAGGCGGACCTCATGTGGCAGAGCGCCGCGGTCGGGAACTGCTCGCTCGCAGCCTCCCAGCTGGGCCTCCACGCGCAGATGGTCAACCCGCTGACCCGGCGCGCTCTGTGGCCGCTCCTGCATCCGGTGGTGCGAGCTCAGGCGCGCGACTCGGGCCAGGAGGCTTTGGGCGGCGCGCATGGCGCCGCTGCCTCGCCGTCGGTGGTGGTCAGCTCCGCGCTCACGCCGCACGTCTGCTTGTGCCGCGACCCCGAGCAAGGGATGGGCAGCGGCTGCCGCACGCTCATGCCGCAGCACTCGTACCGCACCGGGGTGAAGAGGTGCAAGGGGTTCGCGCCGGGCTTCCGGTAAATTGCTTCGACGCCAAGCGTGTGCGGGTCGCAGCGTTGATTTTTTTTGAAGAAACAGACACCTGGGGGAAAAGGCACACAGGCCGCCACCATACACGCGTTTTCACACTGGAATTTAATTAGTTTTTCTCGCGACCTTGATCCTTTGTGTGGCGGCGGCACGGCGGCATCGCTCTCACCTAAAACGCGCAAACGATCGTCTCCGCTCTCTCAGACGACGCGGCACACTCTGTGCTCCTGGGGCATCGATGGTATAAAAGAGTGTGACGGCGGATGTGATGTAAGGACCTGGTCCAGTAGTAGGGCGTGGGAGGGGCTGGTGAGTAGCCACCCTAAACTTACTAGCAGGCCAAAAGTCTGAGGGAGGGTCGGTATAGGGTCGGCGTAGAGCGGGATGTAGACGGTGTGTACCGTGTAGAGAGCCTCTCTAGAGCGCTGTCGAGAGCTGTAGAGCTGTAGAGCGCTGTAGACGGCGCTGTAGAGCTCTACATCCGGCGCGTGGCGGACCGCCATAGATCTGATGTAGGAGCGCTGTAGAGGCCCTCTTACAGCGTGAAACCTCTACAGCAAACCGCTCTCGACATAAACGAAGCGGCGAACGAGGCACGGTCGCTCTCCCAAATGAGGCGCCTTGCGCTTTGTTTCCAGTGCTGCCCTGGCCTTCTCGTTGCCCGCCCAATGGGTGGCAGGTGCCTCTGCTGCAGTGGCATGCCTCACGCGTCACGGCTGCGACTGGCCGGCGCCCGCTCGGCGCGTCAGCTCGGCTCGGCGTAGTGATAGTGGCCAGCGCAACTCGCCTGGACTCAACGCTCAGCCAGGAGCTCCCGCACGCGCTGGCGCGAGTCATGGCGCATGCAACGCGTCTGAATGCTCGCCTCGCCTCGCGCAAATGCGACCGTCCTCGCAGCCGACAGTCCACCGCCCGCCGGCCTCACCTCCATCGGCGACGGCGCCTTCCGCGGCTGCTCTGCCCTCGCCCGCGTCACCGTGCCAACCACTACCACCGTCGGCAACAACGCCTTCCCCTCCACCGACGCCGTTCTCCGCCTCCCGCCCGCAAAGCATGCGCTGGTACGAGGCGGTGGATGGGGCTCTGGCCTGCAAGCGCTGCTGCCCCCTCCTCTACGGCTGGCTGGAGCGGGCCCAGATCAGGCTCGGCTCGTACGGCCCGGACGGTGCGGCGCGCCAGCGCGACCGCGAGGAGTTCGAGGGCGACTTTGCAGACCCTACGCTCCATGCAGACTGACGTGATTGAAATCGCTGTGAGTAGCTGAGTGGTGTGAGAGTGCACTCTCCGTTTGTGTCGTTGTCGTTCTGTCGCCTGACTGATCAATTATGAAAGAAACGGAGGATGGGGCTCCTGTGTCGTCCAGGCCACGAATTCTTTTTACGTGGCTCTGGCCCTGTCGCGCTGCCATGCCCATCACTGCCAGCTCGGGCTCCGCCGCCTTCGCCAAAGCGCGTCCCGACCTGGACGGCCTCATCAAGCGCCGCTTCTTTTACCGGCAGGCCTTCGAGATCTACGGCGGCGTCGCCGGCTTCTACACGTACGGCCCGCCCGGTGCGGCGGTCAAGCAGAACCTGCTCGCGCTGTGGCGGAAGCACTTTGTGATCGAGGAGAACCTGATGGAGGTGGACGACACCAACATCATGCCGCACGACGTCCTCTTCGCCTCGGGCCACGTCGAGCGCTTCAATGACTTTATCGTCAAGGACTCGTCCGACGCCAACCGCTTCTGGCGTGCTGACAAGCTGCTCGAGGAGGTGATGGAGGCGAAGATGGCAGACAAGGCGTGCACGCCGGAGCAGAAGGTGGAGTATCAAAAGGTGCACGCCCAGGCCGACGCCTACTCCGCCGAGCAGCTCTCTCAAGTCTTTGCCCAGTACGGCATCAAGGCGCGAGGCACCGCCGCCCGCTCTCCTCCACCGCCGCACCCTCTGCCCGCACAGTCACACCGCCACGTCTTCGCACCCTCTGCCCTCCACTGTCGCCGCGCCCATCCTCACTGCCACCGCCCTCGCCGCCGCCCTCGCCGCCGCCGCCCTCGCCGCCGCCTCCCACGCCGCCGCCCTCCCTCGCCGCCGCCTCTGCAGGCGCCCGAGAGCGGCGCCGAGCTGACGCCGCCCGAGGAGTTCAACTTGATGTTCGCGACGCCCATCGGCCCGTCGGGGATGATCCAGGGCTACCTCCGCCCAGAGACGGCGCAGGGCATCTTTCTCAACTTCAAGTTTTGCCTCGAGCAAAACAACTACGCGATGCCGTTCGGGATCGCGCAGGTCGGCAAGGCGTTCCGCAACGAGATCGCGCCGCGCTCGGGCCTCATCCGGCAGCGCGAGTTCACGCAGGCCGAGATCGAGTACTTTGTCCACCCGCAAAAGAAGGCGCACCCAAAGTTCGCCGCCGTCGGCTCCCTCCAGCTCGAGCTGCTCCCGTCGCCCCAGCAGCTCGCAGCGCAGCCGGCGGTGCGCATGAGCCTCGCCGAAGCCGTCGCCGCCGGCACCGTCGCCAACGAGACGCTCGGCTTCTTCATCGGGCGCACGTACCAGTTCCTGGTCCGCGCGGGGTGCAAGGCGGAGCACATACGCTTCCGGCAGCACCTCCCAGACGAGATGGCGCACTACGCGTGCGACTGCTGGGACGCCGAGATCGAGATGTCCCTCGGCTGGGTCGAGTGCGTCGGTGGTTGAGACCCGAGATTAGCCGAGATTAGCCGAGATTAGCCGAGATCGAGATGTCCGTCGGCTGGGTCGAGTGCGTCGGCACTCGTGCCCGACTGGTCCGCGTGCGTGCGCGCGCCGTGGTCAGCCGAGATGAGCCGAGGTGCGGCGAGACTAGGCATCGCCGACCGGTCGGCGTACGACCTGACCGTGCACGCCAAGGCGACGAACACCCCGCTCATCGCCGAGGAACCTTTCGAGGTGCCGGTCAAGGTTGAGCGGTACGGGCTGAGCAAGAAGGCTGCGGCCGCTAGATGCGGGACCTCTCCCCAGATCCTCCCCAGATGCTCCCCAGATGCTCCCCAGATGCTCCCCAGATGCTCCCCAGATGCTCCCCAGATGCTCCCCAGATGCTCCCCAGATCCTCCCCAGATGCTCCCCAGATGCTCCCCAGATCTCCCCAGATGCTCCCCAGATGCTCCCCAGATGCTCCCCAGATGCTCCCCAGATGCTCCCCAGATGCTCCCCAGATGCTCCCCAGATGCTCCCCAGATCTCCCCAGATCTCCCCGTATCTCGAGGCCTAGATGCGGGGATGCAGAGGCCTGTACCTGCACTCCGACTAGCGCTCGAGAAGAAAGACACACCGTCCGTGTGCAGCTGTCTTCGTAGCCCTCGCGGTGACGCGGTGCTCCGAAGACACACTGCTCGACTCCGCCTCCTCCCCTACCCCTGGCGCACTCCTGACGCAGGCGGCGGCAGCACTCGGCAAGTCCTTCAAGAAAGACGCCAAGCGGGTGACGGGCAAGCTGGATGAGATGTCAGCCGAGGAGCTCAAGGCGCTCAAGGCGACGGCGGAGGCGGAGGGCAAGGCGCCGCGCGCACGCTCACACACAGACCCAGCAGCGGAGCCCCCCCCCCCCCCCCCTCAACACACACGGCCGACGGCGGGGGGGGAGAGGCGCGTGGTCGGCGACGGTGGAGAGTCTCCCCACTGCGCGGCCTCCCTCGCCTGCAGGCGTCGCTGACGGTGAGCGACTGCGGCGGCAGCGACACTTTCGAGATCGCCAACGAGCTGCTCGTCTTCGAGGCGACGAGCGGAATTGCCCGACAGCCGAGAGGACAGCCGAGAGGACAGCCGAGACCAGCCCCGGGCCCTCGCCCCCCTCGGGCGTGTGGAGTAGCCCAGCTCCCTTCCCCCTCCCGCCAGGCGACAACCACGATCATGCACGTCGAGAAGTACACGCCCAACGTGATCGAGCCCTCCTTCGGCATCGACCGCATCCTGACCGCCATCTACGAGCACACCTACTCGGTGCGCGCAAAGGAGGGCGACGCGCCCGAGGAGCCGCCGCCCAAGAAGGGCGACAAGAAGGACAGCGCGACAGACGCCAAGCCGGGCGTGCTCGCGTTCCCGCCCGAGGTTGCTAACCCTACACCTTAGCCCCCGCCCCAACCCTAACCCTAACCGTGCTCGCCTTCCGCCCGAGTTTGCGCCGTACAAGTGCAAATCTCCCCCGATCTCCCCCTACCTCCCCCTATCTCCCTCCCTTAGGTTGCGCCGTACAAGTGCGTCGTGCTGCCGCTCGACATGCGGATTGTCCGCGAGTGCGAGTACGCCGGTATGCGCGACGCGCTGCGCGCCACCCTGTCCGAGCAGGGGCTGCAGTACAAGGCTGGACGGGCCGGCGCGCCTCTTCCTTCCTGAGTGAGCGGGTGACTACCTTGTGCTCATGTGCAATAGGTGGACGAGTCGGGCGCGTCAATCGGCAAGCGGTACGCGCGCTCCGACGAGCTCGGCATCCCGTTTGCAATCACGATCGACGAGGACTGCCTCAAGCAGTTTAAAGCGGACGCCGCGAGCGCCACGGCCACGCTGCGCGAGCGCGACTCGACGCGGCAGGTTGGCGGGTAGCACTCTTCTCAACGCCGCTCCCGCCCGTCTCACCGGGCGTGGATGGAGATGCGAGGGGAGTGCGCCCCTGTCCCTCTTTAGCGCGCGGCCGGGGGGGGGGGGTTGCCTGACGCTGCCCGGCACCCCAGGTGCGGCTGCCGCTCTCGACGATCGCGCAGACGGTCGCCCAGCTCTGCTCGGCCAGCACGCTCACGTGGGACGAGCTCGATGCGGACTTTGCCGGCACGGGCGCGGACCCGAAGGTCGCGTACCTGAAACAGATGGGCGTGGAGGAGGCGCTCAGCGCCGCCGTGACTGCGCTCGCCAAGGAGAAGCCGGCCGACCCGATGAAGTGGCTGTCGGCACGGTTCGCCGCTCTGTGAGTGAGTGGGGGCACAGAGAGCGGAGAGAGGAGCGCGCGTCAGGCGCGGGTCGCGGGACGTGCCCCCGAACTTTGAGGGCGCGCCCATTGTGCGCGGCAGCGCGAGCGAGGTTGTGGCTTGTGCGGCTGGGCGGCGGGCGGGGGCCGCCTGGGGAGAGGCGATCGCGAGGGTACCTTTACGTCAGACGTCACGTCCTCACGTCCTCACGTGCGCACAGTGCGTCTTGCTCTCTTGCTAAGTTTAAACTTTCTTATTATTCCCGCATCGGGGGTGGGGGTGGGGGGCGAAGTGTGTGCGCGTCCCTCGTTCCACGGCGGCCTCCGGCTTCCCCCCCCCCGCCCGCTGCTGAGCAGGTGTGTGTGGAGGCGCATAAACTGGTTGCCGCACAGTAAGACCCGATGCGCTTCCAGCAGCGACGGCATCAGCCGCTCTGCCACGTCGATGCCGATGTTGAGCTCACGATCCCTCTGCCTGGTGGTGTGCTGGGCAGCGGATTCTCGACCGAGACGGTGCGCCTGAGCTCTGCGCGATGGGTGGGCTGGCTTCCACGAACAGCGCCGCTCCCCAAACATGACGTCGGACGAGCCTTGCGAGCGGGTCATGCCGTCTGCGGCGAAGTAGTGAGCGCCGATGACGACCAGCAGGCCTGCTGCAGCAGTGCGCTGTGGTCCATGCTTCCAGAATGCGAGTCACGCTGGGCCGCTCGAGGAGATTCGAGGTCGAGATTCGAGGCCGCCTGCTGGTCCGTCGCCTGCCTCGCCCGGACGTACTCGCTCACGCGGGGTTCGAGCCGCCGCCGTCACCGACGCCGCTGCTGCCACCGACGGGTGGCGGCGCTGTCGCATCCGTTCCAGTGGCGCCGCCCTGCTGCTGCTGCTGCTGCTCCTCCCGCGCGATGCGCTCTCGCTGCTTGCGCTCCTTCTGTCGAAGCCGCTTGCGCGCCTTCTTCTCCTCGAGCCGCAGCTCGTCCGCGAGCGTCTCGAGAGAAAGCTCGCCTGCGACAAGGCTCCAGGAACGCTCTGAGAGGCCATGACAGGGTGAGCGTGTGCGAGTGGCGTGGCATGGTGATGGGATGGGAACAGCTCACCGCTGCCGCCGGCACCCATCTCCTCGAGCGCCGCTCGCCGCTCCGACTCGAGGTACGCCGCCCGTGCCTCGGCCTCGGCCTCCGCCGTCCTCTCCGCCTCTGCCTGCAGCCGCGTCTTCCCCGTCGGCACGATCCCTCCGACGCCGCCCAGCTTCTCCGTCATGTCCCTGATGTGTTGCTGCGCCTCCTCGCGCATCCGGTCGGCGCGCTCGCCGCCGATTGCGGCGCCCGCAGCCACATGCCGGTCGGCGAGCTCGGTCGCGCGCGTGATCCGCCGTATCTCCTCCATCAGCTTTGGCACGTAAGTCGGCTGCACAGGGCCGCCGATACGCTCGAGCGAGCCAAAGGTGGGCTCGCAGCCGTCCGCCGTTGTGCGCATCGAGAAGCAGAAACGCGGCAGCGGGCCGCGCGCCTTCCTGATGCTCACAATCTCTCCGACGTCGCTCAGCTCGAGACGCCACAACCCTGGCCGGCTGAGGAACGGCGCGACCAGCCGCAGGTTCGCCATATGAATCCTTTCGCCAAGCTCTTGCTCGGCCGTGCGGCCGCTCATCGCTGCAGGAAGCGCGCGGTGGGAAGGGGTCAGCGCCGAGCCGCAGCGGACGTGTGTTTCTTTTTCTCGAAAGCTTGCGAAAGCGCTCGAAGGTCTCCTGACTCAGTCTGTAAAGTACCACAACCCATGGCTCTGTGCCCCGCTCGTCCCACCGTGTCCACCACGGCGCACGGGGTGATATGGGCGGAGTCTGTTCCAAGCGCGTGTGCGCACACACACTCTCTCTCTCGCTCGCTCGCTCGCACGCGCGGCGTGCGCGAGCGGCCCTCCACGTGGGTGAGGCGGCGAGAATAGTCTCCTCTCCAGCGCTTGCCCTGCAACTGGCCGGGCGTGGGTGCTCCATCCTTCATGCCTTCGCCTTGGTTGGCCTCCTTCTTCTTCTCAAGGTCGAGGAGGATGCCGACGACTCTCTGCACAAGGCCCAACTCCTGGGCACGGGCAGTGGTTGTCAGTGCAATAAGGGTAGAACACCAGGCTAGGCGCGCGGTGCTGTCGCCTGCTCGCGAGAGTCGGGTCGGCTGCCAGCGGAGCGGCCGCTCACTGCTCGGTACCCCCCCTTGCACATCTAAAGCCATCCCTGCTGCTAGGGGGGGGTCTGACCCCCCCAGCAGCAGAGCGCTGCTGCTGGGGGGGGGGGTCCGGACCCCCCCAGCAGCAGAGCGCTGCTGCCGGGGGGGGGGGTCCCGACCCCCCCAGCAGCAGAGCGCACGGACCCAGCTCTCCCGCCTCTTCGCCGCCGCCCCACCCTCCACCCTCGGCTCGTGTTTGAGCGGTACGCTCGAGGCGGTTGTGTTCACCGCGCCTTCGAGCCCAATACACCTAGCAGCCCGACCGCCGCGAAGCGTGATGATAGCGAGAGGTGTACTCCGCGAGGTTGAGCGCTGCACGCGGTACTTGGCGGTGTCGCAGCGTCGAGCAACACTCGGTGTCAGAGCGTCGCGCCAAATCAGTAGTCTCATCACCGAGTGATTGCTGGCCTGTGGCGTATGACCTCACGCGGATATCACCAACGATGAGCATGCGAAGATAGGGAACAATATCTTGTACAGGCTGTGCTCCCAGGGCTGTGCCACGGCGTATGCCGATGGGCTGCGAGAGCCGTATCTTCCCTCCTTGAGGCAGAGGCGCCGCGATGCACGAGAGGCGTAGAAGAGAGGCTGGCGTGCCCCGCACCTCCCGGTTGGCAGTAGGAGGGCCCGCCGGTGAGACCACTGATTTTGGTGCCGACCATAAATTATCGCCACTGGAACGCATGGGCATGCTACTTTTACAGCTGCTGTCTGTAGACTGTACAGAGATGCCAGCACCCCCCACAGGCAGAGCGCTCCTGCTGGGGGGGGGGGGTCCGGACCCCCCCAGCAGCAGAGTGCTGCTGCTGGGGGGGTAAGGATGTGTATAAATATTGAATATATTGCTCCAATACTTAGAGGCGCAGTCAATCTCCAATATATTGTCAATACTTAGAGGGGGTTGGCCCTGGTCTGGTCGGGGTGGACTCCGTTTCCAGCGATGGGAGGTCCATCCCGGGCTTGAGGACGCTCGAAAATCGCCTTAAATGGGCCAAAATCGCTTGAAAATCGCGATTCGCATCAAAATCGCTTTCTGCCATGCTTTCTACTCGCAAATCTTTCGATTTCAAGCCACCACATAGGCGATGTTTGGGTCAAATTTCAACATTTTATGCTTTTTGAGGTAAAAATCAGCGATCAATACGTCAATATATTGTCAATACTTAGAGGGAAGGCTGTCAATATTCAATATCAATACTTAGAGGGGCGAGAATCAATATTTATACACATCCTTAGGGGGGGGGGGTCCCGACCCCCCCAGCAGCAGAGCGCTGCTGCTGGGGGGGGGGTCGGCCATGGCTTTAGATGTGCAGGGGGGGTACCGAGCAGTGAGCGGCCGCTCAGGAGCTTGGCCGCGGAGAAAGGCAAGCTGTTCGCCCTGCGCTCAGCACGCAGCCGCAGAACACGCTTGCGTGGCGTGTCATCCGTGCCTGGAATGACCGTGTCGTACTGGTATCGACGGCCATTCCAGAAGGCGGGGCAGTTTTCGATTGCCGAAGCTGCTGTCTGCACGACCCGAGCCCCCGCGAGGTTCACAGCCTTGTTATTGAGAAGAAAGTACCTCCTATGGCGCTGTGCGCTGGTCTGTGAGAGGTTGAGGTGCGAGCCCTGGAGGCCCTGGGGATGGGGTGAGACTACCCGCGGGCCTAGAAGGCCCGCGCGCAGGGGGGGTGGGACATTGAGACCGGTCATGAATGAGTGCGCGACACGCATGTTGCGAGCAGCGTTGTTGATGTTCTGCGCGTCGCCACAGACGGCGGCGCGCGAGAGCTGTTGCGAGTGGTGCTGGACGAAGCCCCGGGCGCTGCCGGAGGCTGTGCCGTAGTCGGTGCGGTCGACGGCGCTCGGGCTGCCGACCTCTTTGGCGAAGTTGAAGATGATTCTCTTGGTCGGCGGCGCAATGCCGCCCTGGCTTTCGACGAGACCAATTTTGACGATTCCGTTCATGCATCATGGCATGGAGCGCGTCGTAGTACTGTCCCTTGTGCTCTTTGACCCAGCCTTTGCCGGTCGCATGGACGAGCGGCCCCTGTGACTTGTGGCCGCGCTCTTTGCACCCAAGAACCTTGAGCAAGGTTTGGTCGAGGGTGCCGCCTAAAAAATTGTGGTAAGCCCCCCAAAAAGAAAGAAAAAAACTGTTTTTCCGCGCGAGGACTTTTCGAGACTTTCCGAGAGTTGGCCTTTTTGCCATCGCCCAGCCAGCATGGTGGCTGACCTGCTGCTGGCTAAGCTGCGCGAGCTACAGGCAACAGTCGAGTCGACAGAGCCGGAGGCGTCCATCCTTCCGACATGCCTCTCCCTCCTCGATCAGCTCGGCACGGTGCTCGGCGGCGGCGGCCCTCCCCCTTTAACGACCAGGGAGGACCGGTACGGCGGCGTCGAGATTGAGGTACCGATTTCTGCCGCGGACACGCCGCACGCGCTCGGCGTTGAGCTCAGCCGCCGGATTGAGCAGTGGGCCGCCGCGGGCAAGCGAGGGCTCTGGCTCAAGATCCCGCTGGAGTGCGCCGCCTTTGCGGGCTCGGCGGCGGCGCAGGGCTTCCAGTTCCACCACGCAAAGCCGGAGTACGTCGAGATGACCCGCTGGCTGCCTACCGACCAGCCGAGCCCGCTTCCCGCCTACGCCTTCACCCAGGTACCCACCACCGCTCACCCGAGCCGTCACCAAAGTGTCTACTGCCGCCTTTCGCCCACGCCACCGCCTGCGCCTTTAGGTCGGCGTCGGCGGCGTCGTCGTCAACTCCGCGGGCCATGTGCTGATGGTGCAGGAGCGCGGCTCGGCAACACCTCGGCCGACTTCAGACCACTTCGGCTGCCTCGGCCAACCTCGGGCCACCTCGGCTGCACCTCGGCCCAGCTCCAGGCATCCGCCGTGCAGGAGCGCGTCTCTCCGACGGCGAAGATGCAGGGCAGCTGGAAACTGCCGGGCGGGCGTCGCGCGCGCACCGGAGGGCGAGGCTCTTTGGAGGGCCCTTCTCTGACGCTTCTCGGAGCCTTCCACCAGGCGGGCTCGCCGATCCGGGTGAGGACTTTGCCGACACGGTCGCGCGCGAGGCGCGCGAGGAGGCCGCCCTGGCCGCCGCCTCCGGCGGACGCCTCTGAGGCTCTCGGAAGCTTCCCGCAAGGTGCGCGAGGAGACGGGGATCGCCGCCTCGCTGTCCAACGGCGGCGGCGTCGTCTCGCTGCGCCACTCGCACGGTTTCCGGTTCGGCGTGGGCGACTTGTACGTGGTCTGGCGTGGGAGAGATGCTGAGGCTCGGTCGGGAGGGGGCCGAGAGGCGCGCCGTCGAGAGTAGGCGGCGAGTCTGTGCGCGAGGGCAGCGCACGCCGCCAAACGGTGACCATGCAACCATTAGTTAGGTGGTCAAGCTCGTGTGCGAGGGCAGCGAGGAGATCCAGATGAACGAGCGCGAGCTCGCCGGCGCGCGGTGGGTGCCGTGGGAGGAGGTCCGGGCGATGGTGGCGCCTGCGAGCGCAGAGAGCTTTGACGGAAAGGTGAGCCAGACCAACCTCGATTTCATCTCCAGCGCGCTCAGCGGAGCGCTCATCGCCGGCACGCCCACGCCAAGCAGCCGGCCGGGCGTAAGCTCGATGGTCTACACGGCGCGCGCAGCGGAGACTTAGGCGCCTCTGCTCTACCGTACGCTTGGTTCGGAAATTCGCCCAGACAACCAAACGCAATCCCGCAGCGCGCAAAGCGTGTAAGATTCGGACTCGTTTATCCATCGCGGTGGACGGATAGCCGCACATGAGTGGGGAGCGGCGTCTTCCCTCTGCACGCCCGCTCCACGATTGCCAGCGCCAGGCGTAGTGCAGCGGGCGGGTGGGAACCGGATTGGGCGGGGAAGAGACGGGCGGTACTCGTTGTGAAAGACGAGCACGTACGGGGGAAGGACCGAGGGTTGAGGAAATCGGGGGACGCGACCCACCTCGCCAGGCAGGACGGTCCCGCGATCCCGCGCGCCTCTCGCGTCCACTGCGCACGGCACTGGTTGCTGTACATATCCTCTCCGCGCGGCGCGCACCGCCCACCGGGGTCTCTCTGCTCTCCCTCCTCTGCCGACGGGGCGGCTCTAGGTCTAGCTACTCCGCGGAAAAATGCGAAATAAAATCCGTCTCCGCACTCCGGAGGTCCGGACTCTCCCGTCTCCGCACTCCGGTCTCTCCGCACCGAAAAAAAGAAAAAGCGGCCGCGAAAAGCACCTCAATCCTCATCTCGGAGACATCAGATGGGAAAATCATTACCCGTTGGTTACTCTATTCTCGGCATCTCGGTACTCGGACTCGGTCCTCTTTCTTTACATGCGGCTCTGAGCGGGGGGTTTGAGCGCGGCGGGACACACACCTAAACCAAGCGGCACGTGTGTGTGTGACTGTGCGCGCGCCCCCCGGTGTGCGTGAGGATACCCGCAAAGATCTCGTCCGCTGCTTGAATCCCCCCCGCAGCGTCGCAGTGTCGCCTGCCTAGTCCTATAAAGTACACCGGCCGCCGACGCAAGAGGCTACCTCCTGCCGCGCCGGCCGCTTCATCGTCGCCACATGCATCGAACGGCACATCATCTCGACGGCACGTCCCAAAAGGCCCCTGGTCGCAACCCCACGCCCGGCCAGACGGCGCGCACACCCTCGGTCCCTCGCTGCGCCTCATAGCCGCTTGATGGACTTCTTCTTCTCCTGCCTCCTCTTCTCCGCCTCCTTGGTCTCGATTGGCTTTTGCCGCTTCTCCACCGGCCCCCCCTCGCCCGTCGCGCTCGTGCCCGCCGCGCCCGCCGCGCCCGCTACCCTCGCATGCACCTCCGTCATCATCGCCGCCTGCGCGCCGCAGGTCGGGCGCGGGTCGGGTCGGGCGCGCGCGCTCCGCTCGCGCGATGCGGCGCGGGCGATGCGATGTGGCGCGGTGCGTGCGTGCGTCAAGGGGGTGCGGCGCGACACGGCGGAGCGTGCATCACGGCATTGCGTGCGGCGTTGCGCGCGTGCGGTGCGTGCGCGCGCCTTTTTGAAGTACTGGTCGTAGTCCTCCATAAATAGCTTGCCCGCCTCCTCGTTGAGTGCAGACTCTGGGAAGGGGTTGATGAGCAGGCAGCGAACCACCTGCAGCACGTGCCCGACGCCAACGTCCTGCGATGGGGCGGAGGGGAGGAGGCGGTGGCTGGAGGCGGTGGCGGGAATCAGGAGGGAAGGAGGCGGCGACGGCGCCGGTGGTCCCTCTCTCTCGGCAAGGCGTAGAAGCGGCACGGCGGCGTGCTCTCGAGGTGTGCGTGCGCGCGTGCGTGTGCGCGCGTGCGTGTGCGTGAGTGTCGCGGAGGTGCGGCCGACCTGCGTCCAGCACGCGCTTGAGCGTGTGTGCGGACGCGCGTCTCCCGCACTCTCGGCTAGATCTACGGCCACATCTCGGCTCGATCTCGGGCCTGCTTCCAGTCGCGCTTCAGCGTGTTGACGCATATCTCGCCAGCCTTTGAGATGTTCGGGTGGTAAATCTTGGTCAGAAAGTAGCCTGCGGGCGCGGCGCGGTCGACAGGGCGGTGAGAGCGCGCCGCACAGGGGACGGGAGGCGAGGGCGCGCGGGACAGCGGCGCGCGACACTGCGGCGGCGGCGGCGGCGGCGCGCAGCAGGGCAGAGCGCGCGGACCCTTTGGAGGCGAGGCGGGGTAGTCGCTCGGCAGCACCAGCTTCACCTTGAAGGTGCCGCTGTGGAAGGGCGTCGCCACTGCGCGCGGCGGCCGCAGGAAGGGTCAGACTGTGCAGACAGTGCCAGAGGAGGGCGCGCGCAGCGGTGCAGCCATGTGGAGCGGCGCATCGAGCGCGGGCAGGCCGCGCGCGCGGCGCGCACCGGGCCCTGCGATGTCAGCGACGATGTTGGTGATGTCCTCCTCGTTGAGGAGCACCTTGATGCCCTCCAGCGGCTCGTTGGTAAGCTTCCTCAGCTCTTTCGCCACCGCCATGACGACGCTCGGCGCGATGTTCTCGTTGGACTGAGACTGCGCGAGGCGAGGCGCGAGACGAGCGACGTGAGGCCGCGTGTGTGGGGGAGGGCAGCCCGGGGGGGAGGGCAGCCAGGCACCATGCAGCACTCCTCGCTCTCTCTTTCAACCCGCAGTGTTCACACCGCTGTTGAGAAGAAATCGGCCGGGCGTCGTGCCCCCAACAACGCCTCCCCGGCGCAGAGGGCCCCCCGGAGGGATGCTCAACCGGTCCACGCCACGCCGCTTGCGGGGGTCCTATTCCGATTCCGCGTCGAAAAGAAATCCTGATGCCGCAGTTAGAGGGTCATTTTTGAACGCGCGGGCGGCACGGCTGTCTTGCGTGCGTTGTAGAGCGATGTAGAGCCGCTCTACAACGTGAAATCTCTACAACAAACTCTACATCAAAAGCGGCGAACGAGGCGCGCGCGCGTCGCGCGCCACCCACGCGTCGCTCCGTCCGCGCGCGAGGGCGCGCGCCTACCGCGATTCGAACAGGCAAAAGGCGCCCGGGCGAACCGCGAACCGGTCGCGCCTCCGCGGATGCGGGGTTGATAGAGCAGGCTGGCTGCACCTCCTCATGTACCTCCACTTTTGGGTGGCGGTCACGCGCTGCTGACGGCGCTCGTCGACGTTCGCCGCGCTATGGCGCTCGCGGCGCGCTCGTGGCGTTCAGGGCGGCTCGCACAGCGCCCACACACGCACACACGCACACGCACACGCACACACACACACACACACACACACACACACACACACACACACACACACACACACACACACACACACACACACACACACACACACACACACACACACACACACACACACACACACACACACACACACACACACACACACACACACACACACACATGCATGCATGCATGCATGCATGCATGCATGCACAGACACACAGCCCTTTCCTTCCCCCTCAAGACTTCAAGGGCGAGGACACACACAGGACGCACCTCTAGCCCGCATAGTATTGTGGGAGACTCCTGCCGCCGCCCCTGCCACCCCTGTGTCAGTGTGCCTGTGGTTGCGAGAGACTGCCAGTGAGAAGCTGGAGGCAGGTCGCTAGACTGAGATGAGACCGCCAGTGGAGCTGGGAGTCCACCGTGCACCGCGCTGCGAGCCTGTCGTGTCCCTTGTCAGGAGCAGGAGAGCCCCACCTGTGCCCCTGATCGTCCTTCCAAAATCCGGCTCGTGCAGGTGTGGACCCTGTCCTCCTCCCCCATCCCTCGTTTGGGTTTGTCTGTACTTGGAGCACTTGGAGTGCAATCTGTTTTCTTTCTTTCTTTTTTATAGGGTGTTGTGTGCCGTCAGAGTGACCCTCTGTGTCGGTCAGGGATAGGGTCCAGGGCCGTCCATCAGAGAGAGCTCCAGTAAGCTCGGAGACACCCCAGTCAAGAGAGCGCCGTAGAAAAGAAAACCCTGTGTGCCGTCGTTTGGGTTGTTTGTTTTCTTTCTTTCTGTCATCATGCAACTGCCGTCCCTCACAGCCTTCCCATTCGCGCCGTGGCCCCTCCGCCGCAAAGCTGGCCTGGATGCGGTTCGCACAGGATGAGGAAGGCGCTACTCGTAGGGAAGGCGGGGACTTTTGCTGGAGCCCCTCCCCCCCCCCCCCCGGGGGGGGCGGACAGCACACTCTCTGCATGTATGTGAACGTCTATTCACTATTGACCTTCCAGCTTGCATTTCGAGCTCGTCCGCTCGTCGCACGACCGTTGAGGGTCTTCAGGATCAGTCAGGTAAGATCGCCACCCTTGCCGGGGACCAAGGAAGGTGTGTGTCTGAGCGTGTGTCGTTGCAATGGTTACACTTGACGGTATCTTATCTCCCTCACGTGCACGCACGAGAGCACGAGTGACGAGAGCCGTCTCAAGACAACGCACAGCGAGGAGGGAGGCGTGAGGAGCGCCTCGCGTTGCCAAACCGCGGCAGGCAGCGCTCCCTCTTGGCTCTTGTACTTGTTGTCCCGCCGCCCCAGCCGATCGGCTACGACGGGGTGGTCAAGACTGCAAGGCCAAAAGCACCTTTTTACGCCACTACGGCAACCGTCGAGCCCCTGGCGTGCCCTGTCAGATCTCCAAGTCCAAAGCGCAGGCGCACCATGAAATTTCTCCCTTTGGAAGGATGACGGCATCCTCCCAGGTTTTTGCCCTTGGGCGTCTGCCTCTTCCGTTCCCTCGTCGTGCAGAATCTCGCCAATTCTCGCAGAGCGACCTTCATACCTTCATGTCACCTCGCGGTCGTCCAACCAAACTGCACGGTAAATTTCTTTTTCAGGCGGCTCCCGTGGTGTACCTCTGTGTGTTAGTCAGTGCACAGTGGCAGTGCGCGCCAGTCCCATGCGCATAAATAAATAAAGCGAGCGGCATCTCCATGAGAGATGGGCGACGCACGAACACAGAGGCACCAGCGCGCGGAGAGAGGGCGGTCCTCCGGCGGCGGAGGCCGGAGCACCCACATCCCGCTTTTCGCGGGCAGGCAGGTTGTCATCCCCCGTGATCCATACCGCCCCGTTGGAGGGAGGCCGCTCGTCTAAAAAAAGAAAGAAAACACCCAATCCAAGGGAGGGATGTGGGAGGGAGGACGGCACGCCGCCACCACACAGGGATTTTAAGGAGCGGGGTGTGATGCGCTAGCCGTCGCCCACCCTCGGGCGTCCGCCTCTTCCTATCTCTCTTCGCAGGCCGCTCGTCTAAGCTCGTCTAGAATGCGCCCATTTTTTTCTGTCGGAGGCTGGAGAGAGGCTTGGGTCGGAGACTCGGAGTGGAGGCAGACTGTACATCTTCTATCCGCCCACGCAACACAGTTCATGCACCTCATGATGGTCCTCCTCGCGCACACGCAGCCGCTGCGGACGGCGCTGCTGCGGCCGTGCGCGTCTCGCGCCGTGCGCGCCCTCGGCGCCCGCGCCTGCAGCAGCGACGCGGCCACCGCGCCGGCCGAGGCAGCGGCGGAGCCGGAGCAGCTGCGATCGACGTTTCTGGAGACGATGCGCTGGCGCGGCTTCCTCCACCAGTCGACCGACCTGGCCGCGCTCGATGACGCGATGAGCGGCGGCCGCGTCGTCGCGTACCTCGGCTTTGACGCGACTGCGAGCAGCCTGCACGTGGGCTCGCTGCTGCAGATCATGCTGCTGCGCCACTTCCAGCGCGCGGGGCACAAGCCGATCGTGCTCGTCGGCGGCGGCACCACCAAGGTCGGCGACCCTTCTGGGAAGGACTCCTCGCGGCGGCAGCTCTCACGCGGCAGGGCGAGAACCTTCTCGGAACCTTCTCGGCAACGTCGCTGTAGGACGCGTCGCGGCAGCTGCTCGACGAGGAGGCGATCGCCTCAAACATCGAGGGTATCTCGCGCGTGTTTGGGCGCTCCCCGACCGCTTGCGGCGGACGCGGCCTCCCGCCTCGTCTGCCGCCTCTCCAGCCTTCTCGGGGCCGCCGCTAGGCGCTTCCTCACCTTTGGCGAGGGGCCGACGGACGCTCTGCTCGTCAACAACGACGCGTGGCTCTCTCCGCTCTCGTACCTCGCCTTCCTGCGCGACTACGGCAGGCGCTCCGCCACCCGCCACCCGCCCCTCTCCCCACCTCTGACCACCCCCCTGACTAGTCTGCATCGCTGCCGGTCGCCCGCTGCCGCGACCCGGGCAGCGGGCGCTGCAGCACCTACCGCATGCTAACCAACTGCATGCTAACCCGAACACCCGAGCCCCGAGCCTCGACCCGAGCCCGAGCCCCCCCCGGCCACCGGCAGGCACTTTACCATCAACCGCATGCTCTCCTTCGAGTCCGTCAAGCAGCGCCTCGCGCGCGAGTCGCCTCTCTCCTTCCTCGAGTTCAACTACATGATCCTCCAGGCAGACGGCTCGAGTAGCAGTGCCACTGCGACCACCATCGCCGCTACTCCTCCTCCTCCTCCACTCCGTACCACTCCGACTGCCACCACTCCCCTCCCGACCAGGCCTACGACTTTCTCGAGCTTCACCGGCGGCACGGCGCGACGCTGCAGTTCGGAGGCTCCGACCAGTGGGAAACGTCATGTCGCCGCCATTCCCGAGACTTGTCCGAGACTTGTCCGTAGGCTCCGACCAGTGGGGAAACATCATCTCTGGCGTCGAGCTCGGGTGGCGGTGGACGGCGCACGGCTGCTCGCCGGAGCGTCTCGGACCCTTCTCGGACCCTTCCCCGCAGGCGGAGGGCGGACGGCGCGCAGCTCTTCGGCCTCACTGCACCGCTCGTCACGACGGCGCGGCGGCGAAGAGGCCGGCAGCGCGGGCGAGGCGGGCCTTCGGCCGACGTGTGTGGTCGGAGCCCGGTCTAGGCGGACGGCAAGAAGATGGGCAAGACGGCGGCGGGGGCGGTCTGGCTCAACGAGGACCTCCTCTCGCCGTACGAGTATTGGCAGTTTTGGAGAAACACCGCCGACGCCGACGTCGGCCGTTTCCTGCGATTCTTCACCGAGCTACCGCAAGACGAGGCCGAGATGGGCCGAGATGAGCCGAGATGAGCCGAGATGAGGAGAGAGGGAGGGGCCGGCGAATCTCGGCGAATCTCTGTGAATCTCGGCGAATCTCGGCCGGCCAATCTCCCGCCACGCCCCCGCCACTCTCCGCCAGGTCGAGAAGCTCGAGGCGCTGCGCGGTGCGCAGATCAACGACGCCAAGGCGCGTCGCCGACGCCGCCGCTCTGCGCGGAGTGTCATGGAGGCGTGACCTGTCTGTCGGACCTCGGGTCGTAGGTGGTCCTTGCCAACGAGGCGACCCGCATGCTGCACGGCGAGGCGTGTGCGGCGCCGGGGCCAGGCACACGTCTCGCAGACACGTCCGGTACGCGTCACGGCCATGACAACGCAGGCGTGCCTCGCGGAGATCCAGGCGACCGCCGCGTCGCTCTTTGCCGCGGGCGGCGGCGGCGGCGGCGGCGGCACAGCGTCGCTCAAGCGGGTGAAGCTCTCTGCGGACGAGGCGGCGGCGGGCGTGCCGGTCGTCGACTTGTTCGTGTCGCTCGAGCTCGGAAAGAGCAAGTCCGAGGTGCAGCCGCGATACCGCCGAGAGGCATCTCGGTCTCGGATGAACTTCGGCTTGCGTTCTCCGGCAGGTGCGGCGGCTCGTCGCCGGGGGGGGCGCCAAGCTCAACGATGTCAAGATCGAGGACGCCGCGCTGCTCATCTCGACGGCGAGCTTCGAGGCCGCCAGCGAGATCAAGCTCTCGGCGGGCAAAAAGAAGCACGGCGTCGTCGAGCTCGCACAGTAGCGGCTAGCGTGCGGCGCACACGGCACGGCTACGACCAGAACCACACGGCTAGGCCCCTCCAACATGCCCTCCCTCCATCCGCTTGCACGCTGCTGGTGGCAGATGACAGCCTTGGCCCTTGCGGCTTGCGCGAAGTCACTAATTCTGCGGCTTGGGGCTTGGGTGGCGAGGACACATCGTAAACGCGTACTCTAATCAACATAAATAAAGAGATTCGAGGTCTTATTCTCGCACCCACTCGTCCAACTGGGTTCACACCAAGGAATCGGTGACATCTCCTAGTATATAGAGAGGTAACAGGTTCCCATCCCCCCCCTAGAGCCGTACGCCCCTACCCGTTTATATTTTGTTTATTTTTTGTGCGGGTTGTACGGCTTATTTATTTTTGTGTGTTGGTGTTGGGGAGAACTTCGCTCCCGCGGTCGTGTGTTCGTCGTGTGCGGCCGTGGGGCTCGGAAACCATAACCAACACGTGTGCTGAACTAACAGAGTACCTTCATTGTTTTCTACTCTCACTCGTTGTCGGTGGGTGCGGCGCGCGCCCGCGCGCGAACGGGTTGAGATCCGCGGACGCGTCGATTGTTCCCCGCCGCGAGATCGGCCAGACGCGCACCACGGGCCGCGCGACCACGTTCTGCCTCGGGAGCGGGCCCCAAGTCCGGCTGTCGGTTGAGCGCTCCGGGCAGTCGCCAAGCACAAACAGGCTGCCGTCGGGCACAACGCGAGCGAAAGTGACGGCGCGGGGCTCGCCGCCGGACTCAGCCTTGATGCCGCCGCCGCCACCGCGCGGCCCTGCGCACTGGAGCGGCGGTGCGTCGCGCGGCTCGCCGTTGACGACGATGCCGCCCTCCGGCGTGAGCGCGACCTTGTCGCCGCCGATGGCCGCCACTCGCTTCACAAAGAGGTCTCGCCCGCCGAGCGTGCCGCCGGCCGCCCTCACCTGCTGCTGCAGCTCGGCGGGCGGCGAGAACAGGACGAGGTCGCCTGAAGGAAGCTTCGAGGGAGAGGTCGAGGGCAAGTCTGGGGCGAGCGGCGAGGCGGCGAGAAGTCACCCCTCTCATACGGCAGGTTGACCAGCCGAGACACCTTCTCGGCGAAAATCACGTCGCCGACGGCGAGCGTCGCCTCCATCGAGCGTGACGGGATCGCGTAGAAGGAGCCAAGCTGCTCAGTCATGAGTCACGGTTTGATGGGTGATTCGTGCCGGGATCGCGGACAAGGATCCGCTGCGACGGCGAGCGGCGTGCGATCATTTTGCCTCATGCGCCGGTCTCAGCGTGCTCTCTCGATCCGATCTCTCTCTGTGCAATCTCGGCGCGATCGCGTCGCCTGCGAGGCAAGGAAGCCGGCCCACAGCGGCGAGGCGCCGACAAGGACGAGGGCGACCAGCACGCGGCCTGAGCTCCGCGCCTGTTCTCACCGGCAGCCTTGGAGAGATGCCCCCCCAACAGCCGCGAGCAGGCGGCCCAGGCTCCCGCGCCGCATAAGCCAGCCGCGCGGGCAGCGCTCGGAACCCGAGCCGAGATGCGAGCGGAGGCAGCGCGTCGGCCGGCACGCCCACCGGCCAAGTCTGGCCCTCCCTCGTCAACGTCGCCCTCGAGCCGTCCGCGGGCGCCTCCCGCGTCCGCTTGCTGAGCGGCGTGGCCACGCCCCGGAGGAGCGACGCGCCAGGCAGGGAGCTGCCTGCGGGCAGGCTCCGTGACCGGTCCGGGAGACAAGTCTGGGAAAGGTCTAGCCCTGCGCCGGCTCGAGAGCTGCCGGTATCGTCGTCGTCGAGCAGCAAGGCGCTCTCCCCACCGCGGCCCTCGCCCTTGCCCCCGAGGCGTGCGCCGCCCTCCTCTCGCGCCGCCTTGGAGGTGGGTAGCAAGTACACCTGCAGCCAGTGATACCGCTGAGCACCACGAAACTCTGGCCCTATCAGCCTCGCCCAACTCGCAGCAGCTCGCCATCTCTCATCGCGGCTCGTCGCGGCTCAATCTCGGCGCATCTCAGCGCCGCACCACGCCGCCCTCGCCGCTCGCCGTGTCGCACTCGAAGCGCGGCTCGCCCTCCGCCGAGAGGATGCGCATCACGCGGTACTCGAGCCCCGGCGTGCAGCGGTAGGCGCCTGCAGGAAGGACAGGTCCAGGACAGGTCCAGGAGGAATCCGTCCCCGCGGCGTGCAGTGGCAAGCGCCGCCCGCGCTGAAGCCGCCCGCGCCGCTTCCACCCGCGCCGCCTCCGCCGCCTCCCAATGCAACGACCACCTCTCCGCACCGGATCGAGCCGGCGGGCAGCCGCTGCGTCTGCTCCGCCAGCGCCGCGAAGCTCGACCCGCTGGCGCACGGCCGCTCGCCCCACACGCTTAGCCTGTGAGGCGGGCGGGCGACGCGCTGATGGCGACACGCGGCGCCGAAGCGCGAGCCTCTGTGCTGCTCAGTCGGCGATGCTAAGCGGCGCAGCGAGGTGCTCCGAGGCGTGCAGCAGCGTGTGAGGAGGCCGGGTGCGTGTCTGCTACCGGCGCTAGCGCTCACTCCACGTCGACGGCGAGGACGCGCTGCTCATTCTGCTCGAGTTCGCGCAGGAGGTCGCTCGAAGAGTAGAGGTGGGCTCCCCAGTCGTCGCACCGCCCGACCGACTCACCCGCCTCCTTGGCTTCGCAAAAGGTCATGCCGCATCTGAAGGTGCTGCCGCGGACACAGCCTGGCGCTCGAGCGGCCGGCGCCACCTCGAGAGCCGCGGGGCTGGGAAGCACCTGCAGGCTCATCGCGAAGGTGGCGTCCACCTCTTTGCCTCCTCCTGCAAGTCGCTTGATGTAGACGCCGACGCGGTCGGCGTAGGACTCGCCGGCGCCAAGCAGGTACAGCTGAACTTGCCAGCTGCTGCCGCCCGCCTCAAAGGGCGGCGAGTCGATTCGTGCTCCAGGTGTGGAAGTTGTCTCGTCGGCGAGGAGTCGGGCAAGGGTGCGGCGTGGAAATGGAATGGTTTTGGTCAGCTCTGCGATCGGCGTCCGGCGAGGAAGGCTGAGGTGAGACAGTGCAAAGAGCAGCATCTCAGACAGATGGAGGCTGGCGACAGATGGAGGGCAAAACAAAATGTCTACACGCATCTACCCTTATAAGTCTCTCGTGTCGGCGCCGTCGCTCTTTTAACCGTAGAACGTCCCAGCTGAACACCGCCCGCCGACGATCGATCAGTCCACAATCGTCGGCCCGCAGCGACCCGGCACCCCGCAGCGACCCGCAGCGATGGATGCCGCCCCCCACGGCCCCTACGGCCGACGCGCCGATGCACGACCGGCCTCCGTCGGACGGCTCTCCGGCCTCTCCGGCCGCTGACGAGGCCGCCCATGCTGCTGCCGATCCGGTCCCTCTCACGCTCAGCGATATCCGCACAAGCTACGACAACTTCGAGGTCGCCGGCTTTGGCCAGGTGCAGCCACCACCTGCTTGCCTCCATGTTCACGCTTCGCGCCCCTTCCCCCCTCTGACGCCGCCGTATACCGTAGGTGAGGGGCACGACTACCCGCCTGGAAGGCGCTCTCATCAGCAAGTCACCCAGGCACCAACTCCTGGGCGTTTACGCTTGACTACGAAACCATGCAGTGGATGCAGCTCGATCAAAACGGCGACGCCAACAGCTGGTCCCTGGGCGAGTTCCTCGCCCAGGATGAGGTGCGAGTCATGATGCTCGACCCAGCGTGCACCAAGTCGCTCACATTCCGTGAGTTCGTCAACGGGCGATTGCGATCTCGAACTCCGACAACTGGACTGGTGCACCAGCCGCGGAGGACGATGGCTCCCTCGACGACATCCCTTCATCGACGGACGCCTTCACCGCCGCCGGCCCTGGGCCATCCATCGCGGCCTCCGACTGGCTGCCGCAGCTCACACCCTAATCTATCTGCCTTAGGCACGGAGCCAACGGAGCCATCGCGCACGCCCGCAGCACCTCGCGTGCGGCTCCGAGGTCTCCCGCCGAGACCGGCTCGGCGCGGGTTTGACTGACGTGACTGACTGATGAGTGCTTGCGAGAGAGAGAGTTTTAGCAATGCTTGCGATGGATGATCTCCGACACCCAAAACCAAAATGCAAATGCGGAGTGGAGCCCACACTTCGCGTGCAGATCCTGCGTCTCTCACTGCCCGAACAACAGAGGCGGGTACCGCCGCAAGTGCGCAGGTCCCACACTAGTACATGTACATGTGAGGGAACACCTACCTGTGTGTGAGTGTGTGTGTGTGAAACCGCCAATGGCAGTTATCGGTTGTGCGGTCGTCGCCGCGGCTCGCCTCTGCCGCGGCGGCTGCTGCGCGCACGCGGCGGCGCCGCTCTCTCGCGAGACGGCTGGCGACGCGGCTCGCGGCCGACGTGCGCTGCGCTCGTCCGACCGCCCGCGGCGTGGCGTGCGCGGCGCTGCGCGCCGCTCTGCGAGCGCTTCTGCGCTGCTGTCACACTGCACTGTCTCTCTCTGGTGCTGCTGCTGGTGGTGATGTTGCTGCTGCTGGTGCATATGCTGCTGCTGGCGCGGCGCGGCTCTGCGACTCGGCTCGAGACGCGCGTCGGGAGCATCTGACACGGCGGCGTCGGGCAGGTTGCGCTTCTCTCTGGTGCTGCTGGTGCTGGTGGTGCTGGTGGTGCTGGTGCTGATGCTGCTGCTGGTGCGGCGCGGCTCTCCGACTCGACTCGAGGCGCGCGTCGCGGCAATCTGACGCGGCGGGCGGCGTCGCGGGCGGCAGCGATCGCGGCTCGACGGTGGAGGCGGAGGGTGGTGGCTGTGGTGGATCTTTGAGTTTATTTCATGATGGACTACAAGGACTGGGGGTTCAACCGGGAGGCAGGGGGTTCAACCAGGCGACGGAGGACCGTGGGCCATCGCGGGGACTGCTGCGTACGGAGGGCGCAGCAGGCAGATCCGGATGGTCTCACGCCGGTGGGAGGCACCGAGGCGTCTTGGACGCTCAGCTCTACCTTAGCTCCTGAGGGGCGCGTGGTTCTAACCACGTAGTATGACTATAGCCCACCACAGACACCCTCCCTGCTCCACACGTGTGCACACACCCTCACCCTCTCCCCTCTCCTCTCTCTCTCTCTCTCCTCTCCTCTCCTTGTCTGCTGTCTGCCTGACTCAGGCGCAATCTGCCGATGCGAGATTGTGTGTGGGCTGCTCCTAGGGGGCCCTGTGCGATCCGACGGGTAGGGGGGCTGTGCCCGGGCGGTGTCCGGTGTGGAGTCCCCTTCTGATCCCGCCTGAGATGTTGGGTGCGAGGTCGTGGAAGCTTTGATCCCAAGGGGGGGAGCTGATCCCACTCGTAACCAACTCTCAGGGGCAGTAGGTGGGCGATCTTCAGGCGCGCCCATCTCGATCGACAAGGCGTCGCTACGCGCGGTCTTCCGCGGGGGGAGCTTCGTCGACGGGTGCGGGAGCGCGGCGCAGCCAGTGCCGTGGCGATGCCTCCGGCTGTTTGCGGGGGGCGGCTTGCTGCTCGCTGCATGGCGAAAAACTCGTCTCGCCACACGCCAAGGGCTTATGCTCTGGCGAGACGTGAGGCGCATGCGCCCAGGATGGGAGGGGGCATGCGTAACGACACTGCTAGAGATGCCTTTCGGGGCCCAGAGATAAAACTTCTGATGCCATGCGTGACCTAGTAGTGTCCCCAGCTATGGGCGTGTCCACGTTGGAGCCAGGTGTGGTGTGGGCGCGAGAATAGCTCCGCCGTTCATGGAGGCAACCGATGCGAGTCGACTGGTGTGTGTCGTCGTGGTTTCGTATCAAGAATACTCACTCACTCACGTAACACCTACCTACCTACCTACCTACCTGGCATAGGAATTTCATTGGGAATTCCTATCTGCAATGCGGCCCGCGCATGACCACACACACACACACACACACACACACACACACACACACACACACACACACACACACAGTCGACGAGATTGGAAATAAGGAGAAAAAAGGTATGTTGCTTCCCACATGGCAGCACATGAATCGCCGTGCCGCTTGCAGGATGACCCAGGTTTCCCGCAGACGCTCGCAGCCGAACCCACGGCATTCATCGGCCTCGTCCTCTCGAGCAGCGCCTTTGCGTGGGTTAAGGCGTGTGTGTGTGTATATATGCGGCCCGCCATCGGCCTCGTCTACGACGGCCATGCGCAGCACCTTCCGCCAGCGAGCGCCAGGGCCACGCACATCGAGACGCCCGAGCGCGTGAGCGTCATCTACCGTGCGCTTGGCAAGGCTCGGCTGCTGGACCGGCTGACGCGGGTGGCTCCACGCGAGGCGACGCGGGCGGAGGCGGAGGCGGTTCACACAGCGGAGCACCTCGACGCCCTCGAGGCGCTCGCCGACGCCGAGCCGTCCCTCCGAGGCGCGTGGCGCGGCGGCGCGGGTGGCGGCTGGTCGCTCGGCCGCGACATGTTCCACGATGCGCAGACGGCTTGTGCGGCACGGCGGGCGGCGGGCGGCGTCGTCGCGCTGACCGAGGCTGTCCTCCGCGGCGAGATCTCCTCCGGCTTTGCGCTCGTGCGCCCGCCCGGCCACCATGCCTGTGAGGACCGGATGGCGGGCTTCTGCCTCGTTGACTCTTCGCCGCGGCGTGAGAACGGCGTCTCTCCACACGTCTGGCTGCGGCTAGGCGGGCTTCTGCTTCCTCAACTCGGTCGCGGTCGCCGCGCGGGCTGCGCTCTCTCCGCGCGGCGGGCTGCGGCGGGTGCTCGTCGTGGACTGGGATGTGCACCACGGCGATGGGACGCAGGCCATCTTCGAGGAGGACCCGGCCGTCCTCTTCTTCTCGCTGCACCGCTTCGGGCGCGGCTTCTTCCCTGGCGCGGCAGCACGGAGCCGCGCCCCGGGCAGGGGCTGAGGACGGACTCCCTCTGCCCCTCTCCTTCGCGCAGGGACCGGCGCCGCGAGCTGCGTGGGCGGCGGCGCCGCTGCAGGCAATAGAGCTGCGTGGGCGATCTACTGTCTGCGATCTACTCTCTCTAGTAGAGATCTTGATTACTCGTACTTTTAGCTTACTAACCCGAGTTAAACTAGCAGGCCGAACCGTCAACGTGCCCTTCCGGCGCGAGGGGGTGAGGCCCCCCGCACCCGGCTGAGCCTTCTCGGAGCCGGCTCGGAGCCTCCCCTGTAGGCGCGAGGGGATGGGGGATGCCGAGTACTTGGCCGCGTTCGACGCGCTGCTGCTGCCGATCGCACGCGCCCTTCCATCCTCCTCGTCTCCTCCGCGAGCTCACCCGAGATTGGGCCGAGATTGGCCCGAGAGTAGGCGCGAGCCTTCGATCCGCAGCTCGTCCTCGTCTCGGCCGGCTTCGACGCGGCGGGCGGCGACCTGGCGGACGAGCCGGGGGGCGGGGGCGGGATCTCTCCCTGACTCTTCTCTCCCTCCCTCCTCCCCTCCAGGCGGGAGGCGACAGGGTGGGCGGGATGGACCTCACCGCGGGTGGGTTCGCGGGGATGGCGGCGCGGTTGCGGTCGCTGGCGGGTGGGCGGGTGGTCTTCGCGCTCGAGGGGGGCTACAAGCCCTCCCTCGCTGCTAAGGGCGTCCTCGCGTGCGTCCGGTGCGCGCCGCTGCCGCCACTATACCGCACCCCTCACCACGCTCTCACCCCTCACACCACCCCTCACTCCACCCCTCACCACCCCACCCCTCACCACCACCCCTCACCACCAGCCGCCCTCACCGCTCCTTGCTCCCTCCGTGCTCAGCGTGCTGCTCGACGACCCCTCCGTCGGCCCGGCCGCGAGGCTGCCGCAGGGCGAGCCGCGCGTCGACTTTGGAGGGATGAATCGTAGACAGCTGTGAACAGTAGCAGCTGTGAACAGGCGAGCCGCGCGTCGACTTTGGAGGGATGAATCGTAGACAGCTGTGAACAGTAGCAGCTGTGAACAGGCGAGCCGCGCGTCGACTTTGGAGGGATCGCGCGCGCGGCGCGCCACCCGGAGATGCCGAGCACGGCCACACACACCCTGGCCTTCTAGCAAGCCCTGGCCTTCTAGCAAGCGTCCTGGACGACAACCATTCCTCTCCTCTCACTCACCGCGCGAGGGCCGTAGCTCCGCCCCCCCCCCCAGCCACCCCCACCCCCCACCCCCCATCTCGAGTGCACCACACGCACACACCTCGAGACGCGCCGTGAGCAAAGACAGACCGCTGCGAGCAGGCGCACCACGCACTCCTCGAGACGCTGCGAGCGCACGCCGACCTCTGGCCACTCCTCAAGGGCTCGCCCCTCGCCAACCACCCCTCCCTCCCGCTCCGCCTCTCGGAACGACCCTCCGCCGCGCACTCCGACGGCGACGGCGACGGCGGCGGCGACGCCGACGGGCCCCTCCGCCCTGGCCCCGCCGCCGCCACCGCGGTGCCGTCGACGCAGGGTGCCGCGACGAGCGGCGGTTCGAGCGGCGGTTCGAGCGGCAGCGAGGGCGTCCAGCAGTGCAGGAGCTGCTCGTGCCGGCTGCCAAAGGGCGCGTTCTCCGCCAGCCAGCTACGGCGGAGGCGGGCCGGCGAGCGCGTTTGCAAGGGGTGTTCCGGGATCTCCATGCCGAAAGGAGCTTTCCATGCGGCCAATCGAGGACATAATTCTATTGGGATTCCCGCAGTACGCGTGTCGAGTACGCATGATGATGTGACTGATTTGTGAGTGTGTGGTGTGGTCGAAGTATGTGGGCCGACTCTTCTAGATAATGTGTGTATTCTTTCTGCTTCTTCGAACCGGCACCTAACCCTAAAGCTACATGTACATGTGCATGTGCATGTGCATGTGCATGTGCATGTGCGGATCAAAGCCTAACCCCATAGTGCATAGACCCGTAAAAAAAAGTAATATATCTTTACTTCCAAAACCCGGACGTGCCTCCACCGGCACGCCGCTTCCGACAGGGTGATGGAAGGTTCGACGCACCTCCCCGGACTGGGCAGAGAGGTCCCAACGTAAAGACGATGGGCTGTCCACCCCGCCCCCACTTGCCCTGACTACACAGGATAGCGTGCCCCGACAAACGGCGACACATAGCGGGGGACACTGCGCCGGGGGGTATGCCTAACTTTGGTGCTTTGTGTGGGTCGCGTTCCCATGGTAGCTGTGTGGCTGAAGCCCTCGTGCCGCTGGCTTGCCCCTTCCAGCGGCTGGCCCCTCGAGACTGTCGGTGCTTGGCGGGAGGAGGGGGAGAGGGAGGCCCGGTGGGAGGAGAGGGAGAGGGAGGCCCGGTGGGAGGGGAGGGAGAGGGAGGCCGTCTTGGGCTCTTCTCCTCCCCCCTCCCTGGGCTCTTCTCCTCTCCCCACCCTGGGCTCTTCTCCCCTCCTCCCTGGTACTCTCGGCCTGATTACCGGAGCGACTGCCAGAGCAGACGCTGGGGGGACACTCGCGCCCGGAGGCGGTACGCACGACCCGGAGGCGTGGGGATGGGGGGGGGCCGCGCCGCCGCCGCCGTGCCGCCTTCTCCCGCTTTGACCTCCCCCAGCTGCTTCTCCTCAAATCAACCTGTGAGCTTGCGAGGCGGCGGGGGTGGGAGTGCTCTCGGGCGGCGTGTGCGAGCGCGCGCGGCGCGAGATCTTTTTCGCGAGGGCACGGTGGGTCGGGTGAGTATCTCGCGCGCTCGCACTATTTTACGTTATATCAAGCACTGCCTTTGATGCCTTTGCAAGAACCGCCAGCGGCGGTGGTCGAACCGGTTCGCGGTTCGAGCCGGGACCTTTTGGCTCCCGGTTCGGAACTCGCTTGGAGGGTTGCTTCGCTCTCGCGGAGCGAGCGCGGGCGCGTGGGTGCGTGTGCGCATGCGCTGCTGCAAGGCGAGGCGAGGCGCGGGGCGGCGCGGCGCGGCGAGGCGGGCGGCGGCGGCGCGCGGTCGTTCTTTTTGCCCGGGTGAGGCGTGGCTTGCGCGCCGCGCGGTGATGACGCAGCACGCTGAAAAGTCCTTGGTGAGCCACCGCGGTGGCGGCGAGCCAAAGCAAGCCACCTGCCGCATGACGGGTTGACCGACGGCGTCTCACATTCTCTCAGTGCATAGACCCGTAACTCTACCCTATGAAGGGTAAGAGTTAGCCAACAACGCGAACGCGCGCGCGGCGCGCAAGCAATCAACACCCAAGAAAACTTGGAGAAAAAGAATTTCGAGCAGCGCTTCGCCGACTTTGCTGGGGTTGCCGGCCGCGTCTGCATGGACCGTCGCCTCCTCGAGGGCGAGCACCGCCCGACGAGCGCCGCCGCGCAGGCGTGGGCCCTCGTGGCCTGCAAGGACTTGCCTCTCAAGCGAGCGAAATGGCGCACGACCATCTGCGAGCTGCTGCTGCCGGCGCTGCTCTGCTCACTGATGGTGATCGGCGTGGCAGCCGCGACCGTGGACAAGGTGGAGGCGCAAGACTTCGCGCCGCGCGGCCCGGTCGACGCGCTCGGCTCGCTCCTCCTCCCGAGCTGGCTCCTCTCCGGCGCGTCCATCCCGACCGGCGGCCTGCCCACGCCGGCGCTCTTCTCGAACCTCTCTGCGCCTGGGTGGGTGCCGCCGCTCTGGCTGTACCTGCTCTACGCCTCCGGCAAGACCAACTTCACCGGCGGCCTCCGCTTCCCGCCCTACCGCCACAGCGCGAGTATGGCGGGACAGCCGGTGCGGCGGTGCCGTCACAACTGCACGCTTGAGCAGTTTGTCGTCGTGCCTGACTCGCCTGCTGTCCGCACGCTCGTGGAGGCGCTGCTTGCGCGCGTGCACACGGCACAGCTCGAGTTCGCCGCCGCGGCGAGGCCGCTCGGCCTCATGCGAGGCGTGCTTCGCCCCTTCGCAGCAGCAGCAGCGCCCCCTCCTCCCCTCCTCTCGCCTCTCTGCCCGACACCGGTGTGCGCCCGACCAAAGGGGGTGGTGCCTTCCCTGAGGCCGGCCGCACACCCTCGCAGGCATGCCCGCCCCCGTCGTGCCTCGCTATCTCGACTCCGAGGCAGAGCTCGACTCGCGCGCCTACGAGGGCGACACCATCTGGGCGGCAGTCGTCTTTTCAGAGCTGGGCAGCGGAGGTTCAGAGCTGGGCGGCGGAGGTTCAGAGCTGGGCGGCGGAGGCGGCGGGGATGGCGGAGGCGGCGGCGGCAACTGGAGCTACACTCTGCGCTTCAACGCGAGCAACGTGCCCTCGACGCGGCGCCTCTTTGACCGCTTCGCCACCGGCCGCTCGCGCCGGTTCGAGCCGTACTACTCGTCCGGCTTCCTCTCGCTGCAGCACGCGCTCAACGACGCGATCCTCGCGCGCGAGACGGGCGGCGCGCTGCGGCCGCCCTCGGCGTACGGGGTCCCCTTCCCGGTGCCGGCGTACCAGCACTCCGTGTTCTTTGACTTTGCGGGCAACCTGATCGGGATCCTCGCCCAATTAACAGTCCATTAACAGTTCATTAACAGTTCATTGATAGTGAATTAGGCAACCTGATCGGGATCCTCGCCATCTTTTCGCTCCTCGTCCCCCTCTCCTCGCTCCTCCGCTCAGTCGTCCTCGAGCGAGAGCAGCGGCTCAAGGAGCCCACGCCCCCTCCCTTCTGCCTGGCCCTGCGACCGGGGCTGCGCGCGAGATCACCCGAGATCACCCCAGATGGCTCGAGGCTGTAGGAGCAGCTCCTGATCATGGGCACGGCGCCACCCGCCTACTACACCTCCCTGCTCGCAACCTCCGCCGCCGCCTTCCTCCTCATCTCCGCCGTCTGCGCCGCCGAGATCGGCCTCTCCTGCTACACGCACTCGGACGGCGCGCTCGTCCTGCTGCTCTTTCTCCTGTTCGGGCTCGCCACGCTCGCCTTCGCGCTGGCGATGGCGCCGCTCTTCTCGAACGCGCGCCTCGCCGCGCTGGTTGGCCCTCTGCTTCCTCTCGTCGCAGCTCTACTCCTTCTTCACACCTGCAGCTGTGAATAGGTTGGCCCTCTGCTCTACTTCCTCTCGTCGCAGCTCTACTCCTTCTTCCTCGAGGGCGGCGAGCTGTCCGACGGGCAGGTGAGAGACCTATTCACAGCTGCTCGTGTGCAGAGACGCCATTCACAGCTGTCCGACGGTCAGGTCGGCGCCAAGGCGCTCGCGTCGCTGCTGCCCGCGATGGCCTTCTACCTCGGCGCGTCGCAGACGGGCGCCTGCAGGAGGCGCCTCGCCGGGACGTGTCCATGACGCGTCCGCGACGTGTTGTCCGCAGGCGCGTCGCAGATGGCGCAGTACGAGGGGTCGCAGCAGGGCGTGACGTGGGGCAGCGTGCACGAGGGCCCCTTCCCCCTCTCCGCCTCGCTCGCCTTTCTCGCGCTCGACACGCTCCTCTACCTCGCCCTCGCCTACTACCTCGACGCCGTCCTCGCGAACGGCGTGGGCACCGCGCGGAGCCCCCTCTTCTGCCTCGACGCATTCCGCCGCCCGCGCGCGCGAGCCGCCGCCGCCGCCGCGAGCGGCTCGCACACGGCCGCCGAGGCGCGCGACGACGCGCCGGTGGTTGAGCCGCTCGCCGCGCCGCTCTCCGACCGCGGCGTGGTGGTGCGCTCGCTGCGCAAGGAGTACCCGCGCGGCGTGGCGGTGGAGGGGCTCTCGCTGCAGCTTCCGCCCGACGCCATCACCTGCCTGCTCGGCTCCAACGGCGCCGGCAAGACGACCACCATCTCGATGCTGACTGGGCTGGTCCCGCCCACCGCCGGCGACGCGACCATCGACGGCCGCTCGCTCTCGGCCGAGCTGCGCGCCATCCGCACGTCGATCGGCGTCTGCCAGCAGGTGAACACCATCTGGGAGGAGCTCTCGCCGACGCAGCACCTCACGCTCTTCGGCCGGCTGCGAGGGCTGAGCGGCGGCGACCTCGCCGCCGAGGTCGCGCGCGCCCTGCAGCGGGTCGGGCTGCAGGAGCGGGCCAGCGTGCGGGCGGGGGCGCTCTCCGGCGGCCAGAAGCGCAAGCTGTGCCTCGCCGTCGCGCTGCTCGGCGGCTCTCGCACCCTCTTCCTCGACGAGCCGACCTCGGGCATGGACCCGCACTCTCGCCGCGCCATCTGGGCGCTGCTGCGCGAGCAGCGGCAGGGCCGGACGGTCGTGCTGACGACGCACTTCCTCGACGAGGCGATGCGCTCCTAGACACGTCCTAGACTCCTCCTAGACTCCTCCTAGACTCCTCCGAGGCACCTCCGAGGCACCTCCGAGGCACCTCCGAGGCACCTCCGAGGCACCTCCGAGGCACCTGCGAGGCACCTCCGAGGCACCTCCGAGGCACCTCCGAGGCACCTCCGAGGCACCTCCGAGGCACCTCCGAGGCACCTCCGAGGCACCTCCGAGGCACCTCCGAGGCACCTCCGAGGCACCTCCGAGGCACCTCCCAGACACTAAGACGGCCCGGCGGAGCTGCTCCATGTCCAGGAGCCGTCCAGGACATGTCCAGGAGCCGTCCAGGACATGTCCAGGAGCCGTCCTCTAGGCGGAGATGCTCGCCGACCGGATCGCGATCATGGCGGAGGGGCGGCTGCGCTGCGTCGGCTCGCCCCTCTTCCTCAAGGCGCAATCCGCGCTGCACCTCGGCTCTGTCTTGGCCTCGGCTCTGTCTCGGCTCTGTCTCGGCTCTGTCTCGGCTCCGTCTCGGCTATGGCTGTATCTCGGCTCTGTCTCGGCACCAGTCTCACCCCCCTTCCTCAAAGGCGCACTACGGCGTCGGCCACACCCTCAGCGTGACCAAGGCGGCGCCGGACGGCGGCGGCGGCGCGGTGCGCCTCGACCCAGCCAGGCTGCTCGAGGTGCTCAAGAAGGAGGTAGCCGGCGCGGAGCTATCTTCGCTCTCCGCGGACTCGGCCTCGTTCCGACTGCCCGGCGCCGCGCTGCCACCGCTGCGCGCCGCCTTCGCCGCCGTCGAGGAGTCTCGCTCGGCGTCACCGAGCTGTCTCCGAAGAGGCTTGTCGGACCCCTCTCGGAGCTTGCGGTAGGCGTCTCGCTCGTCGCTCGGCGTGGCCGACCTCGGCGAGATCTAGCCGAGATACAGCCGAGATGCGGCCGAGGTACAGCCGAGATATATCGCTCGGTGTGGCCGACCTCGGCGAGGCGCGCGCCGCGAGGCTCGCGGGCCGGAGGTAGGCCGAGGGCCAGCCAAGGCCGAGGGCCGGCCAAGGCCGAGGGCCAGCCAAGGCGTGCCCGCGGGTAGGCGTGACGTGCACCACGCTCGAGGACGTCTTCCTCCAGATCAACGAGCGCGACCTCGCGCGGCTGCGCCAGATCCAGTCGGGCACCTCGCTCGCCCTCACCTCGGACGGGGACCCCGCCCCGGCCTCCCCCGCCCCGGCCTCCCCCGCCCCGTCGGCGGTGAGCCGATCGGTGGCATCCCCGACGCCCCCTGCCTCGTCGGCGCCGCCCTCGTCCGCCGGCGACGACTCGTTCGAGACGGCGGAGGAGGCGTCCGAGATGATCGAGGCGAGATGTAGCCGAGACGGAGCAGAGGGATAGCCGAGGGAAAGCCGAGGGAAAGCCGAGATATCGCCGCGGACGCTTTCCCTGAGCCGTGTCCAAGCCCGTGCAGGCGGGCTCCGCGGCGGACGCGGTCGCGCTGCGCCTCTCCACCTCTTCGGACGGCCGCCTCTCCAGCGGGTCGGCGAGGCGGAGGCGGGCGGCCGAGGAGGCGGGCGGACTGCTGCGGCGCATCTCGGCGGGCTCTACCGCCGACTCTCGAGCCCCTCCTCCTCCCCCTCCCTCGAGTGAGCCGAGCGAGGCGGGGGCAAGCTCGGCGTCCGTCGTCCGCGGTGTCTGCAGCTCATCGCACTCTCGGCCGCTTGAGCTCGTCGCCGGTTGCACTCAGAGTGCATACTCGACTGCGGACAGGCTTGCTCGCCAAGCGCGCTCTCACCGCGCGGCGCGACCTGCTCACCACCTGCTGCTCGCTCTGCTGTCCCGTGTGGCTCGTCCTCTTCGCGCTGCTGCTGCTCGGCGCATCCGCGCGCCTCACCAGCCCCGGCCCTCCTCTCCGCCTCGTCCCGTCGGCAGCCCTCGCGTGCCCGCCAGGGCAGGAGACAGAAAGACCGGCGGGGGAAAGGAGTCCGCTCCCTGTAGGCCGTCTTCGCGGACACGCTCGGGCGGCACGGCCTCGTCGGCGAGCACGGCGTGCGGCTGCTCGTGCCCGAGCAGGCGGAGGTCGTAGCCGAGATTTGGCCGAGATTTGGCCGAGAATTGGCCGAGAATTGGCCGAGATTTGGCCGAGATTTGGCCGAGATCGGGCCGAGATCGGGCCGAGATTTGGCCGAGATCCGGCTTGCCCCCCGAGCAGGTGGACCCGGCGCTGCCGCCGACCCTCTCTTCCGACGGGTGGGACGTCGAGGACGGCGGCGGGCTCGCTTGCTCGAGCGGCGCCGCCGCGGCGCGCAACGTCTCCTCCTTCCTCGCCGCGCACCCGGAGGTGACCAGGCCGGCCGCACTCGCGACGGCGCGCCTGCTCTCGCGCCGGGCGGCGAGCGCGCTGCCTCCGCACGCGCAGCCGCTCGCGCGCGGGCTTCGCGCGGCCGGCTCCGCGGACCGCCTCCTCTTCGCCCTCTTCAACTCGACCTCGACGCACGCGCTGCCGGCGCTGATCGCCACCGCGTACGACAGCCTGCTCGCCAACGCGACGGCGGGCGGCTCGCGGCTGAGCGCCTCGGCGTCGGCGCTGCCGTACTCGAAGCGGCAGGAGGCGACGCTCTCTGCCATCATCGCCGTCTTTGCCTCGATCATGGTCCGATGAATTAGCGTCCAGTAGTGCGCAGTAGTTACGGTCCGCAGTCGGCCCTCCTCGTCGCTGTTCGCCACGCCGTGGCCTTCGCCCCACTCTGCTGCCTCTTGCCCCGGAAGCTACCCACCACGCCTCGCGATCCCGACTCGCCGCTCGCCAGGTCCTCGTCCCCTTCGCTTTTGTGGGCGCCCTCTTCGTCACGCCGCTGCTGCGCGAGCGAGAGTCGGGCTCCAAGCAGATGCAGTTCGTCTCTGGCGTCGGCCCCGTCGCCTACTGGGTCTCCTCCTGGCTCTGGGACGCGGCCCTCTACGCCGCCGTCCTCCTCGCCACCCTCGCCGTGCTGTGCGTGGCGCGCGGCGTCGTGCCGGCGGCCGCAAAGGCGTTCGCGGGCTCAGCGGAGGTGCTCGGCGCCACCGCGCTGTCGCTCGGCCTGTTTGGGTTCGCCGCGGTGCCCTTCGCCTCCGCCTCCTCCTTCTTCTTCTCGTCGCCCTCGTCCGGGCTGATTGCGCTCATCGCCTTCCACTTTGTGTCGGGCTTCGGCCTCGTCATCGCCAACTTCATCCTCTCCTTCATCGACTCGACCGCAGACGCCAACGAGCAGCTGCAGCCCCTCTACCGCCTCTTCCCCGCCTTTTGCCTCGGCGACGCCTTTTACACGCTCGCCATGCGCGACGCCACCCGCGCGCTCGTCGGAGAGGGGCACGAGCAGAACCTGCTCGCCTCGGACCAGCTCGGCGCGCCGCTCCTCGCCCTCCTCGCCGAGGGGCTCGTCTTTGGGTGCGCCACCCTCGCGCTGCAGTACAACGAGGCCGCGCCGCTCCTCCCTGCGCTGGCCGCGCGCCTCCGGCGTCCCCGGGCACCGGCCGCCGCCACCGGGCAGAGCGGCGCCTCAACCGGGCAGAGCGGCGCTGCCGCTGGGCAGGGCGGCGCCGCGCCGGCCGGTGGCGGCGGCCGCAGCGGCGCGCGGCTCGTGCACGAGTCGGTTCCTGGAGCCTTCCCCGAACCTTCTCGGAACCTTCCTGCAGGGCTCGAGGACGAGTCGGTCCTCGCGGAGCGGGCCGCCGTGGCCGCGGGCGCGGCGGGCGGGGAGGGGGCCGCGGCTCGGGCTGACGGGGCAAAGCTCGTGCTGCGCAGCCTGCGAAAGGTGTTCGGGCCAAAGGTTGCGGTCGCCGACCTGTCGCTGCGCATCCGCACGGGCGAGTGCTTCGGCTTCCTCGGCACGAACGGCGCAGGCAAGTCGACGACCTTTGCGATGCTCACCGGCGCGGTGGCGCCGAGCTCGGGCGACGCGGCCCTCGACGGCTTGTCCGTGCGGCGCGACCAGGCGTCCATCCGGCGGCGCGTCGGCTACTGCCCTCAGCACGACGCGCTCGAGGGGCTGATGACGGGGCGCGAGACGCTGCGCATGTACGCGCGCATCAAGGGCGTGCCGCCCGCGGCCATCGAGGCGGAGGCGGAGGCGCTGCTGCAGGACCTCGACCTCGCTAAGTTTGGCGACAAGCCGGCGGGCCAGTACTCTGGCGGCAACAAGCGCAAGCTCTGCGTCGGCGTCGCGCTCGCGTTTGCGCCTGGTTTGCCGAGATTCCACGAGATCACCCGAGATCACCCGAGACTAGGCATCGCGCTCGTGGGCGCGCCGTCCCTCGTGCTGCTCGACGAGCCGTCGTCGGGGATGGACGCCGCCTCGAAGCGGTTCCTCTGGGCGGCCATCAAGCGGCGCACCGCGGACGCATGCACCGTGCTCACCTCGCACTCGATGGAGGAGTGCGAGGCGTTGTGCGGCCGCATCGGGGTCATAGTCGAGGGGCGGCTGCGCTGCGTCGGCTCCCTGCAGGCGCTCAAGTCGCGGTACGGGCAGGGGTACAAGCTCGACCTCCGGCTGCAGCCCGAGCAGGCGGAGGCGGCCGTCGAGCGAGTGCTCGCCGCGCTGCGCCGCCAGTTTGACGGCGTCGAGGTGGCGGAGGTGGAGCCGCCCAATTTGTCGCTCACCGTGCCGCAGGCCGGCACGCCGCTCTCGGAGCTGTTTGGCGCGCTGGTGGCGCTGCGCGAGTCGCTGCCGGTGCAAGAGGCTTCCGTCACGCAGTGCACCCTAGAGCAGATCTTCCTACTCATGGCGAGCAAGGCGGCCTTGCGCGCGTCGGGAAGCGCCGCCGCGTGAGGAGGGCCGAGCCCGAGGGCCGAGGGCGTTACCGTGAGAGAGGTGTCGACGTTGTACAGTATGGCCCACGCGCTGTGTTGTCTGGTGCAGTCACAATCTCACAGAGGTTGAGAGTGCTGAGGATCCACACCCGCAGCTGTTGAATTAGTATGTAAAACTCAATTTTCATGTTTTCCCCGTGACGCGTGAGGCGTGAGAAGATTGTTTGTTGTTGTGTATGTATGTGAGAGGCGCTGGTCGCTGCTGAGAGAAGTGCGCTCTTTTGATACATTGCTGGCAGCGTGCCGGGCGCATGATTTCTTTTTCCACGGTGTTGGTTGGGCAGCCTCGCCCGTGACTATGTTCCGCCGCAGCAAATCGCGGTCTGAGTCCCGGCACGACGTGCAGACAGAGGCGCGGCTCCGGAACCACCGCGAGCAAGAGGAGAAGCGGCTGGAGGAGGCGGAAGCAAAGAAGCAACTCCAGCAGAAAGCAGAGAAGCTCGCTATCAGCGAGCCTAAATCGAGCTCAGGGTCGCGGCCGCACACGCAGGCCCGCTCTGCCTTCCCATTCTACCCCGCCCGGGCCGTCGTGGCCGACGAGAAGGTGCCGTGGGCGGTGAAGTGGCCCGACTACTCGCCAACGACGTTCACGGCGCCGCACGTGCTCGCAAACGACAGCACGGTGAAGCCAGGCGGCTGGGCAGACCCCGTGGATCCGACGAGCGTCGACTGGCCGTGCCGCGCGTCGTACGAAGGCCCGATCGCCTTTGACGGCCATCAGCAGCCCCTCAACCCTCGCGGCCGGACGGGGATGAGCCAGCGCGGCTACCTCGGCAAGTGGGGTGTCCGAGCTCGCCGCCAAGCCGGTGCACCCGCCCTTGCCCCGTCCGCATGACCACGTGGCGTGTCCTGCAGGCGCCAACCACGCCGCCGACCCGATCGTCACACGCTTCGACCCGGCGAGCGGCCGGCTGCAGGCCACTGCCGTCACCCGGATTGTGCTATCCTACTCATCACCATTATGTCACCGGCGAGCGGCCGGCTGCAGGTCGCCGCCATCGTCCGCTCGGATAACGGCGTCATCGCCCTGCCGGGCGGCATGGTGGATGCGGGCGAGATCGTCTCGGCGACGGTGCGGCGCGAGTTTGCGGAGGAAGTGCTCAATCTGCCGAGCGAGGCCCGCGCCGCCAGAGTGCACACCCGATCCGAGTGCACCTCGACCGCCGCCACTCTCTGAGCACCCAGCGCCCCCCCTCTGATCGCCCAACACAGCCCTCTGAGCACCCCGTACCACCACCACCCTCTGTACCCCTCTATCGCCACCGCTTCTCCCGCGCCACTGCGCTGCACTCGCGAAGGACCGCCGCCTCCCGTCCCCGCACCACCTTCATCATCCATCGATCTCCATCCATCTCGTACCTCTGGCCGCCGCATGCCCGCGAACCTCCCAGGCGCAGCGCTCCGAGGTGACACGGCTGCTCGACCAGCTCTTTGCGGGAGGCGGCGGCGGAAAGGTCGTGTACCGCGGCTACGTCGACGACCCGCGCAACACGGACAACGCTTGGTGAGCCGCCCGCCGCTGTGCCCTCGTGCCTCCACCCAAAGCCGCCTCCACCCAGCCCGCCGCCACCCAGCCCGCCGCCACCCAGCCGCCACACCGCAAGAGCGTGCCGCACTCGAGCGTGCCGCACTCTCGTGAGCTCTCCCCCCGCCGCAGACCCCTCCCCTCCCCCACCCCTTCCTTCCCCGCGCTCTCCAGGATGGAGACGACGGCGCGCTCCGCCTCCCGCGCGTCTGCACCTCGGCCGCACCTCGGCCGCACCTCGGCCGCCCCTCGGCCGCACCTCGGCTCCAGTCTCGTCACAGGCCTTCCACTTCCATGCGACCGGGGCGGCGGCGCGGCTGCAGCTCACTGCGGGCGGCGACGCGGCGCGCGCGTTCTGGCTGCCCGTCAGCCCGAGCAGCAAGGAGTACGCGAGCATGCTGGCAGACCACCGGGCGTGGGTCGACCAGGCCGCACGCACCGCGCGCTCACAGTCACACCCGGAGTGGGAAAGCAGAAACCTGAAACCTGAACCTCGACCTCACCCTAACCTGGACTTGCCCTGCCCTGCCCTGCCCTGAAACAAACAGGCGGCCGCCACGCTGCACAAAGGCGGCGGCGCATCCCAGTCAGCCTCCCTCGCCAGCCGCCCGCCCCCGGCGACGTCTTCGCAGCCCGCCGCGCAAGGTCTCGACGCGCGGCTGAAGAGCCTCGGCCAGGCGCGGGGGCGGCAGTGAGGGGGCCGGCGGTGAGGGGGGCGCGGCGAGCATGCTTGGGAGGGAGGTTTTACGGTGTCCGTCGCCTGGAGGCGTGCGGCTCGGTACCGCGCCGCGTTGTCCCGGCAGAGCATGAACCGTGGACTACAACAACACGTACAACATGTACGGAGCGAGACCGTATCGGCCTTGCGGGTCTGACGAGATGCGGAGATTGAGTACGTGCAGGAAGAGGTAGGTTACAGGGTGGATAGAGTTACACGTGTGCGGAATTATTCTATCGCCGCGCGGGGTTCTCGCGCTCTCTCGCTCCGCACACGTCGCTTCAGCTGTGAGTCGGTGACAGCCCTCTCCCCTCGCTGCGACACTCTCCGTTTATTGCCGTCTTTCGGGTGGCCTCAATAAAGTTGTTCTGCCGGTGCGCCGGTCGAGATACGCATGCAGCCTCACGCCCGCGGGCTCGCGCGGCGCCGCAGTGCAGGCGGACGGACGGCATGGCAAGGCGCGCGGGCCACCGCCCGCAGGCTCGATCCCAGCTGCCTCACAACAGCTCCCTGGCTGACAGCACACACGGCAGTCCCCCTGCTTCCGGACCTGCGTACTCCCCTCGACCGTCCACGCGGCTCTCACCGGGCGCGGCGGCGCGACGCCTCCCTCATAGAGCCTCTGAACGAGGAGTCCGGACCAAACACACACCGTCCTCGCTAGCAGAGCCCCTCAGAGCTCGTCCTTGCTCTTGCCCTTTGGGCCGCCGAACTGCGGCGACGGGGGAGGAGGCCAGGGCGGCGGTGGTGAGGGTGGTGGCGGGCTCGGCGTCGGCAGGCTGGGCGGCGGCTGGGCGGCGGGCTGGGACATCACCCAGACATCAGGCGGCGGGCTGGGAGGCGGCGGGCTAGGGGGGCGGGGGCGAGGGCGGAGACGGCGACGGTGGCCTCCTCCCAGGAGATGAAGCCGTCCTTGTCCTTGTCCTCCTTCTCCCACAGGCCCTCGGGCAGCTCTTCCTTGCCCTGCAGAGGGGCGGCGGGCGGCGCGGGGTCTGGGTCTCCAGCCACCGCTCTCCGAGGCTGCGGCTGGGGCAGAGGGCCGCTTCCGGCTCTCGGCGCTGCGATGGGCGAGGCGCGGCAGCTCGTCTCGTCGCGAGGAGTCGACGTCTCGGGGGTGCCTCGGGCGCGTCTCGAGAAGTGTCTCGAGAAGTGTCTCGAGAGGGTGAGTCGGGAGGTGCGTGTGAAGGTGCGTCGGAGGTGCGTCGGAATGTGTCGGAAGGTGCGTCGGAGGTGTGGCGGAGGTGACTCGGAGGTGTGGCGGAGGTGTTATCGGGAAGGGCGTGTCCTGCCTGCTGCTTGAAGAAGGCAAGCACCTCCTCCTTGGTCAGCTTGGCGTCCTGCGGGCACGGCTCCGAGAAGGCTCGAGAACGCTTCGACAAGGTTCGGGTGAGGCGCGCGGCCGGCGGCGGAGCAGCGCCTCTGTGGTTCGCTCGCTCGGCGTGTTGAGGTAGTCTCAGTCTGTCTCTCGTTGAGGGAGGAAGCGTCTCCGCAATGTCTCGGAGGTGCCTCGGCAGTGTCTCGGAGGTGTCTCGGAAGTGTCTCGGAGGGTGGAGGTGTCTCGGAGCGACCTTGTCGGTATCGAGGTCCTTGAAGAGGTTTGGCTCGGGCGGCCCCTCGTCTGAGTGACTCACCACCTCCACGTCGAAGCTGAGCGCCTAACCTCGGCCGATCTCGGGTGATCTCGGGTGGCCTCGTCCGAATGGCTCGCCACTTCCGCGTCAAAGCTGACCGCTCCTCCCGGAATGTCGCCGCCCGCGCCGCGCGCGCCTGTCCAGCAGCTTGCAAGTGTGAAGCGGCGCTGCTCAAACACGGTGCCGGCGAGAAGGCAGAGCACCGTAGCCCATGTCGGGCGGGATCGTGAGCACCGCCTTGGCGCCCACGCAGAGCCCCTCAAGACCCTTATCCCAGCCCTGGATCACGCGGCCGGCGCCCAGCTGGAAGTCGAACGTCTTGCCGCGGCCACGCGACGAGTCGAACTGCTTGCCCGGCGTGCCCGCCGCGCTGTCCTTGTCGATGGTGCCCTGTTGCGCGGGAGATTGTGAGTGGTGGCGAGCGGCAGCGGCATATGTCTCGAACGCACAAATGCGGTGCGGGATCGCGGTCAGCGTGCTCTCGCTCTCTCCTAGGGGCTGCGATGTCGTGGCTTGCGCCGCACCGTGTAATGCATGGATACGTGCTCGCCCTTCTTGAGCTTGTCCGCATCCTCGCACTCCTTTGGGCCGTCATAGACTTCGACCTTGAGCTCAGTCACGGCGGCGGCGGCGCCGGACGCGAGGAGACTGCAGGCGAGCAGCATGCGGAGCCTCGATTTATCTGTGACGCACAGGGAGAGGCGGAGCGCCGGCTTCACCGACGGTCGCCACTTTGTGTGAGGGTCGGTTTTTTCTTCTTTATCGCCACGGCGAAAGTCATTTTTCGATGGTGAGTGCCCGCGCCGCCTACTTCCGCGGACGGGCCCCTCCACCCTTAACGGTCATGCCCCGAGACGCTGTCGCTTGTCGTAGGAAAGAAAGAAAGAAAACATCGACCCGAAAGAAAGAAAGAAAATGGACGACCCAAGGGAGGGATGGGAGGACGGAAGAACCCCAAGGAGCGATCGCCCCGGTTTTCTTTTTCTATTTTTCGCGTTGGTCGCGCTTTGCTCTTTGGCTTTGCAGTGAGCCGAACGACCGCATGATCGTGAGAGCTGGACGCAGGATGGGCTCTTTTCTCCGCTCGGCGCTCCTCGCGGCTACCCTCCTGGCGCTCGTTCCACAGGCCACGGCGGCGCGGCGGCGGAGGCTGCGCGGCAGCCGCAACGCGACGCTGCCGTCCGACCCGACCTGCCACGCACGCGATCACGCGGGCTACGCCGGCGACAGGGCCGTCGTCTGGGGCGCAAACCTGCGGCTCTCCAGCGCGGCCGAGTGCTGCAGGGCGTGCCAGGCGCACGCGGCGGCCTGCGGGAGGGGCAACGCGGGTGCCGAGTGGTGGGGTCGCGCGTGCGGCCGTGCTCCCGGCTGCAACCTGTGGTCCTTTTGCCCCGAGGAGCAGTGCTTTGCATTTGACATCCACGTGCACCGCCGGGGCGAGTGCTGGCTAAAGCAGCAGGCCGAGGCGCCCACCCGTCCAAAGGATCCGTTCGAGGGTCACGCAGCCTTCCCGCCAGAGATGCGCGCCGCGCCGCGTCGGAGCTGGCCGTTTGCCGTGTCGTTGGCGGTGTGGCCCGGCCCGATGCCGGAGCGGGTGCCGTGGATCTCCGGCGTGCTCGCGCCGGCTGGCGAGGTCGTGGTCTCAGGCCGACCGAACGACAGGTGGCGCGAGCGCTGGTGCACGCGGCACGGGCCGTGCACCGAGGTTGCCGACGCGGCTGACCCGTCGCTTGACGGCAGGATCGGAGTCGACGCCGACAACCTGGCGCCGTGATCGAAGCTGCGCTCCAGTCCCGTCGCCCGTCAACGAGGACCCGCTAACCAGATGCCTCTCCTTCCAGATACCTCGCTCTGTTCAGCCCCTGTCACAGTAGATGGACAGAAATCGGCAAGAGAGGAGTATTAGCGAGAAGATAAAAAGGGTGGTCGCTAATACTAGAGAACTTTTCTACAATATGCTGCTCTGTGACAGCAAGCCAACGCGGAGGCGGCCATCGCCAAAGCCTGCGCCCTGCGGGACAGCACAAACGACCGGAGTCGTAAACGAACGCTCTAAAGTTTTAACTAAAGTGTAAAGACTAAACACTGACGACGCGCTCGTGAGACCGTTTCGCGTTTGCGGAGAGACGCGCCCACGCGTGAACGGCAGGAAATGCACCTCCTCCTCATTCTCAATGTTAACATTCTTATTTTGTCTGTTGCCCGCGACGGCGTGAGAATCTGTCCTACGGAATCTGTCGCACAGTAGTACGTTGTTGCATGTGTTGGTTCGGTGAAAGAGCTGCATCGCTGCCCGGGGCAATCACTGCCGGGGCGTCCATATTCGCTCACAAGCCCAAGTCTCGCCCGTTGCGGCTATTGAATGCTCTCGCGCACTCCTTTCCGTAAAATCCCTTGTGCAACGTGTGGTGGCGGCGTGCCTCAACAGTGAGCGCGGCAGTGAAGTGAGTGATTTATGATTGATTACTGCCCCCCCATCCTCCCTCCGAAGATTCGTTCACGGGGGGCGGCGGCGTCCACTCCGACTGCGCTGAGTGGTAGGCCCCCTACAGGCCCCCTAAGGGCCTAGAAAGCTCCTCTTGTAGCTCGATCCGGTCACACCGCCATCTCGACCGCCATCGCCGCCGACGTCTCACTGTGAGATGATGGAGAGGGGGGACGACACTGCTCTGGCAGCGTGCACCTCGATCCTGTACCGTGTTTGTTAGGACCCCACCCAATGAACACACCAGTGAGGGAGGGCGAGACGATCGAGGGGTCCCGTACCACGCGGAATCGACCCTATCCAGTGCTCAAGTGCTCAAGTGCCTAGAAAGCGCGCCTCCCTCTCCCATTTTCTCAGAGAGTACCACAACGAAAATGTTCTACCAAACAAGGCGCGATGTTTTACGCAAATGTCGGCGGCGAGGCTGCTGCCGCTGTCCCTCGTGGTGGCGCGTGTTGACTTCCCAGCTCGCTGCGAAGCGTTCTGTCAGAACTCGTGCGATTACGCTCTGGGCTACCGCGACGAATGCGGTGCGTGCCCGGGAAGCCAGCATTGCTGGTCAGGCGCATTCGATGCTCCCATGCACGAGCGCGTGGAAGTGCTCCCGGCAGGCGGCGCGGTGATGGACGCGACAGAAGCGGCACGCGCGCCGACAGATGCACGCGACGCACGCGGCCTCACGGCCCTGCACGTCGCGGCACTCAACGGACACGCGCAGGTGGCGGGAACGCTGCTGGATGGCGGCGCGTTGGTTGACGCGAAGGAGCACACAGGATGGACCGCGCTGCTCGTCGCTGCTGCCGGCGGCCACGCGGAAGTGGTTCGCGTGCTGCTGGCTGGCGGCGCCTCCGTGGAAGCAACGAACCATGACGGGCGGACCGCGCTGCTCGTCGCTTCTTACAACGGCCACGCGGAGGTGGTTCGCGCGCTGCTGGATGGCGGCGCATCGGTGGACGCGAAGAACCATGAAGGGCGGGCCGCGTTGCACTTTGCGGCTTACAACGGCCAGGCGCAGGTGGTTCGCGCGCTGCTGGACGGCGGCGCATCGGTGGACGCGAAGGACCCAACAGGGCGGACCGCGTTGCACTTTGCGGCTTCGTACGGATGGGTGCAGGTATCCCGTGTGCTGCTGACAGCTGGCGCCACATTCTCCCGCACCGCGGACTCTTCCCTGTCGCCGCTGGACCTGGCTCTCTATCGCTCGTCGGTGGGGCCTGAGGATGCCGCTCGATCTCTCGAGCTGGTGCGCGTGCTGCTGAATAGCCGTGACGAAGCACGTGCGTCGGTGGTCGAGGTCCATCCGCTCAATGGACAGGTTGCGATGCATTTGGCAGCGTACGCCGGTCAGCCGCGCATGTTGGACCTGCTCGAGCAGCATGGTGCAATCAGGGATTGCCGATATCACGTGCAGGCGGGCGATGGTCTCCAAGTGCAAGGTATGACGGCCGCAGCGCGCGAGGCTTACGCCGCCGCTCTCCGGCTCCCGTCCGCGTGTGAGGATGCCCGCTCGCGCCTGGTGCGACTAGAAGAGAGCGACGCAATCGCCAGCCCCGGAGCAAGGAGGCAAGATGCTGCGCAAACGGTGGCGCAGCTGAGTGCCGATACTTCGTCTCCGGGTTGGGTGCAACATGCCGTCGAGTTGTGGCAAGGGCAGGGAGTCGTGGCCTTTCCTTCTATGCTAAACGCCTCGATGGTGCGCGCCTTGCGTGACCGTGCGCGTGCCGCGCTGCTCGATGGCTCGAGGCGCAACTACGCTGCTGGATACCGAGCAGCTGGCGACAAGGGCTCGCTTCGTCAGTGGGTTTACCTGGCGGTCGATGAGTCCCACGGAGTATTGCAGTCTGTTGCGCAGGTGCTTTCACCATTCTTGGCAGACGCGCTGCAGAGCTCGCGACAGCTGGTGGGGGAGCTCGCTGTGCTGCGCACACGGGCGGGTAGTGTCGCGCAGGATTGGCACGTTGACACGTTCTTTGCTGACAAGCGGGTCGCTGCGGTGCAGATCTCACTCACGGACACGGAAGCCGCGCAGGGCGCTCTGGAGGTGTTGCCCGCGGATGCCAGTGGGCCGAATGTGAAGCTGCCGTTGCCTGAAGGGTCAGTGACGCTCTATCGTCTTGACTATTGGCATCGTGGGGGAGGGCACACGCTGTCAGGGAGGGAGGACCGCATCGTGCTGACGTCGGTTCTGGTGGGAGAACATGGCTTTGTGCCGTGCGAAAACGATATCAACATGCTGCCAGAGGATAGAGGACGATGGTGGATCATGGGCGAGCATGTTGTGGCTGCGTCTGAGGAGGCGTCGTCAACGAGGGAAGGCGCGTCCCCGCCATAGGAAAGGGAGAACGAGGATGCGACGCCGCTCTTAGACAGGACGCGAAGCAGCTCAGGGCCCGTACTGAAGCCATGATCCTTGATCGCCCCTCGGAGCTGTGTATAACCTCTGTGTACGTGCCATGCTGTGCGCTGAGGAACAGCATGTGTCTGAATGAGGAACAGCTCTACCCAGAGGTAGAGCCGCTCTGCCAGAGAGCTGAGAGGGGCGCGGTGAATCGGTGTTGTCGAGATCTGTGATCTGTGATCTGTGAGGGTCCGCCCGCAGGCGCATTTTGTATACCGAGGCGGTGCCCGGTGCCGAACCTGTCGGACCTTAAGACAGCATTGTAGATCCCTGGGCGAGGGTGATGGCGTCCCCGTCGGGAGGGGCTGTCTGGGGGGGTGCCCTCCCACCGTCACCTCACCAGGCAGCGTCCCGGTGAGTACGGCGATCAGAGCTCCGTCCAGCTCCCCCGGTCGTCGCGCTAAACCGTAACCCGCCGAGGCGGGCCGGATCCACGCGTTGCCAGACTGTCCCGTTGGAGGTAGGCCGCTCGTCTAGCCAATCAGCCTTAAGCGAGCGGCCTGGCCGTTGGAATGGCCGGGTGGAGAGGGGCGGAGTCGGCTCGGAAGCGCGACTGCAGCCACGGGGACTGCCCGCCCACTCTCGTCGAGATCTGTTGAAATAATGCTTCTCATCGCGCAAACCCCGTCAGCAGCCTCCTCCTCCAGGGGAATGTACGTAAGAGCACATAGGGCTTAGGGGCCTAGAGAACACAACCCGCCCTCCCTTTTCTCCCAGTACGGGGTGTGGACCGTGAGTTGACCAGGGGTTGTGCGCCGGGCCCTCCTGCTCGGCTCCAGCGAGTAGACAAGTGTTACCATCAACAGAGGAGAAGGATCTGACCTCGGGGCTGATGTGACCAAGCGCTGGTAGCGTGGTTTTACCTCACACCCATGGTCTCACAGTGTGCCGGCAGTCGCCGAGCAGTGTCGCTCACACATGCCGCAGCACAAGTGACTGAGGGCCAGTGAGGGCGAGCCCATCGCTGTCACAGCTGCGGCAGCCGCACAGTAGGCTGTGCCAACTGTGCAGAGCGTGTGAGCAGCAGAGGAGCTGCTCTCAAGGCTTCAGGCGCAAAGAGCTGCATGCCACCGAAAGCGCTGTCGAGGTTCGCCGAGCGCGGCGCAGGTTGGAGGAAGCCGTCACCGACGAGCGCGTTGGACTTTTCACTCCGGACAAAGACGGGGACACAGCGGATGGTGCGGGGTGTGTCCCCGTCATAGCGGCGAGGCGCGGGACCGTCTGTGGCGAAGTGGGTCGCGTCCTCCGATTTCCTCAACTCACGGTCCGCTCCCTCTACAAGCTAAAAGTACGCACACTGAAATGTGAAAATGTCCGCGCCCCACGGCGGCCCACGCCTGCGCCTCGCGATTCGAGCCCTTTGTACAGAGATTTATAACGTATCGCAAAACTCGTGTCACCACTACGCGCCCAGCGCGCGCTCGAGCGCCGCCCTCCGCGCCAATCGCTCGGCCTCCCTCTGGACGCCGTGCGAGGAGGATGGCGGCGCGCTCCGCCGGGGTGCGCGCCTCGAGGCACGCCTGAAAGGCGGAAGCGTCGTCGACGCCCGTCTGAGCGATGGCGTCCGCCGCGCGCGCGTCCAGGTCAGCGAGCCTGGCCCGGTCGGCCTGCTCGAGCGTCTCCTCGCGCACCGGGATCTGGAGAGCGCCGCCCTGGCGCAACTTTGCGTCGATGAGCAGCTCGTCGCGCTCGGCGCGGTGTGCCGCCGCCGCGCCGGCCTGCCGCGTGGCGCAGTGCGCCTGCCACAGCTCGAGCGCGCCCCACCAGTCGGCCTCCTCGGCCAGCGCCGCCGCACGCTCGAGCGAGCCGACCAACGCGTCAATGTCTTTCGCGCCCGCCGCGCCGCTCAAGCCGTCGGTCGCCAGCAGAGCATCGATCAGCTGGTAGATGGCGTCCGCAACGTCACTCGCGGCCGCCGCGCCCATCCACCAAACCTCCTGCTCTGCGGCGCCTGCCGCCGCCTCCACAGCCGCCGCCTCTAATGCCGCCGCCGCCGCCGCCGCCTCTACCGCCGCCGCCTTCGCCTCGCCCTCGCCGTCGTCCTCGTACGGCGCGACGTCCGCCACCAGGTACTCGTCCCGCTGCGGCTTTCGCCACGCCTCGAGGTTTGCGCACGCGACAACTCGCACGCGCCCGACCACGGAACACCGGACCTCGAGCACCCCTCGCTCGTTTTCCGACGCGCCTTCGGCGAGCACGCGGCCTGAGTAGTCGCGCGGCGCGGGTCGCACGTCGTCAATCCTCAGCAGCGCGCCCACGCTTGCGCAGCTCGCCCGGTCGGCGGAGACGCGAGCGGCGACAAACTCGGCGCGCTCCCTGCACATGGCGATGTTCCGCGCCTCGATGTTGCGCACCACGCACTGCGAGCCGGGCAGATAGACGGCGGGCAGCGGGTACAATGCCACCTGCCGCGTGCCGCGTCGAGGCGAAAGGGCGCGAGCGGCACCGGCGCGAGGCTCGCTCGCGTGCTGGCGCGTGGCGTCGCCCGCCCGGCGGCCCGCCGCTCCGGCAGCTGCTGCTGTCGCAGCCTCACGGCGCTCGCTCGCACGCCGAGACTGTGCACGCGTGGCGCCGCCGGCCGCAGCGCGCAGTAGTGATGCGACGCATCGAGAGAGACGACGATGCCGCGCAGTCGCAGGACCTCGCGGTGGTGCAGGCGTGCTGCTCGCAAGCAATCCGCCGCAGCTCGAGCGCGCAAGTAGGCCAACGGCTGGTCGTCCGGAGGCGCCGCCGCCGCACCCAGCTCTTCCAGCTGGAAGACGAGCTCTGGGGTCGCGCCTCGCCACCAGCAACGCCGATGGCAGCCACCAAACTCGAAGCACGAGTTGTCGCCACTGTCGAGCTTCTTGCACTCCCAGTATTGCTCCAGCCATCGCCGCAGGAGGTGAGTCGCCTCGCGCCGAGAGCGAAAGGGCCCGGCGTCCACAGCCACCCCCAGCGCTTGCAGCTGCGCTTCGCGAGAGCCATCGGCCTCGCCTCTCTTTGGCGGCGGTCCACCGCCGTACGGGAGGAATGTGTATGCGACCGCGAGCTTTGAGAGTATGATGGCCGCAGCCATTTCTCACACACGGCTCCACGGAAGAGAATTCGTGCCGGGCCCTGGAGTGTGGGTGAACCCAGCCCATGTCTGACTATTGTGTTGACTCTGTCTGTTATCCTTGATTTACACAGCTGGGGAGTTGGGACTGAGGATCTGAGGTTGTGTTTTTGTGTGAAAAGGGAGACAGTGGCGAAGACAATGGTGAGCTTGCGTCGGGGGGAAAAATGCGCGCGATGGGGTTCGAACCCATGCAGCTTTCGCTACGCGAACTTGAGTCGCGCTCCTTAGACCACTCGGACACACGCGCGTTGAGCAGCCAGAGGCGGCTCGAACTGGCAGCCACTCGCCCGAAATCGAACGGCGGAGCGACACTACCAGCGTGGGTTGCACGAGAGCAAAACATGCAAAACAAGTGCCTCATAACTGTTACAAAAAATATATGTGGCGAGGCGTATCGATGTGGATGCGCGGTGTACGAGAACGTGTGAGCCGCCCCGGAGGACCTATCTCGGAGGTGCACGACCTGTCTCGCTGCCCGATCTTCTCCCAGTACTCAGCACTTTCGGTTGGTGAGGACCCTAACCGCGCCCCTGCCACAGTCATGTTATTGGAAGGAGCCACTCCCCTCTACGGACGCAACGTCTTCAAGCAAGACCCCAGCACGGTCCCCGGGGCTTGGACGCCTCCGCGCGCGGCTGATTCCAAAGGAGGGATGGGAGGACGGCACGCCGCCACCACACAGGGATTTCAAGGGGAGAAGTGTGGTGCTAGCCGTCGCCCACCCTCGGGCGTCTACCACTTCCTATCTCTCCTCGCAGTTTCTCACCAATTCTCGCAGCGACCTTCATGCCACCTCACGTTCTTCCCACTCTCGTCCTCGGTCTCTCTCCTGCTGTTTCATCCTCTACTCATCGCTCTCCTCGGCCCTAGGGAAAAATTTCTCTGACCCTTCGCAGATCTGGCCCGGCCACGATGCTGGCGGCTGTCGTAGCCTCCGCGGCGCTATCCTGGGCTCCCACCCTGCTTGCGCCGCACCACGCGCCCAGCCCGCACACCCGCCATGCACCGGTGACGGCGCTCGCGGCCAAAGCCAAGCGAAAAGGCGGCAAGAAAAGTCCGGCGGCGGGCGGCGGCGGCGGCGGCGGCTTTGGACAAAAGGCTGCGGATGTGGCGGCGCCGGCTCCGACGCCGGCCGAGCTACTCAAGAAGTCGATGGAGCTCTACGACGAGATCAAGAAGGATCTCCGCGCCACGGTGAGCGATGACGACGACGACGCCGACGACACACCCGTGGACCCGGCCGACGACTATTCCGTGACAGAGTATGTGGTGACGGTACGGCTGACGGCCGACTGTGCGAGCGAGGCGGCGGATGCCTTCTCGGACTGGGTCCCCGTCTGCATCATGAACCTCAAGTCGAGCAACCGCGCCGACACGCGCCAGCTGCTGCCGCAGGCGCATTTGCACTCTGCACCGCTTGGCGCCGCCACCCACGCTGCCACCAGCGCCGCCTCCTATACCACCTCCTGGACCACCACCACAAATTGCGGCACCAGCGCCAGCACCCACAATGGCAGCGATGGCTTCAGCGCCAGCGCCAGCCGAGAGAGAGGAGCGGCGGCGGCGACAGCAGCGCCGCGACAGCAGCGCCGGCGGCAGCAGCGCCGGCGACAGCCGCGCCGGCGGCAGCAGCGGCGGCGACAGCACTTGGAGAGAGGAGAGCCCATGCGGTGCCGTCCGCAGTCCGCCGTGGGCAAGGAGGTCCCCTCCCTCCCCTCCCGGCCCTGTTCTCCATCGGGCCTCTCCTGTCAGGCGGTTGGCGCCTCGTGCAAGGAGATCCTCGAGGCGGGCTGCCAGTCGGTGACGGTGCTGCGCAAGGCGCCGCGCACGTCGGTGGAGCGACGCGCGCGAGAGAGGACGGTGCGGCGTGGGGGCCGCGCCTCCTCATCCCTCGCGCTCGGTGAGCAGGTGGAGTACGCGTACGAGCCAATCGACTCGTACAACTCGCACGTGTACGAGGGGCTCTTCTCGCGCGGCGACCGCAGGGCGGAGGCGCTGGAGGCGCTGGGGGTGGGCGCGGGGGCGGACGCGGCGGAGGTGAAGCGGCGGCACCGCAAGCTGATGATGGAGCTGCACCCCGACCGGTGCGAGGAGGGCCGAGAGAAGGGATGGGCAGGGGCGAGAGCGGAAGGGCGGGGAGAGGGAGGGAGGGAAGAGGGGGGGAGGCGAGGGCGGAGGGAGACGCAGCCGCCCGCCGAGAGAGAGGCCTCGCCGAGAGTGCGCGGTCACCCGCGGTTGGCCCGACGGCTGTAGCTTCGTCGGCGATGAGGAGGGGGCGGCGGCGGCAAACGAGCGGATGATCCGCGTGCAGCAGGCGTGCGAGGCAGCGCGGCGGCGCGACGCGTCCGCGGCGCGTCCGTGACGGGTCCGCGATCGCTCACAGGCGTACGAGGAGCTCGGCGGGGGGACGGGCGGCGCGAGCTCGGCGTACGCGGGCATCGGCGGGAAGGCGCGCGTCGACTTTTCGGACGCGCTCGACAAGGGCGCGCTCTCGCCGCTTGGGAAGCGGAGGATCGGGCAGGACCTGCCCGTCGAGCTGGAGGGGTGGAGGGTGGGCGCCCGCCGTCCGGTCCGCGCCCTGCGAGCGCGCGCGCCTCCACTTGCCCCTCCCGCCTGCGGACAGGTTGGCGTCTTCCCGCTCGAGCCGAGCGTGAGCCAGGAGTTCACGCTCCGCAACGTGATGGCCAAGGCGTGAGGGGCGGGGGCGGGGGGGGTGCGGAGGAGGCGAGGAGCCAGGACGCAGGAGCGCATGCTTGCGCACGTGCTCGCTCGAGGCGCGCACGCACACGGGCACAGAGCGATCGGCCAGCGTGGCCGTGAGCAGAGCCCCCGGACATCCCACACTGTCTCGTTGAGGGTGCGACCTAGAGGATCTCTCTTTTTTTTCTGCGCTCCGTCAGTACTACCAGAGCACACTTGAGGGAGGCGCGTGTTGTTATGTTATTCGCATTTCACCTCGCATGCCACAGCTCCCAGAACCTCCAGCGCGCAGCGGCCGGGCGGCTCGCCATCAGCCCCTCTCACCGCGCAGCTCCCTCAGTGCTCGGTCGATGTGCTGCGCGATCTGCTCCCTCTCCGCCTTGAGGCTGCCCGCCGGCAGGCCGAGCCGCTCCTCGACCGCCGCCCGCACGAGTCGCGGTGTCAGCAGGTCGAGATCGCTCTCCCTGACAATCCGCGCGACCGCCCCACCAAGTTCACTCCTCCCCCCCGCCGCCGCCGCCGACCCCTCCCCTCCTCTCCTCGCCGCTTCGCCGCTCGGCACGGCCCGCTCAGCCCGTGCGCCCGCCCGATGGCGCTTCAAGGGCGCCGCAGCGCGCCCCTGCCCCTCCCCCTCCTCCTCCCCGCTGGAGCGGTCGTCGTCCACGCGCCGCACCCGAGCCTTCCGTCGCGGAGCGCCGCCGCTGCAGCGCTCCGTCGCCTTGGCCGGCCTAGCCGGCCTGGCTGCCTTGGGAGGCGGTGCCTTGGCAGCTGCCGCAGCCTCCTCTCCTCCGCCGCCGCCGCCGCCTCCCGGCCTCTCTGCCGCCGCCCGCGCGGCACAGAGCGCATCGCAGAACTCATGCTTCTCGAGCAGCCCCGCTGTGCGCACGCCGCGCCGCAGCAGCTCCGCCTTGACCTCGCCCAGTGGCATCCGATCCACCGGCCGATCGGACTTATCCGTGCAGCGCGGGCAGAGCCAGCACCCGGCCGGCACGGATAGCAGCGGTGGTGAGAGGCAGCGGAGGTGGTGCGCGGCGCGGCAGCCCGCCCCATCGCACAGCAGCAGGTCGTTGCCCTCCTCGTCGTCAAACTCGCCACAGACGGCGCACGCGACGTCCTGCTCAGGGTCCTCGTAGTAGCGCGCCGAGAGGAGCGCCGCCTGGAGCTCGCTCTTCTCCAGAAGGCACGAGATGTCGATGCGGCGGCGCCGGCACTCCGCCTTGAGCGCGGCGACGTCGAGCGCGGCGATGGCCGTCATATATGCAAACTATAACCGTGACTCGAGTATGCTCTAATGCACTGGCCGTCGCGACGCAGGGCTACCAACAATCGACAGAAGAATTCTACGAATACAAGCCCCTCTCACAGCAGAAGTCTGGGAATGCTCACAACCGCAGACTGTGTGCTGCGGCGCAAGAGGAGGGCACCTTTGCCGAGTGGCTCGACGAGCTGCCGTTTGAGGTGGCCGCGGCAACCGCCCGGCTGCTCAAGCACCACGCGCGCTCCGGAGCGTGGATCGAGATCACTCACTCCCGGCAGCCCTAGCCAGGCCCGGCGCGCTGGCCGCGACCGCGACCGCGGCCCTCACTTGAGCCCGAACTGCCCGCCGGTCATGTCGGAACCGTCCGACACCTCTGTCAAGAGTCCCCAGAAACCCGAGGAGTCACACAGTCCACCTGTGTGATGCACGCCCTGTGAGCGGGGCGGGGTGCGCACTGTACCTCTGTGTTCGTGCGTTGCCCATCTCTACGGGAGATGACTGCTCTATTTATTTATTTATTGTGTCTTGTGAGCCTGTTTGTGTCTGTGTGTCGCTCGTGCGTGTCGTCATCATCTGTCCAGCGTCCACCCATACCGCGTTGGTGTCCAGTCCGAGCCTGGCTGTTCTTCACCTTCCTTCCTACCTAGTACCTCTCTCCCTACCTACCTACCTAATACGGACTAGCAGAAAGCACATGCGCGGCCGGGGCCCTCCTTCGGCTCGTCTGTTTTCTTTCTTCTTTTCATCGAGGCGGACGTCAGCAACTTCTCTTTACGCACCTAGGGGGTTGTATCAGAGGGGGGGGGGGGGGGGGGTTGTGCCGGGTTGAGGGGTGAGGCAAGGCGGCCCAGATCTGCTCGTCTCACAGAGGGTACCCTCTGTGCCAAGAGAGGCCATCTACGAGCGGCTCAGAGGGTGCCTGGGCCGACCCTCTGAAGGCCTGTGCCGCCAAGCCAGCCTCTCTCGGCGCAGCCTCTGAGGCTACGGGGACCCTCTGAGACGCCAAGGCAAGCCCCGCGAGGCCGCTCCTCAGAGGGTTTTTTCAGCGGTATTTCAAAAGTCTGTCGTGATCCCCCACCAAGCAGAGAGAACCCCCCCAGTTTCCATTTTTCGGATACCTCAAGTTCGAGTTCACGCGCGACGCGGACGCCGTGGCGCCTCATGGCCAAGCTGGAGCAGGGGACGGACGTGGAGATCACTACCTCCTCCTCGGGCGGCCGCTCCAAGCACATCCTCAAGTTGACGGGTCGGCGCCGCGGGCCGCGCGAAGCTGTCGCGCAGGGCTCGGCGCGGGCGCTGTGAGCCTGCAGCAGCAGTCAGTAAGCGTGTGTGGTGCCGGGCGCTCGAGCATAGCGTAGCGCCTTGGTCATGCTCGCTGCTTAAAGTCATGCTACCACCCCTCCCCGCCCTCACTGGTCAGCGCCATTCGTGGAGGGCTAGGCAGCTCCGGCCTCCGCCCGGGGCTCTCGCCTCTCTCTGCCGTGAGGGGGCAACCCTCCTGAGGTCAAAGCCCTCTGTGCCGCGCCAAGACAGACCCTCGGCCAGGGACCCTCTGAGGCCAAAATCAGCCAAGAGAGACCACAGAGGCGGCACAGAGTCAGAGTCAAACCCTCTGTGCCGCCAACCAAGCCTGGGGTCCGACGGTCTCTCTTTCGCTACGTGTTCGACGTCGTCGAACAACGTTCGACCATGGCACTGTTCACAGCGCGCGCGGACGGCCGTTCTGCGAGTCCCGCTCCGCTGGACTTTTGTAAAGCACGCTTGTGGCAAGTTACAGACGCTAGTATCGACCTCAGGGACCCAAACATGAATTAATAATTAAGGCTCAAAGTATGGTCGAACAACCGTCGAACAAACAGGTCGAACAACGAAAAGAGACTAGTGCGACCGCTAGACGGCGGTCTCCGCCGGCCCCAAGGCTGCCCAGCCCCAGTACCACACCGGCCACGTACACCGTGGCGCTGGAGTCGGTCAGTGAGGCACTAGACGGGCTACGGAACCATGCGCGCGCCGGCCGGACAGGCTGCGCGCAGGGGCCGCGCCGACTCGATTTCGCACCTCCGCTCCGCGGCCGGCTGAGGGGCTAGCTCGCCCGGCGACAAGCCCAGCCATCGCCCAGCGCCCCGTATCGACGGGGGGCACGCAAAAAAACCGCACCTACGACTAGGGTGAGCACGTGAGGGCGTCGGTGTGGGCCGCGGGCGGGCTGCCAGGAGGGCGCGGGTGGGAGCATGGGAGATGCACCACCGCTCGACGAAGACGCGCCCGACGAAGCCCTGCTAGCGGAGGATGGTCGGTCCTCACCTACTAGCGTCGGGCGTGTGCGAAAAAAAGCGCAAATCGGAGCTCAACTCGCGCGCGGCTGGGAAAGGGGTGTGGCACCCCTCCGAAGGCGCCTCGCGAGGAGCAGCTGCTGCCTCCAAACGCGCTCGGGCAGCACGTCGGCGCGCCTGCGGGGTGGGTAGAGGTGAAACTATGCTTGCTGACACGCGCATCCCGCACCACCCCCACGTCCGCGCGCACCATGCCGCCATCCCACCTCACAGCCAAGCGCCATCGCCGTCGGACGCGGCGACGCCGAGCGGTGGCCTCGCAGACGACGAGCGCGATGAGGCCGCCGCGCCGCCGGGGTGGCCGGCGCGTGCCAGCCGCTGGCCCGTCCAGCGTGGCGGGACCGGCTCGCCCATCCTGGCCCGCGCGCTTGCCGACGCGAGAAGATCGCGCGAGAGGGCAAAATGTGGCAAAAATGGCCCTGTTTGCAAACCTTCACGGCGACTTCACGTCGGAACGAGTCGGATCGACGACTCGCCGCCTGCACCAGCGTGTGCGCCTTGCAATTCTATACAGAATCGATACTTGGTACGTCTTCTCAATCGCTCGTGGAGAGGATCTACGGCCATTCTCCACTTGTGTTCGACGATGTCGAACAATGTTCGACATCGTCGAACACGATCGAGTAACCGCCGACCCGTCCTCGGAGGGGGGTCTGAGGCCTCAGAGAGTGAACAACGACCCCCTAGTCTTTACGCCCCTGGCCGATTTGCGTGCAGCCGAGTTGGCGAACCAAGCGGCTAAAAAGCCCTTCTCCCTTTTTGTCTTTTGGGCCGGCACCAAGTGTTCACAGGAAGCGTGATAGCTAGATTTCCTCAATCAAGTGTTCCGGCGCCGGGGGCAAGCCGAAGCTCTCTCCGCCCTCTCTCTCTGCGAGCATGGAGGCCATGAAGCTCCCGTACGACTGCCGGGGCATGCCGGCTTACGAGACCGAGGTGGACGGCTGGACGGTCGGTCCCGTCCTCTCCAAGCTGCACATGTCCGACGAGGGGCTGTATGACCGAATGCTCTCCACAGCCCGCGGCTCCCCGACGGCTGCAATCGTGGTTGACGGCGAGGGCCGCATCATCGCACTGAATGAGGCGTGGACGGCGCTTTGCGGCTACAGCCCAAACGAGGCGCTCCACCAGAGCCCCAAGATCCTGCAGGGAGACGCGACCGACGCGGCCAAGGCGCGGCGCTTCTCCGACGAGGTCCGCGAGTGTGGCTCCGCCCGAACGATCCTCGCCAACTACTCCAAGGGCGGCGATCCGTTTGCCCACCAGCTGCGCAGCACAAAGGTGTGCAGCCGGCAGGGGGACTCCACGTACTACTTCACAGAGTCCGAGGCGGTGGCGGACAAGGCGATCGAGCGGGCGGTGCTCGACGGGGAAGTGTATCGGTGTGCGCTCCTCTTAGACGTTCAGACGCGCCTCTCAGACACGCCCCCACCGCCCGGCCCCACTTTGTTTCAGGCTGAGCGGCGAGTCGGACGCCTTCGCCGCGCTCGGAGTCATTACCCTCACAGCCTGCCTCCTCGGCCTCGCCCGCCTCGCCTCGCTGGCGGACGGCGCCTCGATCGAGATTTTCGCCACGCTCGGCGCCATCATCGTCCTCGGTGCGGGCGGCGCCCTCCTGCTGGGCGCGCACGAGGCGGCCAGCATCGCGCTGCGCCAGGCGGGCCGCGTGTACGTCGTGGACGGGTACGACTAGCGAGGCCGCGCAGGCGCGCGCTTGAGGGCCCCCCCCCGTGCCGCGTGCTCATCGGTTGAAGCCGCTGGCGGTGTGCCCGGAGCAAAAAGTAATGTTGCAGCATTGCTAGATTGCTAGGTGCTAGGTGCGACTCGCCGCTCCTTGCGTGGATGTGTCTCTTCTTTAAACACACCTACAAACAATCATCTATCCCTCGCCATCGCATTCACTGATCGGAACATGCAACATCGGCTCGCTAGAGTCCACGTTCCCAAGGACGCACGACGCAAGCGAAAAGGAAGTCAGACCACCGAAGCAATGGGTGCCTGCAGCTCCAAGTCGACCAACAACATCGCCGACCCGGTGATGCAGCCGGAGCAGATCAACACTCGCGCCGACGCCACCACCGTCGACACCACGCCCGACGCCGTGCCCGCCGAGACGTACGCCGCCGACGCGGCGGCCGCACCCTCGGCCATGACGCCCAAGGCAGAGGAGCCGCCTGCAGAGGATCCCAAGGACGAGGCCGCGGCCGAGGAGATTGCAGCTGAGGAGGGAACTGCCGAGGCGGCCGACGAGATGCCTCCGCCGACCGAGCCGGTCAAGTCGTCCTCCATCCTGGGCCAGGTGGTCGACTACCTCTCGGGCCGCAAGTCTGAGCCTGCTGTCGAGGAGACCGAGGCGGTCGAGACGGCGGAGGCCGACGCGCCTGCGGCGGAGACGGAGCAGCCGGTCGCACGTGCGCTGATTGAGGCGGTCGATGCGGTCGCCGAGAGGGACGACGCCGAGCAAGAGGAGGCTCGCGTCGAGTGGCGGGCATACGCCCTGTCGGCGGGAGAGGCGGGCCTCGCCCGCGAGATGAGCGTCACGCCAGAGGAGCTTGCTGAGGTTGAGGCACGGCTCGCCTACAGCCACGCGGCGGCGGCCGAGGCGGCCGAGGCCGAGGCCGCGGCTCCGGAGCCTGCGGCCGAGGCTGCGCCTGAGGCTGCTCCCGAGACAGCGCCCGAGGCGGCGGTCGAGGCGGCGCCCGCGGTCGCTCCCGAGGAGGAGGAGGAGGAGCCGCCGACGCTGATCCAGAAGCTGTCCAAGGCCTTCTCGAACCTCCTGCCCGCCCCGCCGAAGTGCATGCCCGCCCGCCCCGCGCTTGACGAGGAGCCGGCCGACGCCCCGGCGTCCGCCGTGCCGGCCGCGGCGCAGTGGGGCACCAAGCGCATCAGCCAGCAGCACTGGAAGTAGATACTTAGAACTATGTGTTTGCTGTAGAAATATAATGCCGCGGCACCCGACCCCTACAAGTTCTCTTCTCCCCGCACAGAGCGACGGTGTCCTCGATGAGCGCTCACAGACACAGTACTTTGTTGTGTGAGCGGACACAGCGTTGTCGTGGAGCACAGCGCGCATCACGTCCGGGGTCCTCCGGTCGAGCTCGCACAGTGGCACTGTTGACCGTCAGTGGAGCCTGGTGGCGTTTTTTATCACTCACGATAAAAGTACGGGCCAAGTCTATGTCGAGTGCTCTGCGCGCGCGGCCGGCGCCGCGGTCAAACTCAAAGTAGCTACAAAGAGCACTCGCTCGCAGAGCCCAACCTCGGATCGATCGGATGTACTGAATGCGCGGTCGGCGATTTGTCTTTTGAACTAACTGGTCCCCACATCAATTTAAACTACAGACTTATGCATCTCGTGACTGCGTGACTACAGAATAAATAAAAATGAGATACAATATCATGACACTTGACAGAGACATTCTAGAGTCACGTTGTACAGATGCGGACTACAGCGCGAGAAGAGAGGCAAAGAGTAGAGTCACGCAGAGCCGGCCGGGCGCGGGGCCGGCGGCGCCGCACGCAGAGCCAGAGGGGTGTGTCAGAACGTTCCTCCACAAGAGCCTGTGAACCTTCGTGCGGGCGACTTTTCGAAGCGTGGGCGCATCGTGGGGCTCGCTCGCGCGCCGCCGCACGCGAGATCAGAAGAAGGCCGACGGCCACGAGGGTCGGATAAGGCACGAGACGAGCGAGACGGCCCCGCCGCCAAGCGCGGGGTCAAACCGATTGCGTGGCTAGCGGAGGCGCGGGCAAGTCGAACTCGAGCACCTGGCCCGGCCCGCACCCCTCCGGCACGACAATCTCAAACTCGCCGCCCGAGGAGGTGGCGACGTGCACGGGCGTTCCCGCCGCCGCGCCCGCAGGCAGCGTGATCTGCATGCGCTCGGTGCGTGCAGGAGGCGGCTGATACACCGCCGGCTTCTCTTGGGTGGGCTGGCCGGGGTAGACAGCGGCTCGGCCGGGCGATGCGGCGGTAGCAGAGGCAGCGGCGGAGGCGGCGGCGGCGGCGGCGGCTGTGGCGGCGGCGGCGGCGGTCGCCTCGGGGAGCTGCACGACGATTGCAGCCTCCTATGAGTGACACACGGCCCCCCACAGAGTCGGCACATTCTCGGAGGGGGAGGGCTCTAGCGGCTGGGCGGCGGGCGGGCCCTCGCCTCCTCTGCCGACCCCGTCGCCGGCCTCGCTTGCACCAACGCTGCGTCTGCCGCCTGCGAAACGCCGCTAGCCGACCTGCGAGGCGCCTCTGCCGACCCTTCCTCGGCCGACCTGCGAAACGCCGCTTGCGCCTCTGCCACGTCCTCCTGGTCGAGCTTATCGATCTTGCCCGTGGTGTGAACAACGTCGAGGAAGTGCTGGAAGTTGAGCGAGTCGCCGCCCTCGAGGATGTCCATGAACTCCTTGAAGTCGAGCAGTCGGTCGCTCTTCTTGCTCTTGCGCAGGATCGTGCGCGCCAGCATGAGCGCCTTCTCCTGGTCCAGGCCGGGCACCTGCCGGAGCACGGGGCGCCGATGTGGGCAGAGGGCGGGAGGTGCGCGTCGGAGAGACTGTGCGTCGGTGTTGCGTCGGAGAGGTGTGCGTTGGAGGGGCGCGAAGGAGGGCACGGAGGAGGGCGCGAGGGAGGGCACGGAGGAGCGGCAGGGAGCGGCGGAGGCTCGCGCCCTGGCGAAGACCGAGACGATGTCTGCGACGGTGATCATGCCGTTCTGCGACTTGTCCAACTTGTAGTACCAGTCGACTGCGATTGCCGCACGGAGGCCGAGCTGCGCAAACGTCTGCAACATCTTGGGGTGATCAGCTCCGGCTCGCGCGCGACGCTCCCACTAAACTCGCTTGTGGGGCTTTTCGCGCCTGCCGCTTTGAGATCCTCTCGGAGCGCTTGCCCTGCAGCACGGTCGAGATGCCGTTGGGGAGCAAGTAGAAGGCGACAGCGTCCATGAGGAGCGAGAGAAGCTGGAAGAAGACGACGGTGGCGATCACCGTCGTGAGGGCGTGGTTCCAGTCGAAATGGTAGAGCGAGCCTGCGTTGTGAACACACCAAGGTCAGGGCGGGAATACGGGTGTCGTGTGGATACAACGGCGGCACACCAAGGTCAGGGCGGGAATACGGGTGTCGTGTGGATACAACGGCGGACGGGATGGAACACGGAGAGGTGTGTTGGGCATCTGGGAGTGCGGGCCCATCGCCACGAACTCGATGACGACGCCCTGCCGGTATCGGATCACCTTTGCCCCTGTCTCGACGCCCTCGGCGCTGACAGACGGCATTTCCGCGAACCAGACCTGAGGACCCATCCCCGCCCACCCGACCTCGGCGCGCACGACCTGCATCTGTGCGTCCACCTGCCGGTTAAGGAGGATCTCGGCGTGCTCGTCGTCGAGGTTGTCGTACCTACAGGGAGGCTCCGAGAAGGCTCCGGGAAGGCTCCTCGGCCACTGTGGTCGTCGCCGCCGAGGGGCTGTCTTGTGCTTGAGCTCGACGTTGAGCCGGAGGCCGGTGATGCGGAACTGAGGGAAGGGGAGGCGGCGGGGAAGTAAACACCTCCGCTCACACAGTGTGGTGGGGCAAGGCGGGGTGGGTGGGTGGGGGGAGGGGGAGGGGTTCTCCCCGCACACCTGAGGGAAGCCGTCGTCGCCCGGCCTTCTGTCCTGGGTGGCGTCAGTGTTGGTGTCGTCGAGGTCGAGCTCGGCGAGCAGGACGTAGTCGCGGAGACGCATCACGATGGGGTCGCCCGCCTAACCAATGCCCGACTCATTCCTCAATCAGAGTGGTCGCGGAGACGCATCAGGCGATCGCCAGCAGCCTGGAAGGTCCGCTCCGTGCCGTTGGGGTATGTGATCGTGGTCGAGAGGGGGTGCTCGGCGCAGGTCTTGTCTCCCTGCGTGTCGGCGCAGCTCTTGTGGTTGGACACGCCGCTCAGGTCGATGCGGGAGGAGCCGCTGGTGAAGTACGAGTGCTCAAAGGCGACCTGCAGCTCCTCCACACCCTTGACGTAGTACGTCTGGCTCGTGGCGCAGCTGCACTGCCGACCCGCGTTCGTGCGGTCCACAACCGCGCCGCCACAGCTGGCTTCTTTGGCGCGCGTCGCCGCACTCTGGTTGCCGCACTCCCACGAGTACTCGTACGTCTCTATGATGGACGTTGTGAAGGATATCGAGCCAATACCTTTCGTGACGATCTCCTCGGGCTGAAGATTGCGGCACTCGGGCATGATGTACTCATAGTTGGACGAGTAGACGTAGTTGTGATCCGGGCTGGCGCAGTAAGAGTAGTATTCGCTCGAGCGGTTGAGAGTCGGCGCGAAGCCGTAGCGCCCTCCATCCTCCCACGCGTTCACCACGCCAAGCGGCCGCTCGCTAGCCGCCCACGAGTTTGAGGTGATGACGGTGGCGATGAAGGCAACTATAATGCCGGTCTGCAGAATCCGGTTGGTGAGGCCGACTTGCCAGATGTCGACGCGGACGTGGCGCGCGGTGCGGTAGTAGAGGTAGGGCTTGATGCGGTCGAACAGGCTCATCTAGGCAGCAGCTCGGCGGGTGGGCGCTCGGCTGCTCGGCGGGCGGTGGACTGGCGCCGGGACACCAGCAGCCGCTGTTGAAAGAGAATTTTCACCTGTCGCGCGTTCGATCAAAGAATTACTGAAGGTCGACGCTTCGGCCGGCCGGGGCGCGCGCGGGGGCGGCGGGTTTGCGGGTCGTCTGTGGGCACGAGAGTGATGTGTCATGTGTGTGTCCGCCTTGGGCTTGGCCCTTGCGTTTGTCCCATAACATCGACTTGGGCTCGGCAGCTTGTCAACTACCAGCCGAAGCCGGAGTCGGATTCTCTTCTAACATCGAAGGCTAGCTCAAAAAATCTTCAAGTGTTTTCTGTAGAGATCGCAAGACCAAGAGAGAAGAGAGATCGCCAGTGGAGTACAGGAAGTCCACTGCTGGTTTGCGGACGCGGCTGATCTTGGAGATGAAGCTTTTCCTTCTTTGCAACCTTTCCTTCGCTTAGAGTTAGTTAACCCTGCCCAGCGCCTCTCCTTGTCGCGATGCGCTCCCCACTCCCGTTCACCTGTCCCCCTATCCTTCCAAGCAAGACCCTTGCTCTCTTAGGGTACCCCTAGGGTTCTGAGGGCCGGATTTTTTTAAGACCTTTTAAGAAATGAGGAGATTTGGGGGCTGAAATTGCCATTAAGAGATTGCAGGCACGGGGGGATCCCTCTTCTAAGACCGTTCAAGAAAATCGGCCTCACCGGCCATGCGTCGGCTGGGTTCCGCGCCGTTTTCTCCAATACCGCCGTTATTAGGCACAAACAAAACCGCCTCTGAAGACACATCTGTAAGCCATACTCGCATAGGGGGCGCGTGCTAGCTGACTGTAGCCAGCTTCCCGGCCTCCGGCGTCTACCGGGAGCCTCCCGGACCATCGACCTCGGGAGCTCTCCCCCGCACCGTTTAAGCGTTTTAAGACACCGTTTAAGGAATCGGCGGCCCAGCAGCTCTTAAAACCTGCCCGGGCAGGTTTTAAGCCGTTTAAGCCGCAGGTGCCCCAGGGCCCACCCTTTTAAGCCTAGGGGTACCCTAAGCTTGCTCTGCAAGGCCTGCCAGGAGAAGCGAAGCGCCGCCCAACCAGGTGCTGCAGCGGGTCCGACGGAGGGTGTGGTGGCGACACGCACGCGCCGCCCGGACCCCCGGACTCCCCACGCCGATATCGGACGCGCGAAAGATGAGCGGGTAGCGGCTCGAGTAGGCGGGCGTGCTCGAACTCAGCGAGGGACACCCCGGAGAAGGGCTTGTCAAGAGACGTGGACGACTTGACCTCGACGCACAACCGCTACAGTCCGCGTGTTGGGTCTCCAGAGCGTCGTGAGATGCTGCGCGCATTTCACGATATTACAGTAATATTTATCAGCCACTCGATCCCGCGTTCCCGCCGCAAGGCAAGGTCCGCGCTCGTGAGGTCGTACCGCTCGCCCCGCTCGTTGACCCAGTTGACACGTGCATTGTAAGTTCCGACACACCTTGGCAGCCGACGGTGCGTTAGGAGCTCCTCGTTTACTGTATCCGAAAAGTCAAAATAGCTCGCAGAGCGAGCACACAAACCTCAAACAGCTGCCGCTGGCCGATGTGCCGGATCGGAAAACGCGCGACATCTCACACGTATGTTGCGAGCACGGCCATCGCGCCGAGGCCGCAAAAGGCTGCGCACACCTTTGGCAGGGCGAGGGTCCCGCCGCTCTCGGCGCTGTGCTCGTTGTGAGCAAGCTCATCGGCGAGGATCTCGACAGCGCCCATGTGCAGAAAAGTGCCTGCCGCGAGCGCCGTGAAGGCCGCGGGCAGCGGCCTGCGCGGAAGAGGTGCAACAGGCTCGGCGCTCGGCACGCGTCAGGCGTGCGCGGGCAAACGCCGCACCCGTCGGGGTCGGCGGCGGCGGCGATCTGGCGGCCGAAGAGGATCCCGCCGGGAGTGAGCAGCGCAAAAGTGACGATGACAGCGCTTGCCCTGGCCGCCGCTATCGGCCTCCCTCCAACCCTGGCGCGGGAGACTGAGGTGCCGAGCGCAAATGCGGCGAATGCCTTGTGGGCGCCGACCGCAAGCATCATAGACCGAGCGTCGGCAACCACACCCATCGCGATGCCCTCAAAGGACGCGTGAAGCCCAAAAGCGGCTACTGTGGCGAGCGCCGAGACGGAGGAGGTTGCGCTCCCTACTCCGACTAGGTATGATGGCCTGCGGTGACCCGCCTCGCAATCCTCTTCGTCCGAGGGCTCCTCCTCGTCCGATTCGTGTGCCTGTCTCGGGCGGCCGCCGCCGCAGCCGCAGCTGGCTAGCCCCAACTCTGCAGCAATCAGGCAGAGCAGGGCTGAGGCGCAGAGGAGGAACGAGGCCGGGAAGGGCCTCTCGTCCCCACCGTGGAGGCGGCGCAACCCGTGCCGTCCGGCAACGATCGCATCGAGCTCGGTGGCCTCGGGGAGGAGGTGCAGCAGAGAGGCGCCAACGAGGAGCCCGCCAGAGAAGCAGGCGCCGACCGAGAGGAGCGCGGCGCGCCCGACTTCGGACATGCAGAGCACCTCACGCATTGCGAGCGGGAGTAACCCGCCAAGGAGTGCGAGCACAAAGAGAGCGAAGGCCGCGACGAGGTGGTTCATGTACATTCGGGACCTGCACTGTGTTGAACTTGCGTGAGGACGCACGATGCCCATGCACTCGAAATGGGACATGGCGTGGCGAGTGCATGGCCAGCCATCTTCAACGACCCGGCGAGTCTGCGGAGGAAGGTAGCAGTCGATCCAGCGCTTCGGTCAATGGTGACACCATGGAATGGCCATAGAGATCACTGCGTGGAAGCGGGAGCCGCGTCTCCACGTCCTCCAGACGCCGCTACCTCGCTGCTCCAGACGCCTCTCCCTCGGTGTGGCCTCGTCGCATTTTACCACCTCCCAAAGGCCTCCGGGTCCTCGCTGGAGTGCTTTCTCGGTGCGCAGCCAGAGTTCGCGTGCTGCCTACGTGGGACATGCGGCTACTGCCGGACGTGGAAGAAGCGCAGCCCCAACGATTGGCCGCACTGGTGTCAGCACCGTGGATTGATACCAGAGCAGATGTGGAAGCACTTTGAGCGGGTAAATAATCGGTCCGACAAAAAGGGACCCGCAACTTTCTTGTTGCCAGACGACCTCTTGCGATGGGACAATGCGATGTTGTATCGGCTCAACTTCCGGGTGACTGTCTCCTTCCACAGCGGCCCCGTGGGCGATGTGCCCGGCATGCACACGAGGGCGAGCTCGGCTTTGCGCTTTGCATTCTTGCGAGATCGCGTCTTTGCGAAGAGAGGATGCACCCTCGTCCTTGCCACCTTGCTCAGACACCCTGTTGCGCAGCTCATCTCCGCCTGGGAATACGTGCACGGCAGACCCAACGGCCGTGCAATCTCCCTCGTAGATTTTGCCGTGCAGCACCGAGGCTCACTTCTCGGCATATGGCCGACTCTGTTTCGACATTTCGACGAGACGTTCGGCGCGCATCAATATGGCCAGACCGCAATGACGAGTGCCTTGGGAACCTACGCAGCGCGGACAGCTAGTGCAGCGAACCCATCCGCGACTCTTAATCCATTGCTCGATCTGTTCGATGTTGTGGGCCACGTCGAACGCTTTGACGAGAGCCTCTTGCTGCTGATTGATGCAGCCGGACTGCAGGAGCCGCGCGCTTGCGCCCGGCCGATCAACGTGCAGTCGTGCGATGGCGCCTGCCCGACGAATGCGAGCAGGTGGGACGCCGTGGCTGCGGCTGTGCCAAAGCTGGTCGAGTGGTACGCGTCGCGGCTTACCAGCTTTGATGCCAGTATCGCGGACAAGGGCGACCGATTCCGAGCGCGCGTGCGGCTGCTCTCGGAGCTGCGGTCAGCGGAGAACTAGCATAGCGCCGTGGATTCGTGAGTCGGCCTTGGCGGCGTGTCGTCGCTGTGGCGGCCAGGCGGCTGGAGAACAGAGGACCACAGCCTCATCCGCACCGCCGACGGCGCTGTCCATGTTTGGGGCGAGGGTGCTCACGGCTGCCTAGGCCATGGAGAGGACCTGTCGACGAACTAGCTGCTCTTGGGGAGGCCCCCGCAACCCCCGGCCACACCACCCCCCAGATCCCACACAATAATCAATATCAACGTAATATCTAATCTAATATGACGTGAAAGGCGGTTAGCATTAGGCGAGGGGTCGCTCGAGAGCAAGTCGACGGGACAAACGGTGTGTGGCGTGTGTGCCGGGCGCGCGCGGGTGCCCCGCACCGCCGCCCCCCTAGTAAGAGCCGTGCTAGCTGCTACTCTTACCGGCCGGTAGGCTTTCACTTACACACCACATGAATGTCAATGAATGTCACACACTGCCGCTGCGCGGATACGGCAGCATGAGCGAAACTCGCGCGTAGTGCGGCTATAAACGGATACCTTCTCGTCATTCCCCTCAACTCGACGCCACCGTGGCGACGGCTCCAGGGGCAGTGTAGGAGGAGAGCGTGAGGCGAGCGGCGCCGGCGCGACGGCCTCTCCGCCCCTCCTCTCCTCGCGGCTCGCCCCTGCCGCAGCTGCCGCGCACAACGGAGGCCGGCGGGGCGAATTGTGGCGCCGAGCCGGCGCCGCGCCCCGCCCGCTGCCCGAGCGACCCTGCGCCGCCGCACTGCGCCTCAGTGGCCGATGAGGCCGGTGTGGCGGTAGGTTGACGAGTAGCGCATCACCTGCAGACACGTGCCAGGCCTCGTGAACTTTGTGTGCCGAGGTGCGGCCAAGGAGCGACCGGGGTGCGGCCGAGGAGCGGCCGAGGTGCGGCCGAGGTTGCTCGGCAGATCTCGGGCCCGTCTCGCCTTCTTGTTGTAGCCGTGCTCCTCCGGGTCCTCGGGCTGCTCGAGCTTCTTCAGAAACTCGCGCGGGTGCGTCCCCTCCGGCACCTGCAGCAAGGCTCCGAGACACTGTTCGGGAGAGCATCTTGAGCAACGCGCGTCCCCCTCGGGCACCTCGCCAACCTCGGCTCCCCTCGGCGCCTCTCGGCGCCTCTAGACTCCTCTGGGCTCCTGTCGCATCTCGGCCCATCTCGGCTCCTCTCCGGGCACCGCTCCGCCGCCGGTCATCACGACGGGCTGCTTTGGCTCGCCGTTGATGTTGCCTTGCTCGGAGATGAGCTTGAGCAAGTCAAAGCCGTACACCACCTAACCTCGGGCTCACCTCGGGCTCACCTCGGGCTCACCTCGGCTCACCTCGGGGCATCTAGGCTCCTCTCGGGTCGCCTCGGGCCGTCTCGGCTCATCACGGCTCCTCTCGGGGCCTCTCGAGCCTGAGCAGCCACCGGGCCGTCTCACGTCATCGTCAGATCTCGGCGTGATCTCGGCGTGATCTCGCCTTGCCGAAGACGGCGTGCCAGCCGTCGAGCTCCTCCATCTTTCGGAAGGTGACCTGAGGAATGAGTCAGGACTGGCGTGTGGCTGAGTGAGGCGAGCTCCTCCAGCGTTCGAAAGGCGAGCCAAGGCAGATGAAGGCCCGACGTCTCCGCGTGATCTCGGCGTGATCTCGGCGAGAGGCGCACGTGGAAGCGCGGCGTGCGGCCGTCGACGAGGGAGAGGATGCCCGGGTTGAGGTGCGGCAGCTGCCACTTCGCCTAGTGAGCATGTCCCGGACACGTCCTGGACCCGTCCCGGACACGGGCGGAATCGCGGCTGCCGCCACTCTGCCTCGCCCATCACGCTCTGCCGCACGAAGGCGGTGTGGTCCTGTCGCATCGACCCCTCGAGCCGCGTGTCGCGATCGCCTGCACGGAGGCGGCTCCGAGTGGGGGCAGGGAAGGGCCGAGAAGAGGCGAGAGGCTCCGAGAAGGTGCAGGGAAGACCCCTCACCTCGGCCGCACCTCGGCCGCACCTCGGCCACACCTCGGCCACACCTCGGCCGCCCCTCGCCTCGGCCACACCTCGGCCACACCTCGGCCACACCTCGGCCACACCTCGGCCACACCTCGGCCACACCTCGGCCATCTCCCGGCCACCTCCCGGCTACCCCTCTCGCCTGCCACCAGGTAGTCTCCCGGCATGATCTTTGACACCAGCGACGCCCTGCGGCAGCTCGGCTCGAGGCGGTCGGGGGCCGGGCTCGGGGGCTGGGATGGGCGCCGCCAGGGTCAGGGCAGAGGTGCAGGGCCAGAGCTGGGGCCGGTGCAGGGCTGGCGGGGCTGCCTGTAGGTGGGCTCGTGCTGCGACTCGAGCAGTTCGACAAAGCGGCCGACTGTGCGCGGCATCAGGTCGTGGAAGAGCTCGACAACGAGGCGGCCACGGGTGATCTGCGGATCGCGGCCCATCTGACGCCCAATCTCAAAGTCCATGTAGCAGTGCCGCGCTGCCGGGGTCGGATCTTCCTCGATGCATGCGCGCGCGCGCAGCGCGTCTAGCCGGCGCTGCTTGGCGGAGTTCTCCTCCTCGAGCTTCTCGCGCTCGTCCAGCTCCGATTGCAGCTCCTTCCAGGCGTCCTTGCGCGGCCGCTTCTTGGTCGAGAAGTTCATGACGCGCGCACACTCTGCGCCAGCACCCTGGGTTCCAACTTTTTGCGGGGTATGGTACGGTACATCCTGACCGCCCATCCCCGGTCTCCGGGAGGCTGGGTCTGTCAGCAGGCGGGGTATGGTCTTGAGGTGGGTTGCGTGAGCCTACCATACCATAGTCCATACCCCGCAAAAAGTCCGAACCCTGGAGCCTGGTGCGTGGTGGGGGGCAAGAAAAGAATTTTTGCGGGCGAACACACACGCACTTGCCTTCGGGCCAATCCGCTAGGTTGGGCGTGCTTTCACAGCCTCACGAGAGTACTCTCAAGTTTGCACGCCGCGACACCAGTTCTTACTTCGCAGAGGGTCATCTGCAGCGAAGAGTCACTCACGTCTCACGAAGCTCGGTGGATGGGAAGTGCCCGTGCTCCGGCCCCGCGCCGTCGATCGTGACGCCCGAGAGCGTCACGCGCCGCGGCGGGCCGCCTGGCTCCTCCGGTGGCAGAAAGTTGATGCCCTCGAGCTGCGACGAGGCGGGAACGTACCGGACGCTGTAGCGTGCGACCGGCGTGCCGCCCTCCGAGGTGTGAGGGTCGCCGCGGTGGAAAATGAAGCGCGTGTGGATGATCGCGTCGCCCGGCTGAAGGGCCGGGCACTCCTTGATCGCCTCGAGCGCGGCGTGGCTGTCGGGACTCAGGCTCTGCATCTCGCAGGTCTGAGGCGCCTGCCGGCAGCTGGAGGCGTGAAGAGACGCCGTTCACGCCCGAGGCGGGCTCTCATCTCACAGGTCGGGTTTTGGGCAGATATGCATCTCGGCGCATCTCGGCGCATCTCGGCTAATCTTTCCTCGCCCGGCGGAGCAATGACCGCGCGCTGCGGCAGAAAGTCGGGCCGGTGCGAGCCGGGAGCATAGGCCAAGCCGCCGCCCGCCCCCGCATCCACCGCGTCCAGCGCGACCCACACGTTGACGCCAGGCCCGGGGCCGTCTCGCTTGGTCGGCCAGAAGAAGAAGTCGTCCACGTGCCTATAGTGGAAGCCCGAGGACGTGTCTCGGAAGTGTCTTCTGAGCTGGGCGGGGCGGACGACGAGCGCGCCAGCCGCAGCCGCGCTTGCCGGGAGAGAGGGAGAAGAAGCCGTCGCGAAGCACGTGGAGAGGCTTGCCGCGCCCGGCGCCACGCACCTCATCCGGCGTCAGTTGCTCGGCAGCGGCCGCGAGCGGCGAGCGGAGCGCCACATCGAGGAAGCAGGCGTGCTCGCGCCACGCCTCCGTCTTGACTGTGCCGTATGTCTCCGCGTTGGGCATCATGGTGCCGACACTTCGGCGCACTGCAAGCACTCGGTCGAGGAGATCGCCCTGCAGCAACCCACGCACAAGCACGACGCCACTCTCGTAGAACTCTGCGACCTGCTCCCGGCTGAGCGGACCCTCGCGGGCGAGGTCGGCCTCGGACGGAGCGTGGAGCTCGTGGCCGGCGGCGAGCGACGATGCGGACGCAACGGCGAACTTGTCGAGAGGCGGCGTCGCGGCCCTACACATATCGTCCACGGGAAGCGGAAGCAGTCGGAGGTCGCGGAAGTCGCCGGAACGAGACAAGAAAACACGTTTGAACCAATCTTAACCATTTTATTCTCTTTTGCTACATGTATTCTAGCATGCATTGCTAAATCTCTCTCTCTCGTCGGAATGTGAGACCCACACACCAAAATCAAGAGAGAGAGAGCTTCCAAGAATCTCTCTCCAAAATCAACACGCCCGTCAGCCCGGACGTGCCTGCGGGCGGACGGCAACGCTTGCCACTCTCCCCGTGTTCACGCGCTTGGCTGCCGAGAGCACTTTCAAAGCGTCACTGTGCGGCGCGAGCGGCGGCGGCGAGCTTGTTGAGGTTGCCGCGGTTGCGCCTGCCCGCCTTGGTCATGAGGGGCACCATCTCCCGGCCTTCCCAGCGCCACACGCCGCCACGGTGGGAGGTGAGCAGCGAGGCGGTCGGCGCCGAGAGGCCGAGCGCCTCGCCCGTCACCGAGGCGCTGCGCCGCGATGGCTCGAAGCGGAAGACGAGCGAGGGCTGGAGGAGAGCGGTGGCGAGGGAGAGGAGGTTCGTGCTCAGCGATGCCGCTAGGGCAGCCAGCCCGCTCTCTGAGGAGAGCCCGCCGGCCCCGCCCGTGGCTCCAGACCACGCGACTGCGGCACCTTTGAGCGGGCAGCGGGCGATGCGCGTCCCTTCATCCCACGAGCAGTGCGAGGTGTCGTAAAGCATCAGCGGGGAGCCCAGCCCAGCGACGTGAAATACTCCCAGGAAGGGCAGGCCAGGCGGCGACCCGCCCTGCAGGCTGCTCACGGGAAGCGTACCCGGCTCAACTACGACCAGCGACGGCGCACACAGCCAGAGCATCGCCACGAGCAGCAAGGCCGGGTGAGCCGTCGCCAGGTGGAATGCCTGCTCGTGGGGTCGCAGTGACCAGCAGGTGCGGCCCGAGTAGCGGCTCTCCCAGTAGTCCCGCGACACCTGCGCGCACGAGGCTCGGGTGGAGCGAAAGTGTAGCACTGAGCGAAAGTGTAGCACTGGCGCAGAGATTGAGGACGCCTCACCGCATAATTTCTCCGCTTTGTCCAACCGAGGCCCAGCGCGAGGAAGAAGCGTTGGGTAACGTGGTGCCCGACCGCGATGAGGCCGGCAGTAGCGATCGCGACGAGGCCGGCTGCTGGGAACAGCATCGAGCTGTGTGTGTGTGCGAACCCTCTCCGTTTCGGAATCGTAGATAAAGAATTCGCCGCGGGCCGATCCCTCCTTTGCCGTCCTCCCTCGAGTTGTTTGTTTTCTTTCTTTCTTTCCCTCCTTTCCTCAGCATTTCTTTCTTTCTTTCTTTCTGGTACTGTGGGAAAGAAAGAAAAGGAGCCGGACGGGTAATGGAAACAAGCAGGGAACCTCCGGGAGAAGGAGAAAGAAAGAAAAGAAGAAAGAGAAAGACACCAGCCAACGGAGCGATGGGATAAATAAATAAATAACACGGGCACGCCAAACGAGGGGTGGGAGAAGGACAGGGTCCCCACCTGCACGAGCAGGATCTTGTAAGGACGATCAGGGACACAGGGGAACGGGAGCGGGGAGCGCGATGGGAGCATGGCACTCCGCGAAGTCGCGCGTTTCTTACAGCTAGTGCGCGCCAGTCCCGTGCCCAGTGTAAAAAAGAAAGAAAGAAAGAAAACAGACACGCCAAACGAGGGATGGGACGAGGACAGGGTCCCCACCTGCACGAGCAGGATTTTGGAAGAACGATCAGGGGGACAGGTGGGGCTCTCCTGCTCCTGACAAGGGACACGACAGGCTCGCAGCGCGGTGCGCGGTGGACTCCCACAGTGTATAAATAAATAAATACAACGGACATCCCAAGCTAGGGCTGGGTCGAGGACAGACACGTCCCCACCTTTGCAGGATTTTGCAAAAGCGAGGGGGGAGGGCGCATCGCCGCGCGGAGAGGGCTGGGCACAGGGCACAGGGGATCTCTCTCGCATAGGATATGCACTCGGCGGCACGAGGGCAAGGCTGGGCGTCCTATGTTTGTGCTCCCCCCCGGACCCCTCGCTCTCGGGCACTAACCATCTGACCACTCATCGACGGGGCTTGGCGAGCGGCCGCGCTGCGGGGCAGGGCTGGTGAGGATGGGCTCTGGCCACTCGCCCGTGCGGTGTTGTGCGACGGAGTTTTGTCGTACAATTCTTACAGCTGCCAAGGCGCGGGAAATCTGTCACGCCTCTTCGCGCCCGAAGCACCGATGAGCTCATCGCCCCTCGCCCTCTCCGCCTCCGGCAGCTCGCGTCGCTCGGCGAGCTCCCCGCTGCAGTCGTCCGACGTGGCCAACACGCCGGCCGGCCCGCAGGCTGGCCAATCGACGCTCCGCTCGTCGCCGCTCGTCACGCCGCACGCTGGAGGCACGCCCGGCTCGCGCGCCTCTCCGCTGAGCCTGCTGGGATCGCAGCGGTCGCAGCGGTCGCGCATCACGCCAAACAGCCTCGGCCGCTCCAACCCGCCCAGCTCGGTTGGCCGCGGCACTGGCACCGACCCCGACGACGGCAGCGGCACCGGCGGCGACGGGCCGTCGGCCAAGATCTGGGGCACCACCGTCGACGCGAAGCAGTTCCGCCGCGCGGCCAAGGCCTTCTTCACCGAGTTCCGCGACGAGTCGCAGGACCTCGAGCAGGACCCGTACTACATGCAGCTGCTCGAGCAGACCCTCGCCACGCTCGAGGAGTTTGTCAACGTCGACTGCCGGCACACACCACGCACCTCACGCCCCACGCACCTCACGCCTCGACCGCCACCCCCGCCCATCGCTGCCGTCCTTGCGCTCGCTCTCTCACCCCCCTCACCGCTCCCCTCCCCCCTCCCCCCTCCCCCCCCCCCTTCTTTCCTGCCCCTCCCTCCCCCTCCCCACTGCCGCGCCTCCGCTTTTTGCCGCAGGCACGTGCACTCGTTCGACGCCGACCTGTACAGCAAGCTGGTCGCCTTCCCGCAGGAGACGATCCCGCTGATGGACGACGTGCTCCAGTCCGTCAAGGACGAGCGCTGGCCCGACGCCGACCCCGTCAAGATCCAGACCCGCCCCTTCAACCTGATCAAGGAGAACCGGCTGCGCGACCTCGACCCGTCCGACATCGACCGGCTCGTCTCCATCAAGGGGATGGTGACGCGGACGTCGCAGATCATCCCCGACCTGACCCTCGCCGTGTTCGAGTGCGGCGTCTGCGGCGCCGCGCAAGACGTGCAGGTCGAGCATCACCGCGTCGTCGAGCCCGACGTCTGCCACAACCAGTCGTGCCAGGCGCCGCGGCCACACACGTCCTCCTCTCCCGCCCGCTGCCCCTCTCCCCCGCCCAAGTTTGGGCCAACGTCCCCCCCCCCCCCCTCCCCCGCGCGCACAGGCCAAGGGCGCGATGCGCGTGATGCACAACCGCTCCCTCTACATCGACAAGCAGATCATCCGGCTGCAAGAGGCGCCAGAGCACATGCCGCAGGGCGAGACGCCGCAGACGGTCTCGATGTGCACGTGGGCTCGGCTGGTGGACGTCTGCAAGCCGGGCGACCGAGTGGAGGTCACCGGCGTGTACCGCGCCTCGCCGGTCCGCTCGAACCCGCGCCACCGCTCGGCGAGCTCCACCTGCAGGGCGTGCCTCGCAGCCTTCCAGGAGCCGTCTCGGAGCCGTCTCGGAGTCGTCTCGCCTTAGGTGCGCTCCATCTACAAGACGTACGTCGACATCGTGCACGTGCGCAAGATCGACAAGGGGAAGCGGCTGCAGCAGGAGGCGCCGACGGCCGCCGCGACCTCGACCCCTCCCCTCGGCGCAATCGCGCGTAACCGCGGCTCCTCTCGACAGGCGGAGCCAACTGTCGCGACCGCCGCCGGCGAGGCGCGGGCCGGCGAGGCGCGCGAGGAGTACCACGAGGGCAACGAGCTGGACGCGGTGTCGGACGCGCGCGTGGCGGAGCTCAAGGCTGGCCGAGACGTCGACCACTAGCCACTTGCCTCGGAGCCTTCTCGGAGCTTTCTCGGAGCCCCGTCTGCAGGCGCTGGCCGAGACGCCGACCCTCTACGAGGACCTGGCGCAGTCGCTCGCGCCGTCGGTGTGGGAGCTGGACGACATCAAGAAGGGCATCCTGCTGCAGCTCTTCGGTGCCTCGCACAAGGTGATCGACAAGGAGTCGTCGGGCGGCTCGGCGCGCAAGCGCGGCGACGTCAACGTTCTGCTCGTCGGAGACCCGGGCACCGCTAAGTCGCAGCTGCTGCAGTACGTGCACAAGGCGCGGGGGGCACGGCAAGCTGCGACCCGACGCTGCGCCTCCCCGGAGCCCTGCGGAGCTCGCCCGTAGGTCGCGCCGCGCGGCATCTACACTTCGGGCAAGGGCTCGTCGGCGGTCGGCCTGACGGCGTACGTGACAAAGGACCCCGAGACCAAGCAGTTTGTGCTCGAGTCGGGGGCGCTCGTGCTGTCGGACCACGGCGTCTGCTGCATCGACGAGTTCGACAAGATGTCGGACGGCGCGCGCTCCATCCTGCACGAGGCGATGGAGCAGCAGACGGTCTCGGTCGCAAAGGCGTCGCGCCGCCGGCTCGACGCCGCGCGCGAAACGCGCGAGTCAGCCGGAGGTTGCGCCCGAGAGTAGGCGGGCATCATCTGCTCGCTCAACGCGCGCACGTCCGTCCTCGCCGCCGCCAACCCGATCAACTCCAAGTACGACCCGAAGCGATCCGTCGTCGACAACATCAACTTGCCGCCCTCGCTGCTCTCGCGCTTCGACCTGATTTACCTCGTGCTCGACAAGGCGAGATTCGCCGAGATGCGCAGAGATTCGCCGAGATGCGCAGAGACTCGCCGAGATGCGCAGAGACTCGCCGAGATGCGCAGAGACTCGCCGAGATGCGCCGCGACTCGCCGAGATTACTTTGCGCCCGCGCCCTCTCTGCAACCGTCTCCGCACCGTCTCCGAGACCCGTCTCCCACCCTTCGCCACCAGGTGAACGAGTCGACCGACAAGCGGCTCGCTGAGCACATCGTCCAGCTCTACCAGCTCGACCGCACGCCCGCGCACGCCGTCGTGCCGCAGCGCACGCTGATGGACTACATCTCGTACGCGCGGCGCGAGGTGCATCCGAAGATCTCGGACGAGGCCGCGCAAGAGCTGATCCGCGCGTACTTGGCGATGCGCAACATGTCGGGCAACAAGAACGTCATCTCGGCGACGCCGCGCCAGCTCGAGGGCCTCGTCCGCCTCTCGGAGGCGCGCCAACGACACCGCCCCCGCACACACACCCCGCACACACCCCTCGCACACACCCCTCGCGCACACCCCTCCGCCACTTGGCCCGCCCTCCCGCCGCCCTCTCCTGCCGCCGGTCGCCCTCTCGCCCGCCCCCCCCCCACCGCCCTCTCACGCCGTCCTCCGCCGCCGCTCTCTCCCGCCAGGCGCACGCGCGCATGCGGCTGCACTCGACGGTGGTGGCGGAGGACGTCCTCGAGGCCGAGCGGCTGATGAAGACGTCGATGCAGTCGGCGGCGATGGACCCGACCACGGGCACCATCGACATGGACCTCATCGCCACCGGCCGCTCCGCCGCGGACCGCAACGCCGCGAAGATGCTCGCCGCCGCGCTTAAGGACCGCTTCCTCGCCATGTCGGCGCAGACCATCTCGCTGCAGGAGCTGCAGCAGTCGGCGCAGGAGGACACCGGCGTCGAGGTCTCCATCACCGTGCTGCGCGAGGCGCTTGCTATCCTCGGCCGCGAGGGGCTGGTGTCCGTCAGCCGCAACCAGGTCACCGTCCACTGAGCGCCACCGCGCGCGCGGCCGCCGCTAGTGTTTGAATCGAGGGTGTGTAGATGTGGTGGGGGGTGGGCGGAGAGAGGGGAGGGGGGGCAGCATGTGAGTACACGCGCGTCGGCCGCGCCGGAGTGCCACCACGCGCGAACGCGCGCTGGAGTCCTCCTGGCGCCGCTCTTTATCGTTCACAGGTCGCGTTTTCGGCTTTTGCGTTTTGGACGACCCACCAGGAACGGCCACGAGCACGACGGTGTCGCACGAGCCGACGACCCGCACACGGCACACACCCCCGACCCCTTAGAGCCCGACCCCCCTTGAGTGCTGTGTGCTGTGAGACGCTGCTGAAGTGGTCTGAGCGGAATGCTGTCGCTGGCCGCCGCTCTGCTGTCCACCAGCGAGCCATGGCCCGCGGAGCGACGGCCCGCGCGAACGATAGTCGATACAGTCAGCGTCACGCCGGAAGGGAAAAGGCCGGAGATTGGGCTGCTTGGAAAAGAAGAGTTTGAGCAAAAATGTAAAATTATTGGTTAGTTGCTAAATATTTAGAGATGCGCTGCGCATCCTGCATCCAAATCACCTCACGCTCTGCTGCATACTGCCGGTAACGGTTCTCCCTAGTGTCATATGCATAGCCCTTGCCCCTGATCTCGCCATAGTCCTTGTAGAGTCCGGTGAGAGCTGGCATTGCATATTTCATGAGCGAAGCCGGGCAGGTGTCAGTGCACTGCACGATGACGGGCTGACACGACGTGGGGCAGATCGCAGCCCCCTCTTGGCCGCAGCAGATATCGTGCGTGCGAGCACATGCATCAATGCAGTCGACCGGTGTCACGCTGGAGGCTGGTAGTCGCACATGGGCCCTTCTGGTACAGCTCGGCCGCCCCACACCAGTTCGGGCCCACATAATTGCCGTACAAAGCGAGCAGCTCGCGCCTTTCAGGAGTCGGCAGAGCGAGGGCCGCGAAGACCGCCTGCAGCATAGTTGAAATGTGGCCACTTACCGTACCTTGTCCACGAGTCGCAAAACGCCCCCTGCACTTGGAGCACTTGGAGTGCAGTCGGCAACCTCACATCCAGGGCCGGGGAGCTAAGAAGCGCACCCAGCGAGCCGGATGATCGGCATCGGGCTACGGGCTAGAGAGCCCTGACCCCTAGCTAGGGGGGAGGGTGCGCATTCGCAGGGAAAGGGCCGTAAAGTAAACACGGGTCTCCGAGGGTTGGCCCCGCGTACCGGGTTTCCCCTTAACTGCAGGAAGGACGCCCTGCGTGAATTTTTTTCTTTCTTAGAGTGAACCGCGAACCAACCGTGAACCGACTAGCCCCCACCCACCCCGAGTCGGAGAGAGATTTTAGAAGCCAACCTGAGGGAGGGTGTAGAGGATGTAGAGTGTAGAGCGCTGTAGAGCTGTAGAGATGTAGAGCGCTCTGGAGCGCTGTAGAGCAATGTAGAGCTGTAGAGCTCTACATCCGGCGCGGGACAGAGCGATGCAGATGTAGAGCGATGTAGAGGCGCTCTACAACGTGAAATCTCTACAACAAACTCTACATCAAAAGCGGCGAACGAGGCACGGTCGCTCTCCGACATTGGGCGCGTTGCACTTGCCAGTGCTGCCCTGGCCTTCTGTCTGCCCGCCCAATGGGTGGCAGGTGCCTCTGCTGCTGTGGCATGCCTCACACGGCTGCGACTGGCCGGCGCCTCGGCGCGTCAGCTCGGGTCGGCGTAGCGATCGTGGCCAGCGCAACTCGCCTGGACTCAACGCTCAGCCAGGAGCTCCCGCACGCGCTGGCGCGAGTCATGGCGCATGCAACGCGTCTGAATGCTCGCCTCGCCTCGCGCAAATGCGACCGTCCTCGCAGCCGACAGTCCACCGCCTGCTACAGAAGCACTGCGACGAAAGCGGCACCGGCGACGCATGGCAGGCTGGTCATGACGCAGTTATAGGGTGTTGTGTGCCGTCGGAGTGACTCTCTGTGTGTCAGGGATAGTCAGGCCGTTCATCAGAGCTCCAGTAAGCTCGGAGACAACCCACTAGTGCGGCTCGACCTCTTTGAGTCACTGCCTTCCCGGCGGTTTGGCTGTAGAGCCTCTACAACAAACTCTACAGCAAAATCGCGCTCTACAGCGCTCTACAACGCACGCAGTTCGTCACGCGGCGGATAGAGCTCTACAGCTCTACAGCGCTCTACAGCGCTCTACATCTCTACAGCTCTACAGCTCTCTACACTCTACATCCTCTACACCCTCCCTCAGAAGCCAACCACTTCTTCTTCTTCGATTCGGGAGAGAGAGAGAGAGATTTTGTCGATTCGGTGAACCGTGAACCGTGAACCGTGAACCGAACACTCCTCCCGCGACACCCGCCGAGAACCGTGACCGTGAACGAATGGCGAACCGGCGGCGAACCGAGTCTGGATGAAGTACAGTTGCCAAGACTCGCTCTTAGGGAGGGAAAAAGTAATCGATGAAAGCGAAGTGAGTCCGGCGTTGGGTGTAGAGCTCTATGCAGGGCGCCAGCTCCAGCTTCCGCCCGCCGCGCCCCACCGCTGCGGCCGCGGCGGCCGGCACGGCTCCGGCGGAGGGCGTCACGTACCCCGCGGACGTCGACTCGATGGAGATCGATGACCCCGCCGCGTTCGGCCTCATGGACCCGATGGACGCGCCGACCGAGACTGTCGACACGGAGTTCTTCAACGGTGCGCGGCCCCGTCGCCGCGACACACTCCGCATACCCCGACGCCACCCCCCTTCCGCAGACTTCCCGGACGACTTTGACGACGAGAACCTCGACTGACCCTGGGTGGGACAGGATGACACATCCTCGCGCAAACTCCTCGCTCGCGGCCGTCTTCGCCGCCTTGCGCTGCTGGCACACTGCCGAAGAGCCGACCACCATGGGAGAAATCATGTATGGCACCGGTGCGAAGCAGCTATCGGGATTTCGGCGGCGCGGGATGTACTGCGGATACGGGTTACGGTGTACGTTGCCGGAGTCGGACGGCACAAGCGGAAACCGGGGCGCTTGAGGCCTGTGACGTGAGGGTGGAGGGCACGCTGGAGGGTGAGGGCTTTTGAGGTGTTGCCGCGGTGTGCATGATTCGAGTACTGTATGGGTGTGAGCCCAGCAAGACAAGAATTCGAAGCCAGCCACGACGCGTACGACAACACACAAGCGAGAATACATTAAACCACGCACGAAAACCGGCAAACCAGCCGCTGCCGCCGATCGAGCGTGCGCGCGAGAGGGGAGCACGCGAGACGACGGTCCGCGAAAAGGAAGAGGCCAGCCGAGCCGCCGACGCGCCAAGTCGCGCGCCGCGCGCCGCGCCTCAGATGGCGACGCCGTCCACGGATCCCATCATGGTGGCAGACTGGAAGGCGCCGTCCAGGAAGAGGCGGAAGGCGGGGTCGAGGAAGAGCGGGCGGAAGAGGCTCGGCGTGAACTGGACGATGGGCACCTGCCAGGCGGCCTCGATTGCGACGTAGTTTGCGACGGCGAGCATCGCGATGCGCCCGTTGAGGAGCTCCTTCTCTTGGAAGGCGCGCCGCTCCTCGCCGCTCAGGCCGCCACAGATCTTCAGCGGGTCAAAGGGCGCCGACAGGGGCACCTCGGGCAGCCGCTGCGCGGGGGTGCGCACGCAGCCGGGCACGTCCGACGTCGGCCACTCGTTGAACTTGAGGCCGAGCTGCTTGCGCGCCTTGATGTCCTGCAGCTCGAGGACCGCGCCCACAAAGACAAAGAGCGACAGCGCCGGCGCCAGCTCCCACTGGTCGAGCCCGCCGTTGAGGAGAGAGGGCGACTTGCCCGCCGACGCTGCGAGGCCGTCCCGAACGCCGAGGCCGTCCGCCCGCGCCGCGTCCACCAGGATCGGGTGGAGGATCTCTTGCAGCGGCCACGCGATGGCGGCCAGCATCGCGAGGCGGCCGTGCTTGATCTGCGAGTGCCGGCGGCAGGTGCTCAGCGGGCGGGAGTGTGCAACGTGTGTGCGTGATGTGGGACCGCGTGAGCGTGGCGTGGGATTGGCCAGCGGCGCCGCGCGCCTCTGCCTCGCGAAAGGGAGTGATCGTCTCGGACGTGCCGAGGCCGAGTGGGTCAAACTGGTAGTCTCCGACCGCGCGCGGCTCCGGCTCGAAGGAGGCCGACATGGACGGCTGGAAGGGTGAGACGCGGGGAGCGCCAGAGGCGAAGAGGGTCGGGTCGGCAGAGAGGACGACGCGGCTGCGCTGCGGGCTGACGGTGTGCGGGCCCACGAAGGCGCTGCCGGCGATGCCAGAGAGGGAGAGCATCGGACGTGACAGGAAGGCCTGGAACTCCCAAACTTGTCCTGGCCTGTTCGAAGAAAGGGACGAAAATTTCATGGAATTTTCCTTCTTTTTCCAAATCCTGCACAGGTGGGGACGTGCGTGTCTGTCCTCGACCCAGCCCTAGCTTGGGGTCTCCGATTCTTTCTCTCTTTACTTTCTGATGTTTGTCTGCGTGTCCTCTAAGCGGCCGGGCCACCCACACCGACCCGCCCACCCGCGTCGTGACTCTCGAGGTTCTCGAGGTGGATATCCTTTGGCCGCGTTGGGTAGCGAGGATTGGTGTAACCCGAGCCACGGAGGCGTGTTTTCTGACGGCCGACCGTCAGTGCACGGAGTTGCCCCTTCTCCGCGTCGTGACTGATGATGACTGTCCTCTCCACGGCTCTCCTCCGGCACCTCCGCCTTTTCAGCCGCCGCCGGGGCGCCTTTTCGGGGACGGATAATCTTGCTCGCCGGTCCATTTCGCCTCCAGGCGGAGGTGCAAACGCCGCGGCCCGATTTTACGCCCGTTGATGAACATCCATCGGCGCGAGACATACGTCCGCGTCGACGAGTGTTTGCGACACCGGGCATGGGTGCGGAGCTCAAAAAGTGCCTTGGGGGCGACACAGCGATCAAGCCGCCGCCTGCAGCGGCCAAGGAGGCGCCTCCATCAGCGGCGGCAGCCGCCGCGGCTGCCCCAGAGCCTGTGGCCAAGGTGGAGACACCCGCCCCAGAGGCGCCTGCGCCTGCGCCCGCCAAGTGCCCCTTGGACGGTATGTGCGGCGAGCGAGGCCTGCCGGAGGCCATGTCCGCCGAGACGGTCGCCACCGTCGACGAGACCGCCGGGGTCGTCGCTCCGCACGCGCTCGAGATCACCAAGGGCTTTTACGGCGAGATGATCGAGTCGCTTCCACAGGTCGTTTTGACCATGTTCAACCCGGCGCACAACGTGCCCATCTCGACGCACCAGCCAGAGGCGCTGGCGGCGTCGGTCGTCGCGTATGCCAGCAACATCAAGGACCTGTCGCCGCTCCTCGTGCCGGGCGGCGCCGTCGACGCCATCAACCACCGCCACTGCGCCCTCGAGATCTTGCCGGATCATTATCCCGTGGTTCACGACCACCTGATGTGGTCGGTCGCCAAGGTGCTCGGGCCCAAGCTGGGCGGCGAGGTGCCTGCACCTGTGGTCGACGCGTGGAGCGAGGCGGTCCGCTTCCTCGCCAAGGTCTGCATCGACAAGGAAGAGGCGCTGTACGCCGAGTACGCCAAGCGGCCAGGCGGCTGGCGCGGCCGCAAGGACTTCAAGGTGACCGAGATCAAGGACGCCGGCACCGACATCAAGAGCTTCACGTTCGAGCCGGTCGAGCCGCAGGACGCCGGCTTCGACTTCACGCCCGGCCAATACCTGACGGTCAAGGTCGACCCCAACGGCGACGGCCTCACCGCGCCGCGCCACTACACGACGACCTCGCCTCCCGGAGAAAAGTACCTGCAGTGCACCACCAAGAAGGTGGCGGGCGGCGTGGTGTCGACGTACATGCACGAGGCGCTCAAGGTGGGCGACACGGTCAAGCTCACGCCCCCGTACGGCGTCTTCACCCTCGACCAGGAGCTGCCGACCGGTGTGCTCGTCAGCGCCGGCATCGGCGTCACGCCGATGGTCAACTTCGCCCGCGCGCTCGGCGACAAGACGGCGCTGGTGGTGCACGTCGACAAGACGGAGGCGGCGCACGCCTTCAAGGCGGAGTTCGAGCCGTACAAGACCCTCTTCAAGTACACCGACGGCGGCGCTCGCCCCTCGGTCGCGTCGGTGGCCAAGGAGACGATCGAGGCGGCGGGCACCGGGCACTGCTTCTACATTTGCGGCCCGCCGGCGTGGATGAAGGAGATGCAGGCGGAGCTGCTCACGCTCGGCGCCAAGAAGGTGATGTGCGAGGTCTTTGGCTCGCAGCTCGCCACGGGCTGTCCCTTCGCAGCGTCCGCCCCGGAGGCGCCGGCTTCGACCCCGGACGCCTACCCGGTCGCTGCGGCAGAGCCGGAGGCGCCTGCGCCGGCGCCTGAGGCGCCGCCGCGGCGGATGAGCAGCTACATCAAGGAGCTGAAGGAGGAGGCGCCGCCGAAGGCCGCCAGCAGCAGGCGGTCCGGCGGCAAGTCGCGCGGGAGCGGCGGTGGCGGAGAGCCGGCGACTGAGACGACGAGTAGCAAGCGCGCCAGCGGAAACAGCGCTCGCAAGTCGGGCAAGGGGTCGGGCAAGGGGGGCTCGGCGGCCTCGCTCTCGCGGGTGCCCTCCTCGGAGGACAAGGAGCGTGCTAAGATGGCCGAGGCGGCGCTGCTCGGCGCGGCGCTTGGGGACGTCGGCAGCTCGAAGCGGAGCTCGAAAGGTTCGGCGCGCGGCTCCAAGAAGTCGGCTGGAGAGCCGCCGGCGAAGACGCCCGCAGAGAGCCCCGCAGGTCCGACCCCCGCATCCAAGCTCGACGCCTGAAGCGCCTCGTCGCCGCGGCATCTACGCATGGCACATTCGCGATGGCTGCTGCCCCCCGCCGCGCCAAAATACTTATCTTGCTGCCCTTAGTTCGTCCAGTTTTCCTTCCTGCTCGCTCGACTTTCGGGATTGCTCAAGGTTGGCTGACCGCGGCGTTGCTGCTAGCCATCCCTCGTCTTCTCGGCCGGAAGGATCCAGATCGTTGCACCTGCAAGTGCTGCACTCGCTACCCCGAGAGTCTCCTCCCCTTCCCTAACCCCTCCAAGTGACGCCGTGGTGTCTTGATTGAGTGCGAACGAAGAGTGCGCTCTTGCTATAGCTCTTGCTGCCAGACTCCGCAATATATGGTTCGCAGGGGATTCTGTTTTTACTTCCATCGACCGCGACACCTCCGCCGTAGGGAGGGTGGTACCTTTCGTGAAACTGAAACGCGGAGGAACGCGATCTGTCTCGCGTTCCTGAACGCTTGCGATTCAGCTGTCGCGCCGCTGGATGATCTTGCTCAGCTCGCCGAGCTCGACCTGAACGCTCAGCGGCGCGACCGCTGAATCGCAGCCGTTCGTGCTGCTCGCATGCATCGTTGCAGTTTCAATTCTTCCCCCCGTGCCTAACAGAGCACTTGGAGCACTTGGAGTGCAGTCATTAACCTCACATCCAGGGCCAGGGAGCTGAGAAGCGCACCCAGCGAGCCGGATGGTCGGTATCGGGCTACGGGCTAGAGAGCCTTGACCCCTAGGAGGGGTGCGCGTTCGCAGGGAAAGGGCCGTAGGGTAAACACAGAAAAAAACCTTCTTTGCGCCAACTCAGGACAGCGCCATCGAACGCACATGCTCGACGGCGGCAAACGGCGCCCGGGCTCGCCGCCAGGGCCAAATCTGCGGCTACTCGCCACACTTTTCCTGCTGCTGCTGCTCTGCATGCTGCTGCTGATTCGCGAGCCCGACGGCGGCGGCGGCAGCGGCGGCGGCGGCGGCGGCGGCGGCGGCGGTGGGATGCGGCCGTCCTCCCAGGTGGCGAGCAGCCTAGTGGCTCTCGCGGACCGCAACACGGCGCTAATATCACAGCTAGTGCGGACTGAGGATGGCGCGGATCGCCTGGTCGGCGGTGCGGCGCCGTCGCCGCGCCCGTGGCTGCGCATCGCTCTGATGTCGGTCGGCCGCTCCTCGGGCGCAGAGTATTTGCTGCACGCTCTGCGGGCGCTGCTGCAGACGCATCCGGCTCGTGTCTCGGACCCGCTGCGGTCCTCGATCGAGATTGTCGTCGTCAACAACCACGCTCCACCAGAGGCGCACTCGGTGCTCTTGCGCGCGAAGCAGCTGTATGGCGGCCGTGTCGTGTTCGTGGAGAAGGAGGCGGCGGCGGCGCGGGCCTGCAGGGCGACGCCGAAGGTCAAGGGCGACGTGGCGAAGGAGCCCGTCTTTCGTCAGACCTGCGACCTGGTGGGTGGCCTCGAGGCGCTGCTTGCGATGCCGCCCGCCGATCACGTGCTGCTGATGGAGGACGACTGGCTGGTCTGCCCGAGTGCGCTGCTCGCGCTTCAGTACCTGCTCGACAAGGCGTACGCCTACGACGAGGACTGGCTCGCGCTGCGCGTCTCGTATGGGTTCAACGGGGTGGTGGTGCGCGGGGGCGCGGACCTGCGCTCCCTGCGGCGACACCTCGAGTCCCACCCGTGGCGCCGCCCACCCGACCACCTGCTCTTCGAGTGGTTCTCGGGCGAGCGGCCAGACACAAAGGCGTATGCGGCGGGGCGCAGCTACCGCGTGTTTCGTCACAACCTCTTCTACCACATCGGGGCGCTGTCGACGCTCAACCAGCCGAAGACGCGCTTCACGCCCGGCTGCTACTCGCTGATGTGAGATTCGCCGAGATTCGCCGAGATTCGCCTCCATCAACTCGCTGGTGCGCAACTCGCTTCTCCGCGCCAAGGCCTCCTCGACGAGCCTCTTTAGCGCAGTCTCGGAGCAGGTCTCGGACCGCCCGATAGGTACGATTGGCTCCTGCCCGCCGAGGTCTTCGACGAGAAGGCCTCTGCTGCACGACGGCGTCCGGTGGCGGAGGAGGCGCCTCCTCCACCCCTTCGTTCACTGGGTAGGCGTGCCCGCACGACGACGTCTGGCCGTGCACAGAGGTGGCCAGCCCGCGGCCCACTCCGCATGAACAGTCCCTGCCGAGATTTGAGCGAGTTTGTCCCGAGATTTGAGCGAGCTTGTCCCGAGATCAGGCGGCCAGAGCGGGGGCGCCCCTCTTCAGTGCGCCGGACGGGGGCGCCGCGGGATCCCCGCCGCGGCTGGCGTGGTCCGCTGCCGCTTGGACCCCGGCGCCGCTCGAGATCCGGAGACGGAGACAACGACGCTCGTCCGCTGATCCGCCATTCCCTCCTCAGGCGCCCCTCAAACCGGCGGCGGCCGCCACCGCCTCGCACGACGCCGGCGAGGTTGCGAGGTGGCTAGCGGCGGCAGCGGCGGCGGGCGACGACACCACCGCCGACGCCGCGCCTGCGTTCGACGTGGCGGCCGTCGGAGGCAGAGGGCCGCAGCAGGATGGCGCTCAGGATGGCGCGGGGCGCGCGGGCGGTGTGGAGGTCAAGGCGTTGCCGGCCGCCCGCGACACGCGCGCGGTGGTTGCGCGGCGCGCCGAGCCGCTGCGGCGACGCGATTTGACAGCTTTCGGCGCGACTCGACGCCCCCCCCCCCCCCCCCTAGGCGGTCCGAGTCGTGCGACGACGCGTGTCTGCGGGAGGGGTTTGCTTGCTCGCTTCAGGGGTTGCGCGCGCTCAACAATTGCGAGAGCCTCAAAGCGCATTTTGCTTGCGCGGCGGGCTGCGAGGCGTCCGAGGGCACGGACCAACCCGCCGAGGTCGTGCCTGACGCGGCGGAGAAGTGGGGGCCCAAGCGGTGCCTCAAGACGAGCGGGCCCGTCTCGTGCGTCGGGAAGCACGAGGCCACTGCGCGCCTTTGCGGGTGCGAGCAGGCTGCGGCGGCGGCGAGCGGGTAGCGCACAGCGTTTACGAAGTATTATATATAGCTTTCTTTGCGTTTGATCGTTTTTATATTTAAATCGGGACCGCTCGCCGCGCACGAAACGCGGACAAACAAAAGAATTAACAAAAAAGAATACTCTGTCTACACACTCCAAACACACGCCACAGGCTCAGGCCTGAGCGTGTAACTCGGAAAACGGAATTCCGAATTAGTTATTGCAGAAATTGGCGCGTTTAAACAAAAAAGAAGTTTCTCCGCCATGGAGTGTCGCGCCAGGCGGCAGGGGACCAGGACGCAGGTGGCAGGAGGGCTCCGTGTCGTGGGAGTGACGTTGTTCGTGTGACATCGCAGTCAGAGAGAGCCATCCGTGTTTTCCTTGTGGGTAAGGTACATCTCACCGCTCGCCACAATCATCACGCTTCGCCGATGTGAGAGAGAAAACGCGATTGTGTGCGTGAGCCTCGCTGCGCCACGGTTCCACCCTGTCAGGGCCTGTGTTGTTTAGATGCCCCGCTCCCCGCCCCCGCGCTCCGAGACGAAAACTCTCGAAAAAAGCGCTGGACGCTCTTTGCACGCGCTACGAGAAGGTACCTAATAAAATTAACCGTATACCCAGACTTGTCCGGCATATGCGCGCCATATCGTCCACCGATGGTTAGGCGGTGACACGGATCAGCTGCATTGGCCGTGGGCCCGGCAGCGCGGTCACCTCGACCACGAGCCCAGCATCACGTGCCACGGCCTCAAACTGCTGCCCGTCGGTGGCGGTGACACGTTCGTGATGCACCGGTTCGATAAACACCGCGAACGGCTCCTTGTCCCCGCTGCCTCCGGCATCGTTGGCGAGCAACGCGTGCTGCAAAAAGGCCACCAGAGGGCCGTGCTCAGTGCCGTGGTATAGCACATCGGTGGCGAGGACCGCGTCGAACTCGGTCGCTGCCGGCCACTGCTCGGGCTGCTGCCAATCTGAACCGGATTAGAGGAGGGAAGATGGCTCACGACGGGGAATCGACGGGCTGCGGGAGGCATTTAACGCACCAAGCGGTCGTGCCGACACTTTCGCCAACCCGTTCTCCTTTGCCGATTGCTCCGCCAGCATCAACGCCTCCAAGTCGTGGTCCGTTAGCGTCACCGATGAGGGAGCCGCGCTCATAGCCACTGACATTCCCGCGAGACCGAGCCCTGAGCCGAGCTCAAGCACTCGTTTGTCTGTGAAGTCGAGCCCCAGCCGAGCCAAGCGAGGCCCGCCGGTTGCGAGCAGCTCGGCGAGCGCCACAGAACTTGGCCACACAATATCGCCCACCCTGGAGGTGCCGTCTGCCACCGCGCGTTCGAATGCCTCCGGGTCAAGCACGTAGCTCGGAACATGCACCACCAGGCCGGCGGGTCCCACCGGGGTCTTGACCGATTTCCGAGCATTGGATGCATTGGATGTGGAAAGATGTAGCTGCTCCGCCGCCGCTACCGCCGCCACCGCCTCGAGCCGAGTCCGACTCATCCGTCCCACTACCCGCCCGAACTTGTCCAAGCGGAACATAGTGTTATGACCACAATCGGCCGATCGCCCCGCCCTCCCCGCGCGTGTTCTCCAGCTGCTTCCACCGCAGCCTGCCGTCGTCCCCCCCTGAGGCGATACGTGTTGACAATCGGTCGCACAAGTGGGGGGGCCGTCCCAAAAAGTTTTATTTTATTCTTAGCGCGGGTCCCTAGTGGCGACGAGTACCCGGAGGTGGACTGCACAGGGTTTGCGTTGGGGTCTTGCGACACCGATTTTTTCAGTCATAACTTTTTCTTACTTAGTACTTTTGTGGTGTGCGCCCAGCCCTGCCTAAGGCGTTCCCTCGCCGCCACGATCGAATTCTTTTTTACGGGGGCATGTTAAAGTGCCCGCCGCCATCCCGACGCGCCGTTGACCCAAAGGGGCGTCGCGGGTCCACCGCTCGCCTCAAAGTGAGACGGCCGACATGCGCCTAAGCCTGATCAAGATCGCATGCCGGCACGCTCTCATCCATTAGACGAATGCCATGCGATGCGCGACATTGAGGCATCGCTGGGCCGTGGAGCTGTTCGACGTGGCTCCGTGTCTGGTTCAGAGAGCTCGGAGCGGCGTCGCAGCCGCAACGCCGACACGGCTCGCTCACAGGCTGGCAAGGGGAAGGACCGCGCGAGGACGCGCTCCGCTCTTCAGAACAACAGGCGCCATGATTGTAAAACACCAGCATGGTTAGCATGACCCATGTGCGTCACGCGAATGAGCTCGGATGAAGTATATGAAGAGTCGCACACACGCTCGAATGATTGCTGCTGCCGGGTCTGCGGCCTCCGCAGCCTCCGTGTCGCATCGAGCCACAATGGCCAAGCGGACGGACACCCAGGCATGTCACCACCACCCCGGCACTACTAGGCACGGCTATTGGCTGCTGCTCATCCTCTTCCTTTGCGGGCCTTTGGGCACGCTCCTGTTCTTTGTGTTGCTCCCTCCTGACACCCACAGCACCGATGAGACGGGGCCATATGAGTTGGGCACCAAGATCGTGCACCTAGCACTGGCGGGAAGCTCGAGGCGCGCGCGGTACGTGCTTGACGAGTACACTCGGCATCCGAATCAAGATGGCACACAAACAGTTCGTCGGCCTCTCCGTCCCCTCGGAGGAGGTTGTGTACGTGATTCGCGGTGCGGTCTGGCAGTGCCCGGCGGATGCGCACGTGTCGGTCGACGAGCTCGCAAAGCACTCCCAGCAGCCATGCAGCGCGAGTCTACCCGGCGTGCAGGAGGCGCTCGGCACGCGCCTGCCGCTCCGTGTGTCGTCCGAGGGTTGCGGCAAGTGGATGCCGGTCGAGTACCGCATGTGCGCAAGCTTGCCGGAGCCGCCGGAGCGCGAGCGCGACACGGTTAGCTTTAGCATCGAGCTCGAGGGCGGGCAGTTCTACGCGCAGCGCTTTCGCACGACGCTGCGCGTCCTGGACAATGGTTGCCGGCAGGGAGCCTTCTTTCACATGCAGGAGTGGAAGAAGCTGTGGGATTTCTCTTCCCACGGCGTCGACCCGCTCGAGCTGAGCCCGGGCACAGACCCGCCCTCCTTTCTGCCCTCCTTTACCATCTCCACCGACGGGGTGGCCCTCTTGACTTGAGAGTGTGATAGCGCGATTACGTAGTGTGTAGCACATGCGTGAGTGTGACGGAGCTGCGTGGGTTTTGAGGAGATAGTACAGGTGTCCGCTGCGGAGCGGAAAGAAGAAACGTTTACCGCGCCGGGCGCGACCCACACAAAACTCACAGACGACAGAGCACTCTCTCTCCGGGCAGACCTCTGCTCTCTCGGATTAGAGCTGTCAAACGCGTTAAGAGCTGAACAGTGTTGCTAGTGTTAACAGTAACAACAGAACAACAGTGGGGCTCCCCAACAACAGTAGCTAACGTTAGGCCAGCTGAACAACAATAAGGAAGGCCTGGCAGTGACCCACGACGATCTCCAGCGTCCAGTGCGGGTAATACCCGAAATACCTGGAAAAACCCAGGTATTTTCGGGTTTTACCCGGGTTTTTGGCATTTTCTGCTTGCTGACCACTGAACAACAGTAACAACAGTAACAAACAGTAACAGCTTGGGCTGGGGAGAACACTTGAACAACGTTGAGGATTTTCAGCCAACAATAGTGCAACTGTTAGGCCCAAAGTTAACGTTTGACAGCTCTACTCTCTCGGTTCCATTTTTTTTTTACCCACATCTCTCAGATGCGGTGTCCAACGTCCGTTTTATTTATTCTCTCGTGCGTTCTTGGAAGTTGTGTGACATCCTTTCACCTCCTGCTCTCGTATGTCACATGGCTGTGTGTGTCTCGTGTCTGGGTTTCTATGCCTGAGTGTGCGCGGTGTATGTCACTGTCCGCAGTGTGCACAGTGGGTGTGTTGGTGCGATATTTGGATTTTTGAGTCGATTTCCACTATTATTTGTTTATTTACCCACTCGCGGTGCGTACTATCGCTTACTCGGCCCTCTTCGACCCCTGGACTGGTAGGTGTTATGGCCAAGGTAGAAGGCGCGGGCGTGTGGCGAGCCGCGCCGCCGAGCAGCGTGCGCGTGCCGCAGCCCGATCGTCGGCGGCGGCGGTGCAAGCTCGCCTAGCAGCGCGCGCAGGAGGGGCGGGTCGACGCTCACGGCGAGGTGCGGTGCGTGCAATGCCGATCCTGCTTGGGACGACCGCTCGATCGGCACCTCCTCGCACCTCAACGCAGTCTGCCCGTCCACGGTGCACCGGAGCAGCCCGAGCCGCCAGCCCGCGAGGCTCACGCACACACGGGCGCCCCCAACCAGGGGCGGCGGCGGCGGCGGCGGCGGCACACATGGTGGTGCCGGCGTGCCGAGTTTTCGGCCGCGCCTCAAGCTCGCTGCCAGCCGGCGCATAGCGCGTTGCGAGCCGCGTGCGGCGGAACCGTTGGCGGCGGCCCAGCCCGCAGGCAGCAGCGTGCCAGGGGTGTAGAGCACCTCGAGAACGCCTCTCTGCCCCCAGTTGGCACTCACCAGCCGGGAGACGCAGCGGCCACCGCTGGGCCAGCCAACGACGTGGATGCGGAGAGGTGTAAACTCCGCCCCGCCGGCACCGGCATGCAGCTCCCGCGCCGCAGATGCAACCCTGGATGGTGGCGGCGTCGCCCCCGCTGCTGCTGGTGAGGCCGCACCAGGTTGTCGGCAGACGGAAGCGCGCAATGAGCGCGGAGCGGCGCTGTTGCCACCGAGGCAGAGAAGGAGTAGAGCTGCGCGGGGTACTGCCGAGGCCGCTGCTGGCGCGGGGTCGGCTGAGCGATTGGAGAGCGGCGGCAGCGGCGGCATCGATGGCAGCGCAGTGAGGATCGGCGACTCGCACGGAGGGGATGCTCCTGTGTGTGGCTGCGGGTCGGTGATGGCGACGGCGACGGCGACGGCGTGCGCTTCCACCGCCCTGACGGCGGCGGCGGCGGCGGTGGCAAGCGCCTCGGCGGCCGAAGCGGGCTGTCGCGGCTGGGGGGAGGGGAGGAGAGACGACGCGTACAGCAAGCCAAGAGGCACCTCGCACACGCCCGCCGCCGCGCCACCCGCGCCCATACCCATACCGACGTCGACGTCCCCGCCCGCGCTGGCGCCCGTGTTACCGGCGGCGCCGGCAGCTTCGCCCACCCCGTTGCCTGCCGCCCCGTTGCCTGCTTTCCCCTCGCCTGCTTTCCCCTTGCCTGCAGGAACCTTGCCTGCTAGCCCGTTGCCTGCAGGCCCGTTGGTGGCAAGGGCCCTGGAGGAGGATCTCATCCGGACAGGGGCGTCCAAGTACGCCTCGACCACAAGCGAGAGCCACCGCCCGCCCTCCTCGCGGGACGAGGCGCCTCCTGATCCTTCTCTGCCACCGCCGCCGCCCGTGAGCTGTGCAACCGTGTTGAGGAGCAGCCTCCAGAAAAGGCCACCGCTGGTCGGCTCCGCGTCGCACGATAGCGATGGCGCACGCATCCGGACGCGCTTCAGCAGAGGAGTCGCGGCGAGCGGCGCAGCGGCGGCGACAGCAACGTTAGCGGTGGCAGCGGTGGCAGCAGTGTCCACTGCAGCCGCCGCGGCCGCAGGGCTGAGCAGGACTGCAGGAGCGGACCACACGCGCAAGTCGGAGGAGGAGGCTGCAAGCACAATGTCGCTTTCGCTCTCACCGCCGCCGCCCGTCCGATTGATGAGAGCGTCGCCCCGCCGAGCGCCGCCCGCAGCCGCCGCTGCTGCTGCATCCTCCCGGTCAGAGGTGGAGACCCACGCAACGGCACACCACCCGCCCGCGTGGCAGCAAATCGAGCGCTCTCGCGCGACCGCTGCGCCGGCCGGCAGCACGAGGCCTCGCTCGGCGACCAGCTGAACCGAGTATAGGGGCCGGCTGCCAACGCCGTGCACCAACAGCGAGGCCACGATTGGCCCAGCCGCATTCCTCGCGGGCTTGCCGGCAGGTGGCCCGTGCGGCACGTGGAGGAGGAGGATCGAGCCGCCAGCGGGCGGGTTCGCCAACGCCAGCGCCGCGCCGATGGCGGCACCGAAGAAGAGCAGCGGCATTGTGGACGCCAGCCGTTCCCGACAACCAAACCTGGGCGTGTCCACGCTGCCGGAGCTCGAGATGCGAGCGAAGGTCGGCGTGGAGAGCCCCTCCGGGCGAGACATGGGCGTGTTGCCCCGACGGCGTTCGCGTTGCCCGTCCCGTAAAATTAGTGCGAAGTTAAATGAATTCAGGAGCCCCGCACCGCATGCGCCGCCTCCCCTTCGCCCTGCAAAATCCTGCGGCTGCGCTCGACAGCGAAAGACGCGAGAGAGTCCGTGTCTCGCCGGCCGGGCGGCGCGCCGCGAACGACCGCAGGAGGAGAGCGGCCCGTCGCCGTTGCTATTTCGAGAGCCACCCGCAGCACTCACAAGGCCTCCGCTCCGCTCTCCGGCTGCGGCTGCTGGCCGACCCGCGGGTCGTTCGGGTGGTTGCTCTTGTTGAGGATCTGCATCACCGAATAGAGGCTGATCGCCTTGTCGTCGAGGCTGCCCGTCACTCGGTTCGGAGCGGGTCCCTTGCCGTCGCGTCCGTTGTGCGGCGTGCCGTGGATGGTGAGGTTGATCAGCAACTCCAGATTTATGCGCTTGAGGAACTGCTTCTGACTCACGAGAGGAATGGCGCGGGCGATGACGTAGAGGCCGACCTAAGAATGAACCACAATTCAGGGACTTGAAGTACGGTGGGGGGAGCAGCGACGGCACCTTGACGTCCAGGCGGGACACGTCCAGACCCTGCTCAGCGGCTTCTGCGTACAGCAACGCCGCGAAGTCCGGCACGCGGTTGTTCTGCATGAACTCGTCCGATCCGTAAACGATACCGTCCGCATCGGTCAGGCGGATATCGTCCGGTCCGCTGTGCTGCTCGCGCAGATTTGCTGGCCGCACGCGCACTTGCTCGCCACTCGCGACGATGCGGACGCCACAGCGCCCACCAGAAACAGAGTCGAGCACCTCGGCCTCGCACCCGTTCAGATCGCTGCGAGAGCTGAGGCCATGCACGCGAACCACGGCGCCAGGGTACATGAGATGAGCGGCAAGCGGCACACCACAATCACTCAGAGGATTTTGTGTTTTTTTCTGTTTTTGTTTTTTATTTCGCACCGAGAGTTAGCTCGTGCGTTCTGCTGCTAGGGGAAACCCGGAGCGCGGTACTATCACTAGGAGACCCGTGTTAACTGTGAGGCCCTGCGACCGCGCCCCCCACAGCGCACAGGGCTATAGAGGGCTCTCTCTTGCCCGCAACCCGTCGTCCGTCGAGCGTGTGAGTGAGAGAGAGAGATTTTTAGCAATACCAAACAACTCTAACATTTTTTGTGTGAGTGAGTGAGTGAGTGAGTTGACACACACACACCGTCGAGCAACCGCCGATGCCGATCCCAATCCCGTCTGGCTAACTCCACTCGTGTGGAGGGTGCGCTTCTTAGCTCCCCGTTCCCCGGTCTCCTGTGTGGGGCGGTGCGGCAAAACGATATGAAACACTGCACTCCGCAAGTGCTCCAAGACCAAGTATTTCAGGGAAACTCACGACAGTTGGAGAAGACGGCTTACGATTTTTTTACTATCGAACAGTACCCAACCACATCACACGCTTCAAAGTGTCGTGCTTCTACGACGACACGCGCCCACGGTCACTCACGCGTCACGGTCCCCATGGGCCGCCCCATCCTCCGCGTCTGAGCTCAGTCGCACATGACGGCGCGCATCGCAGGGACAGCAGCGGCGAGCGCCTCGGGCCGCAGCAGCATCAGCAGCAGCTGGCCACCGCCCGGCAGCCCGCCACGCACCAGCGAGACCGCCTCCGCCCCCTCGGCGAGCAGCTCCTCCTCGACGCGCGCGAAGGAGGCGCGGCCGAGCAGCGAGGACAGCGAGGACCCCGCGGCACGCTTCTGCTTCTTGCTCCGCTTGCCGCCGCCGCCGCCGCCGCTGCCTCCGCCGCTGCCGCCGGCTCCGCCGCTGCCGCCGGCTCCGCCGCTCTCCGCGCCCGCCTGCGCGTCCAGCGTGACGTGCGCGAGCAGAACGAGCCACTCGAAAGTGAGCGAAGCGCGCTCGGCGGCGGGCTCGGCCTGTAGAGAGCAGGAGCGTGTGGGCGCGCGAACCAACAGAGGCGCGGGCAGGCTCGGCGGCGGGCGAGGCGTTTGCGGCCGCCCAGCCGAGGTCGAGGTGGAGCGACTCTACTGCGTGCGGGACGAGCTGGACGGGCGTGTTGACCTGCACCGACGGGGCCGAGGCGTGGGAGGGGAGAGGCCGACATGTGACATCATAATGCAATGTAACATACCATCCGCTCCGAGAGGAGGAGGCCGACGTTGGCGCCTCCGGACGGAGCGAGCAGGCCTGTCGGAGGAGGGGGGGGGGGGGGGGGGGAGGAATTAAGAAAGGGGCAAACCCCATTTTTTTTTTTGGGGGGGGGGGGGTTTTTTCATTCCTTCCAACCGTTTCCCCAAGGGGCCCTCCTCCACCCGATTCCAGCCGAAAAAGGTTATTCCCCTGCGGGGAAAAAAAGGGGGGTTTCCCCAACGTTAGGGACCAGCGCCCCGGCCGCTAGCTCGCCGCCTTCCGACCGACGGGCAATCATCTCGGGCCATCTCGGGCACTCATCTCGGGTCAATCTCGGTCAATCTCGGGCTGGTTGCCACCTTCCGACGGACGGGTCGGCCCGGTGCCTCTGCAGGCTAACCTGTGGGGGTCGGGGGGCTGGGGGAGGTCAGGGTGCGAGAATGGTCGTGAGAGGGAGGGGAGGCGAGGAGAGGCGGGGAGGAGGGGCGAGGGGAGAGGAGGGAATGTCTGCTCTCGCGTAGGGCCGCCCCCGGTTCGAGAGGCCGGCGGCGGCTGGATTTGAGGGGAGCGGCTCAGTGTTGCACAAGGCGTAGCCGCGGCGGGCGTCTTGGCTGCGCGCCGCCACGGCTTAAAGATTGTGCACGGTGTGGTGGGAAGGCGTGGCGCGCGTGCGGCGGACGGGCCGCGCAGGAGTGTGCGCGAACGCTGGGCTGCCTCAGTGCCCGATGCTCTCTGCCATGGTGTGTGGCGGGTTCAAGCGCCGGTCAGGTTCTGCCCTATCGGGTGCTGGTCCTCACAGGCAGAGGGAGAAGAGGAGGAGAGCGCGGCAAGGGGCCAGGCACGGTCTCTCCGGGCGACTCTATCTCTCTCAGCCGCACCGCCGAGAGGAAGCCGAAGAGGGCGCCGTCTGCCTTGATCATTGTACCAACCTCAACCTGGTTGGCGACCGTGGCGGCGAGGCCGGCGGCGTCGGCGCCCGTCGCGGTGCAGAGCGATCCGCCCGCGAGGAGGGAGCGCACGTACGGCGTGTCCTCCTCCGCCGGGTCCGTGAAGATAAACTCGACCTGCAACTCCTTCTCGGCTCCGTCGGCCTGCGCCATCTCGAGATCCGCCTCGTCGCTGCTGTCACCGCTATCCTCAGCCTCGTCCTCGCCGCCCGAGACCTCCTCGTCGTTGGATCCCGCCGCCGCTGCCTCAGCCGCGGCCTCCGCCTCCGCCGTGTCGCGCTTGCGCCGCGGCATCGTGGTTGGGGCGAACGACTTTTTTTCTATGGATGCCTGCTCAAGGTGGTCGCGATGGCAAGCGATGACGAGGGATTCGCACTCAGCGTGACGAGCAAGCTCAGGGAGTTTACGGCGCTCGGATACCCTTCGCACGTGCTTAATGGGGCGATCGGGCGCACGTTTGCTCGGACGAAAGACGAGCGGCTCCTACGAGCAAGAATATGTTCGCACTGGTGAAGGCCAGGCGAGCCAAAAAAAGACAAAAAGACTCATCTAAGCATGTCGGAGAACCGTCCAAAGGCGGGTGCAGTCGACCAAGGGACATGATCTGTCGACAGCACGAATTTGTGATGGGACACCATCGGGACCCAACAGTGCGATACTTGGCTATCGCACTGTTGACGTACCGGCGGCTAAGGCCGAGTAGCCGGTGTTCACAGAGCTCTGTGAACACCGGCCGGAGATTTTTTCTCTCGACGTTTCTTCTGCGAAGAAACGTTCAAACACTCGGTGTCGAAACACCTCTCCGACGCGCTCGACTATAGTCTATCCGCCTTATTCGCTTTCGAGTGTGTGTGTGTGTGCCAAGGGCTTATGCTCTGTCGAGACGTGAGGCGCCTGCGCCCAGGAGGGGAGGGCGCATGCGTAACGACGCTGCTAGAGATGCCTTTCGGGGCCCAGAGATAAAACTTCTGATGCCATGCGTGACCTAGATCCTAGTAGTGTCCCCAGCTATGGGCGTGTCCACGTTGGAGCCAGGTGTGGTGTGGATGCGAGAATAGCTCCGCCGTTCATGGAGGCAACCGATGCGAGTCGACTGGTGTGTGTCGTCGTGGTTTCGTATCAAGAATACTCACTCACACACCATGGTCCATGCGCTCTCCTCTCCTTCTCCTTCCAAAATCTTGCTCACCCGCTGTCCTCGTCCCATCCCTCGTATGTGTCTATTTTCTTTATTTTGGGGGGGCGGGCCCGTGTCGTGCGAAAGAAGAATTTTGCGCGCTTTTACACTTAGCACGCTGCACGGGAAAAAAAACATCTCCGTACTGGGCGCGCACCACTGGCACTAAACCAGAGGTACACTGCGAAACTGCTGCGCGCAAAAAGAGACGACATGGTGATGGATGATTCGAATAGATGATGGTGGGGGCTTTTGTGTTTTCACTTCCTAGCTTCTTTCTTTAAAAAGAGCCACATACTGAAGAATAATGGAGGAGCCAGATTTTTGCGCGCTCCCTGTGTCGGTCCCTAGCCACTTAGTGGTACGTGACGACTGTGTACGGGCTAGATTGTGTTCCGTCGCGAAGCAGACAGGTGCACGTAATACTCTCTTCCTGGGTCTGAGCGTGCCGGCCACCGCCTCGATGCCTCGCCAGCAGGGTCACACCGCCGCAGCGTTTCTGCGAGGGAGCTCCTCCCTTCACATTGCGGCTGCGCCCCGGGCTCCAACCCCGACTGCCCCCCCGCTGCGCGGACGAGGGGAGCGACGCGACTGGCCAGCCGCTCGAGCCCTCTGCGTTTGCGTAGCATACGTCGAAGGGCCGGGCTGAGCTCGACCACCGCAGGCACCTCCGCCACGGGCAAACAGAGCAGGGAGCACGTCTCCGCTGCGATGGCGGTGACGCGCGCCTACTCGCGCACAAGCGGGGTGGATCCGGAGACGGGGGACGGTGGTGGCAAAGTCGGCGAGGAAGCGGGCGGGTATTGGGCGGGAAGGACGGCGGCCCAGCGCACCGGCGCGGCGGGCGAGTAGCCCGCTAGCACGACCTCCTCTCCAAGGAAAGGCGAGGCGGACGCCTCTGTGAGCGTCCACGCGGAGTCGGCTCCGTCTGCGGCCGTCCGGGACATGGCGACCGTGCCCGCTACGAGGATCGAGAAGCAAGCCGGTGCTGCGCCGGCGGCCTGCAGCTGCTGACCAGAGGTGACCTCGTAAAAGGCGAAGCGGCCGGCGAGCTCGAGGAGGTCCGAAGGGGAGGCCTCGCCAAAGAGGGGCGATGCGCTGCGGCGCAGCATCGCCGCAATCTCGAGCGCCTCCGCCCTGCGCCCGCTCCCGTGCCAGAAGAGCGCCTCTCTCACGGGTGCACACGCCTGTGCACGGCCGGTGTGGCTGTGGACAGGTGTCGGGTGGTGGAGCAGTGGCGAGGTATCGGCTGGGGAGCTGGTAAGGTGTCAGCCGGTGGGACAGTGGTAAGGCATTGGAGCCATGGTTTTGGAGGGGGCCGGCTGACCTCGAGATCTGGCCTGCTCACGCCAAGTAGCCACGTTCGCTCGGCCGCCATCGCCACGCACTGTCTTTTAATGGGGCAGCCACGCGGCCGCAGCACCAACGCCGCGTGGCCGATCAGGTCGCCCGGTTTGCACACCGATACATCGCGTGTCGCCTCCTCGCCCTCCATGCTAGGCTGTCGTTGCCGCAATTCGATCGAGCCGGAGGCGATGATGTAGAAGGCCGACGCCGGCGCCCGCTCCCGCCACAGCACGTCGTACCTGCAGTGAATGTGGTGGGAGTGGCGACCGGTGGTAGGGCCAGTTTTCGCGCTTGTCTTTTCTGAGAGGCGTTTACCTCTGCAGGAGTCGCGGCCGCATGAGCCGCGCGAGGGCGTTCAAGGCGGAGTCTCGCCAGGCTGAAAAGAGAGGGTCGTCGCGGAGGGACGCGAGCGTCGCTGCCACGCCTGCGTCGAGGCCGGCCGCCGCCTCCGAATCCGCGGGCTGGCGCAGGAGCGACGAGCTGCTTCGAGGGCGGATGAGATGGGGCTGGTGCCGGGCGGACCGCATGCAGGCAGCTTCCCCACATGCGACCGGCGGACAGGGCGGAGGCCGACGGTCCCGCCGGGCGTGCTCGTCCGGCGCGCGGGGAGCCCGCTTTGCCACCGAGCGCAGAGAGGGCGCCGAAGCGGAGGGCCGCATTGCTGCCGCATTGCTGCTGCCAGCTGGTTCCGCCTCGTTGTACTGCAGAGGCCGCCGCGACACCTCATCGAGGAGGTTGCGCAAATAGCGCTGCGAGGAGAGTAGGTGCAGGCTTCGCAGCAGCGAGCCTTCCGCCTCGGCCCCCGACACATGCATGTTCGTTACATTGAGCGATCCGAAAAGACAGGAGAGAGGATTCACAGATATTACCAGCTCCGGGAGGGGGCGTTCTGGATTAAGGGGAAACCCGGTACACGGAGCTAACCCTCGGAGTCCAGTGTTTACTTAGAGTTCTTTATGGCCCCTTCCCTGCGAACACGAACGCGCACCCCTAGGGGGGTCAGTCAGGGCTTTCTTGCTCGTACGTAGCCCGTCCCCGAGCATCCGGCCCGCTGGGAGCGCTGCTTAGCGCCCTGGCCCTGGGTGTGAGGTTGCCAACTGCACTCCAAGCTCCCCTCGAGCGTTCACTTTTCACACTTCTCACTTGTCGGGATGTGGCGAGCTCGAGGTGGCGAGGTCGAGGTGGCGAGGGGTGCTCACCGTTTTCGGACCGTGACATCATCTCCCGCCAGCAAAAAACGAGTGCAGGGGGAAATCTCTTACGTTCCACGTATCATGCCTCAAATCGGGCCGTGCGCTACGCCGCAAGCCGCATGCGCATGAGCCACCATCGGTCCCATTTATGTCACTCTGATCTCTTCCAGGCGCTCCACATCCAGCCTTCAGGACACACACACACCCACGGACACACGCCATCGATGCAGTGTAGAGGCTACCCCGGCTATCGAGGGGTTGCGGAGCCAGGGGGGAAACGGGAAACCCCCAAATCCCCCATGCCGCGAAACTCCGCCCCATCTCCGGCCACCAAACCAGAGCGCGCGTGGCGAGGCTCCGGCCAAGAGACGCCTCTCAGCCCATGCTCGCGAGGTTAACGCCGGGGATCATGTGGTCGTCCGGGTGCTCGTCGTAGCTCTGCTGCAGGAAGACGAGGCCCGACTTGTACGCCTGCCGCGCGAGGAGGGGGGCGGACGCGCTGGAGGCCGGGGCCAAGCCGAGCAGCCTGGGGGCACGGAAAGGCAACCCGCGACAAAGAAAGACCGCGCGGCGCTGGAGGCCGGGCCGAGAGTGCTCTCGAGGGGGGAGGCTAGGGGGGAGGCTAGGGGGGGAGGCTAGGGGGGGAGGCTAGGGGGGGAGGCTAGGGGGGGAGGCTAGGGGGGGAGGGTTAGGCCCCGGGGGCACGCCTCCACACCGCCGTGGACCATGCCTCCGGTCGGGTCCTTCTCGCCGACCTTTGCGTCCCAATTCTCCATCGCCTGCACGCCGGTCGGGTCCTTCTTCGCGTCCGAGAGCAGCCCGCCCACGTCGCCCTGGCTCAGGTGCGCCAGCGCCGGGTTCCCTACGGCTCGAGGCACAAGGCAAGGTCCCAGGGACGCTCCTCCGAGGCTCACGTTGCGCCGCTCCCGTCCGGGGCTGCCACTCTGCTCGGCGAAGTCGCCCAGCGCCTCGCCGCCGCCCTGCACGGCGCCCCCCATGCCGCCCCCCATGCCGCCCCCCATGCCGCCCATGCCGCCGCCGCCCCCCTGCCCGCCAGCCCCAGCAGGGCGGACCGGGCGGTAGCCGCCCCCCGGGCGGCCTCTGCCCCGGCCTCCGCCTACGTGCGGGATGCCTCCGCGGCCTCCGCGGCCTGCGCGCCCGCCGCGGCCCGCCGCGGCCGCCGCCCCCCTGCCCCGCCCTATGCCGTAGCCCGGCGCCGCGGGCCGGACGTACGCCACCGGCCGGACCGCCGGGTATGCGGCGGCGGGGTATGCGGCGGGGTATGCGGCGGGGTATGCGCCGGCGGGGTATGCGCCGGCGGGGTATGCGCCGGCGGGGTATGCGCCGGGGTAGGCAGCGGCGGCGGGATTGGCTGCGCCTTGAGGGAAGGGCGGCGGCGGAGGCGGAGGCGGCGGGCGCGGCGGCGGAGGCGGCGGCGGAGGCGGAGGCGGCGGGCGCGGCGGCGGCGGCGGCGGCGGCGGCGGAGGCGGCGAGGGTGGCGGCGGCGGCGGCGGCAACGGCGGAGGCGGAGGCGCAGGGGTGGGTGGCGGAGGCGGGGGCGAGATGAAAGGGTCTCCGGCCTGGCCAAAGAAAGCGCCATGCTGCTGGTAGTGGTGCTGTGAGGGACGGTGCTGCTGATACGAGCTCTGCTGGTTGTTCGGCGCGTAGCCCTGCTGCTGGTAGTACGTCTGCGGCTCTCCCCAGCCCTGAGGCTTCGACCATGCATCATACCGACTACCGCCGTAGTTCACGCCACCAGACGTAACCTGATAGTCATCGGCAAAGCCCTGGCGCGAGCGCGTTTCGTTCTGGCGGCTGGGCGATGCCGAGTCGGCGGCTGACGGAAGGAAGAACGCAGGCAGGCCCTCGAATATCCTAGACTGGCTGTCCGTGGAGGCAAGGAGGACGGAACTAACGAAGAGCGCACACATGCCAGCGAGGAACGTTCTCCCAGTACCGGAGCACTCGCGGCGCGCGGAGCGCTGCAGCAGCGGGACGCCCGGCGAAGTGTCCATCCGCCAGCGAGGAGGCACCTCGGGGACCGGCACCGTGTGTGTGTGTGTCGGCAAGGGGCAAGAGGGGGAGGGCTTCCGCCTCTATTGTCGGCGCCCGAAAAAGAATCTACAGGCGGGGCGTTCTAGAATCTAGACATCCGGTCGCGCCACCGCGGCTGCGGGGCTGATAGAGCAGGCCGGCTGCGGCTCCTGATGTACCTCCGCTTTTGGGTGGCGGTCGCGCGCTGCCGACGGCGCTCGCCGGCGCTACGGCGCTCGCGGCGCGCTCGTGGCGTTCAGGGCGGCTCGCACACGCACACGCACACGCACACACACACACACACACACACAGACACACACACACACACACACACACACACACACACACACACACACAC